GTTTCAAATTTGTATTGATTTGCAAAATTTATATTTTCAATGCGGTATTTCCAATCGTTACATAAAATATGGTTTTCCCAGCTTGTTATGTATACATACATTAGTTATTTCCTCATGAAAATAAGAAGATTCCTTTTGATTGGTTGGATATTCTGTGGTAGATATTGCGTAAAACCATAATGAGAAATTCGATCAACTCAGGAATAGGTTCAAAGGATTCATCTATTTTGTGAGTGGGTGTACTAAAATTATTATGTATACCTATAGCGTAAACACATTTACGAAGTTTAGAGTATATTCAAAGGTTCAATTTGGGGTTATCACTATGTGACGTCATATACACGAGAACGGTAGAACTCTTGCATTTAAATTTTACATCAGCATCTGATTTGGAACTTTCTTCATGATGAAAAGATGGCCCTTTTTTTTGGTATATAAGATTTTTATGCCTTCAACCCCCACATCATTATCCAACCACTATATTATCAAAAAAAATACATTATTGAAATAAAATGTACTCTTTTACCGTGAAAGAATTCTGTAAACACTGTTCAGTGAATTGAAGAATATATTTTCAATTTATCTTCTATATATCAGAGATTATACACTTCTCTGTATATATATTATATTCTTGAGAAAGTGATGTTTTGGAGAATGTTGTTAAATAATCAAATATATACCTACAAAAGTATACTTACTCAAAATACCACCAAAATCAGTAGAGTTAAAAAAGGAATAATGATTAGATGATTCTATATTATCTCTTCCGTAATTGAAAACATACAGTGAAGACCAAAAGTCCGACGTCCCCCTGCTCGTACCGTACCTTATTTCATTAACATAGTACGAAAATATGATGAATGCATAAATTTCAGGGTTTTATTCCAATCTCTCTAATGCTTCGAATTTCATTTATACATCAGTGTCTCGAAAAAGCGCAGGAACTAAGAATACGTTTATTTTTTTTTAATATGATACCCTGTGTATCATTGCATTATAAGATTCTACATTGCATTTTGAAAATGTTCGATGTATTGTTTGATATCTCAAAAGTTGAAAAACCGTACCTAACAAATGCAACACAATGTATTTCACTTACATATATCGACCTCCTGGAAGCTTTTAACATATTTTTTATCATGTAGAATAAACAAATTACGGGGGGATAGGGACTTCTGCCCCTCACTGTGTAATCGGACCACCCCTGTATAAATGCAACTTTCTTTCGTAAAAAAAATCAATAGTTGATACAGGATTCCGAAAATAGATGATAATTTATAGTGACACTTGGCCGTATTCTTCCAGTAAATCCATTTTCGATACAATCATTGTGAGCTTTTAGCTTCTTTGCTCCAGAAATATACCTAGTCTGGAAAATATTTCTGTGAGGGGTCTCAATAATGAAAGACAGCTGAATTTTTCATGAGGCAATCCCTTATATCCGTTTCTGTACTATACGAAACGATAAAATTGATTGATTGGATGATACTCTCATTTATTCAATAACAGAATCCTTCATAAAATAACTCATTTGGTCTGTGACAATAATCATTACCTACTCAAGTACAGGGTATTCCTAAATACTAGGTATATATATGAGGAGAATAATAGTTATTTGTTTAACTAGGCAGCAAAGTAGTAGATTGACTGCCGAGGCTGAATTCATAGCCGAGCGTAGCGAGTTAAAAAATTTAATTTCTAGTGATTTTATTCGTTATTCATCTCACTCTGTAGACAGATGCTCTAATCCTGACTACAATCATGCCTGGTATCATTCAAATTCTTATAGGAAATATTATACACGGTGACTTTAAAAATGCAATCATTCAAAAATTGTAATATTGATATAATACATCCCTCATGAGATATTGTTTTGAAAATTGAAATTGTGTTTGATAACTTTTTCCTGCTCGGCAAAGTCGATTAGTTTTAGTAATATATTATTAGAGAAGAAAAAATTCAAATCAACCCTATATACAAAAGTACCGGGGTGTGGTGGGGTGGACCACATTGTAACACACTGTATATATCTAATTTTTTATTGTGAATACCTCTTTACCTCTCAAGTCTCGATAATACCTTGACAATGTGGTCTGCAGGCGCTAATAAAGTACTACTTTATTTACGCCCGGTCGTGCATTAAAGTCATTAATATATTTCCGGTTCAAGTCCGGTTGTGAACCTCAATCAATGATTTCAGCAAACTTTGAAATTTAATATAATATATCTAATGCAAGACGTTTTTCTTTTTCAATGAAAATAAGCTTTCATTTCGTTTTGATTTTTGTTTTTCATTTATCGCTCCTATATGTTACGGAAACACCCTGTTGCTTCATGTCATTAGATGATGAAACCGCCATAAAAATGTATATAGATATCCTCCTGTTAGCGGATCAGAATTTCTACGAGGAGCTGACATAAACTCACATAATAGGGTGATGAAAATCCACAATCCATGAGGGAAATCAAGATGTGAGTTTATTTTGTTGTTGTATCTTTTTCCATTTTTCATGAAACTACATATAGCCTCAATGGGCGTGTACACCTTAGTAGAACTTTTAACTCAAATCATGTTTATAATGATCCTTTCATACATAAATAATGATTGACGACATAATTCGATCGAAAAATTAACTGGAATGCTTTATTTTTGGACATAAATAATAGTACCTTCTGAAAACGGACCCTCTTATGACGTAGAAACCTCAAAGAAAATACCAAAAGCCCGACGGAGACTGAGGCAACTGATATATTAATTCTTTCAACTGTGATCTCGCGCTAATTCACTCTGTCAGAAATCACATGTATCATTCATCTCTGTCTGGAATAGTCTTGTTTCAGTACAATTTCAGTATTAGGGTTTTGACGTCACATCATTCAGAGCTCCGAAAAATCGGGAATTTCAATAATTTTTTATAAAACGTAGGGAGCTCACAGCTTGCGGTGGTGAGCTAGTTTGGGTGAGTTCTATTGAATTATGAAATACAATTTTTTTACCCGTCGACCGTAGATGCGATGTATTTGACATTAATCGCACCCTGTGCCCCCTGGATCCGCCACTGATACCGTATTTGTATTGGATTAGGGCATCGGTTAGGGTTAGGATTCCAACGGGTTTCCGACAAAAGTTTTCCTCTCTATATGATCCACCATTACATTTCGAATGGTACGGACAAAGTTTGTCCTTCCCTTGTCCTGTACTAAGCAAACTCTCAAATTGATTGAAATGCAGAATAAAACATTTAGAGCAAATTGATTCGCGTCAGCCAAAGTGAAAATGCGAGGGTTCGCCCTGAGAGAATGGTAGCAGCTAGGAATCCCATAGGATATCGGGACGGTGTGAATGGCTGAGAATCTGCATATACAAAAAGACACTGAAAAAATAAAAACAATTTCGAATTGGTCGATGTTGGTTTTGTCTAGAGAATAAATGCTGGCTATTCTATAAAAAAAAAAACTTGATAATTTCGAATTTCGGTTTTCTCAACATACAGTTGAACTTTAGCTTCAAAAGGAACTAAAAACGGTGTACTAGGTCATCAAGAATAAACAACATTAGGACAAGGCGAAAATTCATACAGTCTACTCCACCAAAACTATACTTTAATGTAAGCAATTCATATATTTAAAAGGGACATGTTTCGAAGCTTCAAAGCTTCATCATCAGCAAGAAGTTACATAGGAGCACTATTAGGGAGGAAAAAAGTTGTGTTCACATATTTAAAAACGAAAATAAAAATTTTTTACAACATTAATAAAAAAATGGGGACCGCAAAATGCGGATCACCTGTGTTAAGGTACTATACATGGAACTTGAACATGTTAAAAGTTTGTAAAGAAAAAACTAAATACTTATACAGTGCGACCCACTTCTAATGGAAACACCCCTGTATCTTATGTAATCGTTGGGTAAGGATCCTGGGAGCGAGAGATATACCAAAAATGCACTCTATGACCAAGTGGGGTCAACTTCAGTGATATACACTGCTCGCCAACAGTCATGGAACCACCCGTTACCACCGATACAACAAGGCCTGCATGCTCCGTGGGTGACGTCACTTAGTGAGGCCTAACTAGCGGCTCGAAACCACAAGCGCTTATAGCGCTATAAGGCGACCGCGTATTTCGATTTTAGTTTTTTAGATCATCATTGAGCCGATTTTGCTGTTTTTTGAAGGGCTTACGGTTAAAAAAGGATGCCAGTCGTCAACTGAGGCCGTCTTCGCACCCCATTCGATTTTTTTATGGAAAAACGAAGTTTTAAAGCAAAAACTAGGATAAAACACAAATATCCACCTACAGCAACTTTATATACTCATGATGTACTTCGATGGCACATTTTTATATAGAAAATTCAACAGGAAATATGATTTTTATGGCGAGTTTTTCATATTTAGTGAACAAGCATTCCAGATGACGACCATTTAATCAATATTCAATCAAAATAAGAGATGTCAAATGTCAATAGATTGCTTTCGAATGACATTACACACGCCATTATTTTGAATGATATTCTTCCTTCTTTTCACTAAATATGGATTAATCTCAAGAAAATCATATTTATAGTTGAATTATATATAAATTGTCCAATATGATGAAAAAAGAAGGGAAATTTGTTCTAAATGAAAGAATACAAATTAAATTCAAAAGGAGTGTAGATATTTATTTCCCTCGATTTTTTGTGATTTTCTCTCCTCGTTTCTATATAATAAAGATATGCGTATTATTTCAATATATTTGTAGTGGGACAAATCAGATGATTTGCCCCAAAATGTCACTGCGTTTAACGAATTTTTCTATCAGGGAGCCTAAAACAAAAATCCAGTAGCTTGTCAGTGATACTTTGTTTGAAAAAATGTTTGAAGGAAAGAAATATAGACATATTGAAAAAATATCGAATTTTTACTTATCTTTGGACGTTTCGGGAACGAATCTGCTCCCGTTCTCAACATGAAAATGCTAAATATTTTTCTTTGGAAGATATAATGAGTTGTGTATACTGATTGACACTGATGGCATTAGGAAAGATAGAACAAAAGTATGAGTAACAGGAGTACAGAAAAGGCAACATTCAAATCGTCTATTTTCATTATTTCAAAATTTCGTTTTGGTAATATTTGTTATTAAATTCTCACCTGCTTCACATTTGACTTGACGAAAACATTCTCTAAAGTAAATAAACGCTGCTTTATTCAATATTCTCGAAACTATTTATGATGATGAATGAAAATAATTTAATGATCTATAGCTACAGCAGTAGATTCATTTCCAAAACTATCTTCATCCAATGAACTATAAACCCTAATTTTACGAACTACCAGGGATCCAATGATCTCCAAATATTCGGTATCATCAGAGTTGCCACTCTTCTTTCCCAAAGTATCTCCACCGCTTGGCGTAGTTTTGCTCTTGCTGAGGCAAAGTGGTGACCTGGTGCTCAGTTTAGCTACTTCCAAAATCTTCACATCAGGGACAAAACGATCATCGTCACCCTTCACCACAAAGACGTTCACTTTCGATTTCGACTGCATTTTCTTCTTCTTTCCTCTCTTGATGGTCTTTATAAGAGCTCGGTAAAAGACTGGACAAAAGAGGTAATAGAACAAGAAGTTGATGGTCACATTCACAGCCCCCAAAAAGGTACAGATTTGTCGGGTGATTTCCAGAGCTCTGAAGTTGATTTTTTTTATGCCGCCGAAAAGTAAGCTGTTAGCTTTCATTCTTGAGACCATATTGGAAGGGATTTCGGAGATTAGGAACAAGACTATTATGGAAATCAGGATTATGGTCAAATTTGTGTGGTCCTGAAATTTCAATAAAAAATTCATTAATCTATGAAGTGAGTGATGTCATAGACTACAGAAGATAAACTATTCAGTAATCTTTGGTGATGTACGTATTGGTATTATAACGATGATGTAACAGCAATGTAACATTTATGTGATAATGTAATAGCAATATCAAATAATATATATCGCCAGCAATTATTCTGAATGGACATGCAGATGTTAAGTGCCATATAGTTCACAATGCGTAATCCAAATGGAAGTTTGCATGCCTGATTCTGAAAAACAATTGCCCGATAGTTTGATTAGTTTTGGCTTATCATGAGTGCTATGTATGGTTAAGCTAAGTTGTAAGCTCTCCGGTTCTAATCTTTCTCACCTATAGGTAGGTATGGTTGAATTATAATAATATATGTTTTGTCGAAAATGTCGGATATGGAATATGAGAATGGACAGAGAAACTATACCATTATGCTGACGTGGTGTCTTGATTATGCCGACGTGGTTTTTCGATAAAAAATTATGAAATTAGAATTACATATCTGTATGTAAATTACACGGAAAAAAATGATTTGCATTTATACAGTGTGTCCGTAAAGTATATATGGAAGAAATTCGCTATTTCCTAAACTAAAAAGCAGCTACAAAATTTCATTTTAAAGGGTGAAACACATCAAGGCGATCAGGTCATCGCAATTTTTTCAAGTGGAACACCCAATATTTTGTGAAATTTTTAGATCAATAAAAATGATCTGATTCCAATACAGGGAGTTAGGGCCTATTTATGCATCATTGTCTCAGTCATTGTCTTAACTTAACCAAGGTGGATAATATTAACTCATCATATTTGGACCTTCATCCATCACAGTCTTTCGGCTTAAGAATTATGATATGACAATTGACAATCCGTCAAAAGTGTCAATTGAGGTTTCAATAATGTCAACTACCAATACTAATATTTTGTTCTGGAGCAGGTTTCTGAGCTAAATTTCATGATTTCCAGGAATTCTCTATCGCAATTTTATCTTTGTATTCCGAGTATTTCTTGTCCCAAAGATGGGGAAATTTTCTCATGATTTTTTGATATTTGTTATCAAACGTAATCAAATTATCAGAATGATTATTGACACAGCACAGAATGGCACTGAATTTTGGTGACAAACACAAAATTAAAAGTCATATATGTGATTGCCAAATATGTAACTAGACAGGTCGACACATGCGCATTTCTTATGTGGTCTCAATCAGAAGCATAAAAATTGAAAGTTTGTAAAACTTTTTAGGTCATGATTTAATGATGATGATTAGGACTGAGACTAAAAATGTTGCATGAATTCACCTATTAGCTATTGAAATGTGTGCTCATAACTTGATTTTATGATTACAACAAAGACTGTGACTAAGACTGAGACTAAGACAATGATGCACAAATACTTGAAAAAAAAACATCCACGATACCGTCTTCGTCTAAACACCCTGTGAAATAGAAGATTAAAATTGAAAATTGATATGTTTTAGATTTTTTTGAAAAGGCTTTCAGTTTAGGGAACATCAAATTCATTCCATACTACGGACACATTGTATATTATGAAGAATACACGATCCTTGATACGGCTTGTAGCGTACGTATACATAATTATTTTGAAACATAGAAACTAACCCTTATTCTCTTTCCATTGCATCTGGTTGAGATTTTGTGGGATTTCCGTAACGTCATTATCAGGAAACCATTCCCGAGGATCAATATAAATGCAGGTATGATGGTGAGTACTATCAACATGATCCAGTTGAAACAGTTATAGATGCTGAAAAAAATAAATAATACAACCTACATCATTGGAATATAGGTACCTAATGATTTGTTTAAATTTCGATTATAATATCTCTGTAATATGTGATTATTTTTTGAGGTGATAAGAAAAAATGAGAAATAAAAAAAATCGCCCCCGGGTGGGCTCGAACCACCAACCTTTCGGTTAACAGCCGAACGCGCTAGCCAATTGCGCCACGGAGGCTATATTTAGAAATCGTTCTCTGTCATGACAAGATGGGAGATTTTTTGATTACTGGTAATCTCAGTGAAACAATAATTAAGAAATTATGATACTGCATGCTACATGGTTCCTCAACGTTTGGTTTTTTTCGACTGTTGATTCCTTCTATAGGGTCTTCAATGATTCTTCAACCGTGATTGAGGATTTAGCTTAGGTCCATTTAACGATACACGACTGTATTCTTGGTTGCATACAATTAGGTCTACCTCAATTATTTCATTATTTTCCAACGAGCGTGCGGAAAAATAACATTTTCGCACGATTTTTCATTTTGAATGTTATACTTCTGGGTACGATTTTACTTTCCCGCACTATTTTTATTTTTCCGCACTATTTTATCGGGGTTAATACCACGAGATCTCAGATCTAACCCGATACCCGATATTTTTTGTGATTGTTTTCGAATACTGACTTTTTCCGCACGGTATTTGTTTTTTTGAAAATGAGGATACTTAGGATTAACTTATTTATTTATGTAACTTTTCTGTCTTATGTGTCATTTTGTAGCATTATTATAAAATCTTGTTTATTACAACCTATTTTTTTCATAAATAATATGGACAAAAAACACTCGTAGGAAAAACATTGTACCTTATTTTACTCCTGCGGAAAAGTACTACTTTCCGCACTTGTTAAGTAAACAACTATTTCATTATTATTTACCTGGAATGGAAAAATGCAGAAGTTTTCAGATGTCCCTCTTCAGTCCATTCGAAAATAAAACAATACGGGATGTTCATAATAACAGCCAAGAAGAGACCCGCTGTCATAAGCTTCCTTGCAATACGTGGATTACAAAATCTCGGCCTGGTACATTGTACAGGGTGCCACAAGAACAATACCCTGTCTAAAAAAATGAAATACTTAGGTACCTATTCCCTCTCATATACTTACAGCTATCTAAATAACGCCTGAAAAAATTCAAGGGGTTATTCCTCGTGATATTCTAGCAAATAAAGTTTTTATAAACATGTGTCCTGACTTGCTCCGTTTTTGAGATACAGGATGTTGAAGTTGGAAGTATTACTTGTTTTTATTTCTAGCCCCCCTGTATAAGCTTCCATGGTGATAAATTCAGTATGGTTGGAGACTAAGAAAGCCCTTAACCAAAATGATTGTAATTGGGGCTATTGAGTAATCTCAAAAACTAAGATAGATCATAGATTAACGACTCGTTGTTAATCTATGGCTAGATTAAAAAATCACACAGGGAATAAAAAAGTTATTTAAATGGTTCAATCTATTAAAAATAAAAAACTTAGAAAAACCGGTGGCGTACAATGACATTCACCATTGTAGATTGTAGATTGTAGATGGGTCGTATAGACTAGGAGACCTCTAGATCACTGCTACCTAGAAGATCAATTGTGATTACCCTTATCTAGTTTTGGTCATCTAACCCTAGACTTCTGATGAATCCTACAATTTTCCTGACGGTTGAATTTTCCACCTCAGTAGGGGTGAGATAGACCTGTTCTAGGTGGTTCAGCCTTTGGCGGACTAATACTTCACGTGAGCAAAGTATGTGTTCCGCGGTTTCGGTCGCATTTTTGCAAAAGCGGCAAGTGTCTGTCTCCGCCAGGCCCATCTTTTTGAGGTGGCACCTCAGAGGGCCGTGTCCTGTGAGAAAGCCTGTGATAAGCTTTAGCTCTGGTTTGCTGAGGCTGAGTAGCTCTTTGGCTCGGTTCTGCGAATGGTTGATGAACCTTTTCGCTTGTCGTTGACCTGGAGTTGCTCTCCAGTAGGAGGACTTTTCAGTTTCTTCCATTTCCTGAGTTCTTCCTTTAGGTGACATTTGCTTATCCCACAAAAAGGTTCAGGACCAAAAAGTGCAGATGCTGCACCTTTTTTGCAAGGCGATCAGCTGCCTCATTTCCTTTGATTCCTTCATGTCCTGGAACCCACATAAGTATGACTTTGTGACATTCACCATAAATATCGATAAATTCACCCACTGGTGTGACGCCACTGGAAATATTATTTCGAATCTAATTGCACCAGATGAAGCTCCATATTACTATCAACAAAACCACAACGTTTTATTGAAATTGATGAAAAGACAATTGAGTAATGATTAAAAAACTATCTTTCATGGAATTGGAAATATTATAATACCCTGTATCTCGAAAACGAAACAAGTTAGGACACATGTTCATATGAACTTTATTTTCCAAAATATCACAAGGAATCACCCCTTGAATTTTTTTGTTGATATTTAGATACACCCTGTATAGAGGGAACAACCTTCGTGTGATAATATGAACATCAAGTTTCCTAAAAGTAACTTTACTGAACCAATGTCGGCTAAATGAGAAAGGAATTCCGTCAGCGCTACTGACTCTCCAAATTGGTACCTACAGAGTGAGTATCAAGAACTTGTCTCTTGAATGAGTGGAAAAAATTAATTTTTTTTCACTCACCTATCGTCACAGCCACGGTAGCCATAACACTTAGTGAGCTGATGGCTGCTGTAACAGGCATACCGACAAGAGCATCTAAAGTGGCCCATTTGGTCTCATAAAAAGCCCCCCTGCTCAGACCGCTGAGAAAAAAAATTATTGATAACGACAAATCTGTGGCAGCCAACACTGAAATAAGGAAATTGCTAATTTATCATCGATGGTGGAGTATACAAAAAATCATAAGAACAGCGACAGAGCCAAGATATATAAACACCACCCTGTATATTATCTAATTATTTTTCAACGTAACAGATGGTTCATTATTATGTTTATAGATGGATTTAGGCACGCATACTACTCCAATATTGATGTGAGCTATACACTCAATGGCTATACTTTTTTTAGGAATTACCACTATTACCTACCTATAGTTATATTGAGTCGTGTCTCACTTTAAATGGTCCACGTTAACGAGTCATTGTGATATCAGATACGGAAATAAAATTGATGACATACAAAGTACCTCATTGATTTATCGAACACAGTGAAAAAAAAGCAATTTTGTGTTATAGCCAAAGAAAATTAGTACATTGTCTCATTAGGATCAAATCTGATACTTTGTTTGACAAGCGATATTTGCGTTTGCGAGGCGGAGCGACTGCGAAGCCAAGCACGCAAATTTTGCGAGTCAAACAGAGTCACTTTTGATCCAAATAAAACATGCAATTTTTCTGCAATCGAAAGAAATTAATAAAAAAAGCAGCTATCATATCAGCTGTCATCCGACACGTTTTAGTTCCTAGGATTCAAACTTCAAACAGCTCCTAGACACTAAAAGTGTTGCCTAGCAACATACATACTGATCATTTTATTTTGTCAGTAAGAGAAACGTCAACTTCTAGAGCTAATAGACAGAGAAACAGTTATTTATTATACAAGGGAAAAAAGTAGTAGATTTTAGCTCCGTGAGCCAAAATCTAATATTTTTCCCGTGTATAATACACTATTTTTTTGTGACAGAGGAAAGGACGAATCAATATTGAGGAGATATGACATTATTTTGAAATCTGAAAATCATCGACGTGAAATTTTAAGTTTTTAACAGTAGGGAGATCTGCGTTGTAGGCATCTTTATCATTTTTGAAGTAATCGAATATCTGATGTCACTTCTGTCAGTCTAATTCTGTGATTGGATTTAAAAAAATTGCGTATTTAGTGGTTTTTTAGTAATATACGTAACCGCGAAGTCGAATGGAAGATAAAACGACTTGCAGTTCTTTCTCGGAGACGGTATTAGGGTGTATACTGTGGTATTATTGACTCTTTTTTCGGAACTATAGCACAACAAAAGCCATCAACAGTGTATATATATGTGATATGAATGAAAATATTGAAAAGGAAGGAAACAATGAAAAAATGGATTTACATATTAACACTCTGACTGCCATGTCAGTCATTTTTGACCAACAGCTTGATCTGTTGCTGAGCCGGTGCATTTTCATTGGTTCGAACGCGTCAGGCCACGCGAAGTTTTCAGAGTAGGGGGCATCTAAGTGATCAGCATATTGCTGCTAAGACATTGTAAAGATTCTGGTGTACAGAAGAGCATAGAAGAATGTCAGCTAAAATCGACGAAAGCGGCCAGACAAGGCAATTTTTTTCAATGTATATAAGTAAAATGGCATGATATACTCCTATTAGTTATTAATTTATCGATAAACTCACAGGGGTTGGAACATTTGCTATATCAGCAAAAGGATAAAACACCGAAAGCTAGAAAAATTGTTTGATTTGTTACAAAAATCTCGTGAAACAATATGTGCGGAAGAAATGAGATGGCTGCCAAGAGATGCGCGCCTTTCTATGTGCATTGAATGTCATGTGAAAACCCATTCCAACAATAATTAGATTCAGATATGTTCATGAGTTTTTCACACTTTATACAATAAACGTTTTTGAGGCATTATTGTAGCTATAAATTTCATAGTGAGCGCTACAAAAAAATTCACATACGTTCATTTGAGCGCCGTGAATTCAGTGCATCGTCGGTTGTTTTCGCATGACACGGCTCAAATTGAAGCTGTCTGTTAAAAATCACTGCCAAGCACCGTTTTTCATAAGTCATCGTCGGTCACATATGAGAAAAACAGGGTACCGGCAGCCAGAGCGTTAGGAAATACATTGAGAATCAATTAATTAATTATATATCAATTCGTCATACATCCAAAAACGAATGAAAATAACTTGCAATATTACATTCAAAAATTGTTAGGGACTGGGATCGATCGCTCTGTAAAAAATCCAAATCACCAGTCACCATTTCTCGTTAAAGTAAATGTACTTGGGTAAGTAGTTCGATCGTTTTCTCAGATTATAGGTGTGGAATGGAGGTTGGATTTTTCTTATAAATTCGTTAATCTCCTGACCCAAATACATCTACATCGGCCGTAATCATCTTATCCGAGAAAAAGTATGCGGAAAATTTGCTGCTATGTCGGAAATGTTCCGAATAACTTCCGTTTTCGTCTCCCGACTCTCGCAACTTCCATCTGGAATCTTTCAAAGAGAAAATAAGTAGAAAATATTACAGAGGGAGAATACCTTGAGTTTGCCCTTTATGTAGGCTGCATTATGTAAAATATTTACCAGCTAAATACGTGTAAATAGAGCCGGTTAATTCCTTTCTCCTCAGGACCATCAGAGATAAGCTGTTCCCGAAAATTCCGAAAGAACAAACGATAGTGGTTATGATGGAATACAAAATGAACCCTAAAAAAGTATCAATCATCAAATATGTGTTTCTAGTGTAGATGTTTCTACAGGACTTGGGTTTTATATAGGAGGTGATTCCTTATTGTCATATTTTTGTCAGTCATGCTCATGTAAGAAAGTTTATATAAACATGCGTCTTGATTCGCTTCTGAAATACTGAATGTATCAATGTATATAATCAATTATTTTTTATGATGTCCCTGAGAGTGTTCCGAAATTAGCCTGCCAATCTTCACGAGCAGCTTCTACGACCAAAAATAGGAAGAAATAAACCAGTTAATAAGGGAACCCCTGAAGATGGTATTTCTTGAATATTTCCGAAACGCCATATGATAAGTTATTAAAACTGTTTATGTGCACTTATTTCAATAAATTAAAAAATATACAAAGAATACAAAATATAAGTAGACATAGATAGTTAACTGTTATTTCAAAATGTTGAGACATAATAATACATATATCGTTACGGCAAAGACAAACTTCTGTATATACGGGGACAGGGATGATCATAAAAAAGCTTCGAATAACTCTAGTTTAATCACCCTGAATCTCAAAATAAACATAAGTGTACACACACACCTCAGACGAGACACACACGCAGGTAGGTACTTATCTTTTGTTGTGGGTTTATCATGCCAAACATCTGTACCATCACCCATATGATGCGATGCATTTTTCCCTGTGAATTGTGCATTATGTCCACAATAATGCTCTGATGTATCTGCACTTTCAGATTCACCAATGGAATATGATGCAACCAATAATGTGGAACAAACTTTCGTGGCTTCGTACAAGTAATCTTCATAAAACAAAAACGAACTACCCATTATAGAGCCAAAACTTGATCTGTTCGTTCTGGCAAATTATATAAAATACTAGTACCTACCTATACGAACAGGTTTACTATATTTCCATCTATCAAAAAATCAATGATGAATTCGCGTGTTCTGTTTGTAATGTAGTCTGATTAGGTTGTTTGCAGATTAGACGACGTGATATTGGATTCCCATGTTTTTTGGAGATTAAAGCCTTCCAAAGTTATTGTTAGATGTAGATAGATTGTGGAACCCATGAAAAATATATATACAATATGGAATATATATTCACACGAGCAGCTAAAAATCATACCTGTACCTGGCTCACGAAATTAGGGGAAAACTTTCTATTTAGAACACATCAAGAGATTCAGAAGGAGAGCAGTCGTAGGATATTCAAATAGGTACCTCTATATGTATATATACCCATGGCAATATAATTTATCGCCATGGAGAGAGATAAACAAAAAAACACGTCCAACTTTGACTATCGATGGTCTATAGAAAAAATATCGATTCGATATTTGATGGTGAGCATCAGGATGAATGATTAGTAAATATAGATACCTGCCTACTCTAAATTCATAAATTCGTCAAAGAAATACTGGCCGCGGGTGTCATTTATATTGCTTCAGAGTTATCTGATAGGTATTCAACCCTTTTGAATTATTTACGCCTCTGGTGGATTCAAACTAATGGAAAATTATTATCCTTATCACATTATACCTTTTATGTCGAAAGCCTACGGATAATTTTAAACTGCATGGATATATATCTGTAATCATACCATAAGACAGAAAACCTAACTTTGAATGTGTGATAGTATCGACTATCAAGTATCGTAAGGAACAAAAAACTCATTTACGAATTACGGATTTTCTCCGTCGCATCTCGCATCTTCGTGAAACCTTGACACATTTCCCCTGAACTGGTCATGTTTATCTGGATACCAGACACCCTGTATGCATGTTTGCACCAGCCGTAGCACTATTTCTCTCAGTAGAGCGATTGATTCACAGTTCTGCCCAGTGACGTCATTAAGTAATGGTTGAGTACAGCAGTTATAGGCTCTAGTACGAAAGCACCCTGGTGTCACGAACACTTTTCTTTTTTTGAAAAGTCATTATAATGACAAGTAGTGTCAAAATTCAAACAATTTTGTACATTTTTTTATTGAAATATGGAACATCATAGGCAGTTTTACACCATACAAACCTTGTACGGCTTGTTTATGCACACAACCATCATCACATCACAATCCATTTTTTTTTTTCAAAAATAGTCCATTCAAGAAACAATATTCAGTCAAAACAAAACTAAAAAACATCTATAACCACAAATTTCGACGTTTTCCCACCGTACTTTCAACTCATTTTTATGATTCGAACCTTGGTTCATACCTACATTTACAAGTTTTTGAACCGGAATGAACCGTATTACTGGTGACGTCATAGCTGACACAAGAAAATGCTTGTTTTCGAATCGTCAAATCGTTCGAAACTCGGTTCAACAAGAAAATTCACCTCGTAGATTTGACTTTTGACAGCCTAATTGACGATTTTGACAATCGTTTTTGGTGACGTTTCAAGGTAACTGTCACCTTGTTTCTTGTTCTTCTTTTTGAAAAGATGGCAAACGTCGCCAATTTTTTAATAGCACAAGCTACAGAAAATCTAACAGAAACATCCAAAAATGCGACAGAGAGGGTGCCCAGTACCCCCGAAGGGATGGCCATCGCTTATGGCAGCTTAGTTATAATGGCACTGTTACCAATATTCGTTGGTGCATATAGATCTGTACTCTACCATAAGGAGAAGGTGAGACCATATTGGTGGTACCCAACTGCATTGCGCCCAGCTATAAAATCACTTTTTCCTATTTCAGAAACCTGAAAAAATGACTAAGAAAGATGCTGCAATATTTCCCATTATGGCTTCCTGTGCTCTATTTGCACTCTACATAGTTTTCAAGCTGTTTTCCAAAGAATACATCAATCTTTTACTAACAGGCTACTTCTTTTTCCTGGGGGTTTTAGCTCTCACACATTTATTGAGGTCAGTTTCTCCATTAGATAACTCTTAACTATCCAGTAATATTTTTTTGATTTCCAGCCCTGTTGTGAGTAAGCTAGTTCCTGCTGATATTCCCAATATTCCATTCCATATAACCTTCAAACAAGGTGAAGGAGATGCTGCAGAGTACTTAATAGACTACAGATTCTCTACCTATGATGTAGTGTCACTTGCAGCTTGCTCACTAGTTGGAGCTTGGTACTTAGTCCAGAAGCATTGGGTGGCTAACAACCTGTTTGGTCTGGCATTTGCAGTCAATGCTGTAGAGCTGCTGCATCTGAATAATGTAGTAACTGGCTGTATTTTGTTGTGTGGGTTGTTCTTCTATGATATCTTCTGGGTGTTTGGTACTGATGTGATGGTTACTGTTGCCAAAAGTTTTGAAGCTCCTATCAAACGTAAGTCCAAGACATTTTGTGTGGGATTCAGAAAATGTTGAAAATACTTGGATTCTAGTGATGAACATGATGTGTTTTGAGTTTTCATAAGCATTTTCATTTCCAGTTGTATTTCCTCAAGATCTACTACAAAATGGAATGTCTGCTAGCAATTTTGCCATGCTTGGTCTGGGAGACATAGTCATTCCTGGCATCTTCATAGCCCTGCTCCTAAGATTTGATCACAGTCTCAAACGTCAAACCAAGACCTACTTCCATGCTTCTGTGATTGCCTACCTTTTGGGTCTGATGGCCACAATTTTTGTGATGCATATGTTCAAACATGCACAGCCAGCTCTATTGTACCTTGTACCAGCTTGTATTTGTACCCCTTTGGCTGTGGCTCTGGTGAAAGGAGATCTAACTGCCATGTTCAAGTGAGTATATCACCACTCCACTTCTCTTAACTAAGAATCTTTTAGCTTTTAGTTTTTTTTTTGTATTTTTATGCTTCAATGTTGGTTTATTGGAATACTTTAATTTCTTCAATTGTTGTCATTTTTAACAGGTATGAAGATGCTACAGAAGAGGAAAAAGCAGAGGAAAATAAGAAGAAGGAAGAAAAACAGCTAAAGCAAGAAACGAAAAAAGTTAAATAATTTTTGACCATTATTTGAATTCCTATTATTATTTGAAAAAAAATCTTCCAAGATCCTCCACTCCAAGTTGTTTTCTGCACAAGACTGTCATTCCATTGTTTTATTATTTGGAGTTTTTTTTTTAATTTAATTTAAATCAAGCATATAGCTTTTGTATGTATTTGTTATGTTATTATTTTTTAATGTGTCTGAATCATAAGGTGCAATTGATTTAATTGTTTTTGATGAATTATGGTATATTTTCTATTAAAATCCTTTCCAGTCAGTGTTTTTTATTTTACTTGGCTCAATTCTCACATATTCTATATCAAACTATTCACAAGTTATACCACATCAATAGGAAAAAGCCGGAATTTATACCCATCATTCAGGTTTCTGAATGAATAGATTCATTATTTTCTTTCCCATGCATATTAACTGTTATTGGCATGAAATTTAAGAGAAATGCATACCCATTTCAGCTGGAAATAGTCCTGAACGTATCAGTAAGCCTAAGATGGCGTATGAAGTCAGTAACAAAGCTTACAAAGAACAAGTAATTTTCTGGAGCACTTTGAGCTGAAGGACCTCAATACAGGTATATGGCCAGTTGGTGTGTACATATAACTAGCAATAAAGAAGTACACCATATACTACTACTGCTCATACCCAGTTTTTTCTGCTGATATCCAGATATTTGTTTTATTATTCTGAAATTGCATCAGGTATACAGAGCAAAATTGAAGGATATAAGCTAACTATTGTATGAAAGATTTTTAATTCTTTCCTGTTTCAGAAATCTATGAAAAAATATCTACAGGGTATTTTTAGTGTGCTCAATGCTCAACATAAATATAGAACCCATTCACTGATAACAAATTCAATATTTAATTTTCAACCACTAAATAGCATACTTCTAATAAATACATTTTCATTTGTATTATTTTCTGAACTTCTGGTCACTCATTGTACTATAACTACTAAGTATACTGTTTAAACTGATTAATTCTTACTTTGTCTGATAAGATGTTTGGGAAAAAAACAAATGTTTTTACCTCAAATATTTATTAAAATGAATCCTCATCTCAGAAACCTCTTAATTAATTATGAAAAATAAACACATACACAGAAACTATTAAAGAGTGATATTAGGCATATCATGAATACCATTCTTGTCAATAGCTTGAACCTTGAAATTGGGTAAATTGATAGCTAGTCTCTTATGTACTTCTGCCACACACTTTTTCAAAAGTTCATAGCCTTGTTCCCTGGACAGAGACTTCAAGTAATTTCTGTCCATGATAGAAAGTGAGAAGTAACCTCCATAACCATGGGCAGCATAATCAACACTAGCAACTGATGCTAGGTGATCCATGTAATATAATTGTGGTCCATCATTTTCATCATAACCAGCCAATAAAAGATTCACACTGTAGGCACCCTAAAAACATGAATTCCTGGCATAAATGTATACCTTTGAAACATGATTTTTTTTACCCTGCTTCGAAGACTATCAGCCAAGTTTCTGCGCGTGAAAGCAGCAGCTTCTTTTGTACTCAACTCATAGGTGTTCCTCATTTTGTAAAGCTGGATATTCTTTGCAATGTACTCTGCAAACTGTGTGGTATCACCTGATTCTCCTGATACAGCCATTACTAGCCTGTTGGACATCTTGTGCAATTTATTTTCATCTGAAAGGTACCATTTGAATTCATGCAATGTAGAGATTGTAATTAGAACTTATTACCTGTTTTCATAACGATTATGCTCTGCGAAGCTGTCATATCGGCAGCTATTAGAACGAAATCATTGAATTTGATTCCCAGTAAACACTCCATTTTCACTTTCAAAATTCTTTCTTTTTTTCTACAAAAACGAAAAATGCCTAGTAATAATTATTTGAAGTTTTTAATGGAGGTTAGATTACAGCAATGTCACTTGTCATCCCTTCTACTTTATTAGTATTTTGTCCGGTAAGGATCTAGTGCAGACAGTCAGGAGCCAGGTATATTCCTCTTTTTTTAACACATTGGATTCATACTAACATACTATAGGCCCTGGCCCGGGCAGAACAATGCCACAGATTAATCTGTGCCAATGCCATTCAAATTCAGAAGAGTTGATATCTCGATATCAGAATCAGCAGGCAAAACGAATTTAGCTACAGCGGTAAATTCGAGTTATAGATATATTCCACTCATTTTTGAGGACATACACATTGCACATAAAATTTGAACTTGAACCACAGACCCGGCGATGGCGATAGGGAGCCTATAATAATATATTAAATGAAAATAGGAACCAATAATTGAAGGTTTATAGTAATCCAGAGATTTAGATAATAGATATTATGTTATCTATTATTATAAATCAATTCAATCTCTCGCTCAGACATGGCAATAATATTATGTATGGTACCTATATCAACAATAAAATTACAAAAAAAAACATCAACTTTTATTACAAAAAGAAATTAAGATCACATATTTTTTTTCATCAATACATGGATACTTGGATAAGGTTACTAAATAAATCAGTCTTTTTAGAACTTCATTTGATATTGGGCACACATCTACCTATAAACAGGATATAACTTATTATGTAAGGTATTTCCCAATTTCCTTCATTTGGTATTTGGTTCACCAACCTATAGCATATATAGTGAATACTATGATACATTGTGCTAGTTTCACTTGATTGTATATTTTTCCCAATAAAATTCCATATGTATCTCATTGAATTAAAACAAATAAAGTAAATTACATGAGATGAAAAATTTTGTAGTGAAAACATACAATTAATTTCTGTAATATTCAACTCTGATTTTCTGGATGACAAAAACAGTTTGTATGTTGTTGAATATGTTCACAATCAGATATACATAAATGGGAGAACCAAAAAACTTGTGAACATCCACAGTTATTAGTTTTCATCATACAAATTTCATACTGAATTGATTCACCTATATCCATTATCATATATATTGAATAAAACCATTCACATTCATATAGTGGAATAGGTATATACACCATATTTCTGAAAAAAAAACATTATTATATACTGTTTGTCCATTGAACATTTTGAATAAAAGTCATAAATACTTACATCCAATATTAGAGAGCATTGAAGAGGTTTGTTCTTCATTCATGTTTGATAGAGCAGGTACTCTTTCAACAGTTTGGGCAGAGGTAAAGAATAAACACCCTTCTTGGTGATATGTTGAAGAATGGCATCTCTACAAGCTGCTTGTAAGCTAGGAACTAAGCAGAAATACAATGTAAAACCCCAATTATAATACAGCCTTCAAAACTTACCAACATACAACTGGATTATTCTAACTTTCTTTGTGGTACCATACACATCAACTACAGCATGTAGGGGGGCTTGCTTGAAGGGAATCCTTTTCACACAAGCTCCCTGGTCCTCCCCATTAATTATGTAATGCATATCAGCCTCTAGTTCATCAGTGGGGACATACACAACCCCAATTCTGCTCCCAACATCAGTGGGAGATGAAGACCTGGAGGGCTTCAAAAGACTCAAAGGTAAGGTACCTCGGCAAGTTTTGACAAAGTTGCCATCACCAACAACTTTTTTCAGTCCTGAACGAATACACTTTTTGCCTTTCTTGTCCTCATACTCAAAAATACTGTTGTGGGCTTTGCTTATACCATAAATCCAAGAGGTGCCAATGTCTGCAAGGTCAGGTAAAGCATACTGTGGTATGGAACCTGTTCTGTATATTGTCAGGGGATCTAGCTGAGTGAGACCTAGTCTCATATGACCACTCCACCCAGTTTCATTTTGTTCAATCTCTATGAGGAAAATTTCACCTGGTTGCAGTGGTTTCTCACTAAACGTGACAGCATTGGCGAAGCTTTTCTTTCTGTAAGCTACTGTGTTATCGTCAGAGAGGACAATGTTTTCTCCGTGATATGGGTGAAACCTAGTGATTAGGTTTTTGTTGTTTGCCATTTCCTATGGAAATGAACACAGTGATGCCTTCTGAATTTTGTCCTTGTTCTTGGATCACATACTCGACAAGATTCATTAATAAAGTATATAAACTAGCAAAAAACAACTTCAATCAAGATTATTAATATTTACCTGATTGAAGGAAAAACAAAAACACCATGAAATTTCTTCTTCTTCCTATTCTTTAATATTTTGCCATTTGCCTATAGGTCGCGTGCACGAAGACCGACCCTGGAGGCAAAATATCGAAACACAACCTCATTCTTCTGTGAATTATTGAAACACAACCTCATTCTTCTGTGAATTATTGAAACACAACCTCACTTTTTTATTTGGTTACAGAGGAATCAAAAGGTTGAAATAGTTTTTCACAATATTTTGGCATACGAATCGTGTTTCTTGCGTTATTCATTAATTCAAGCATGCCTTCGCATTGTGCTGTTGTACAATGCACAAAAAATGCAGCAAGAGACTAGGGAATATGATTTTTCAGGTAAATAGTAATCTCACATAGTTATCATTATGAAATGTTGTCATTCCTTATTAAAATTCCTTCTGCCTTCTGCCACTTCTGCAATTCAAGCTAATGCTGCTAATAGATTGAAAATGTCTACAACACACACGATCGCCAGCATGTCAGACCAGTCCTACCGATTGATTGCATGAATCCAATCTTCTTGCATTATTCTAGAAATTTCAGGTATATTTCTATTAGCTGATCCTATTGCAGAAGGAATTCCGATGAGAAATCAGAGAAATAACCAAATTTCAAAAATGAAAACTATGTGAGTGACTATAGTAGGTACTTACTTTTGAATCATAATGTACCATCCGGATTTCTTCATCTTTTGCTGCAGTTTTTGTGCATTTTACAACAGCACAATGTGATGGCATTAGCGAATTGATGAATAGCGGAAAAATACGATTCATATGCCTAAATAATTGTGGAAAACTATTTCGATCACTTGTAAACAAATATGTTTTGCCTCCAGGGTCGGTCATCTGACAGTTCTTGCACGCGACCTATTGCTCGTTTTCGAATAAACAATTAAAAACTTCAATCATTAAAGGAAAAACACCATGAAATTTCTTCTTCTTCCTATTCTTTAATATTTTGCCATTTGCCTTTTGCTCGTTTTCGAATTGGGGAGTCGGCGTAATACATGGCGGTAAAATCCAATTTTAGCGAGCCTAAAGACATGCTACGAATGAGCCCATCAGTAACTAACGATCATTGGGAAACAAAAATTTCGAAAAAAAAAAGTGAAATATGGGCCGGTTGCAAAGAGGGTTGACCGACGCCGAGTGTTGATACTCTCCCCTGGTAAGGGTACCTGTCATGTTTCCGTTGAGATATCGCCTTCCAGAACAAATTCAAAATTTTGAAGAAATATTCACTTGGCAGCAGCAGAATTATTTCCGATAAGTATTTTCAAGGTCACGAATGTTTTTGAAAGAAAATTATCCCGAGTAGAAGGTATTTTTCTATCAACAAAAACATGTGAAACCGAGAAAAAAATTTTCGGAAGTTTGCGTGGGAGATTCAGTAAGAACATTCCATAAATTGGAGTTGCTTTCAATATATGAGATGAACCCTACTGGGCCCATTCTGCGTAGATGTCGAATAAAATTTGACACTTATGTATAAAACTAGTTTTTATTACTAAAATGTGAGAAACATTATATGACAAATTTGCCTTCAGTATCAAATTCAAATAAAACTTGAAGAAACATATTCCCAATGAGCACAGCGTCTTTACTTTTCAATTGTAAAATAAGCGAGATATTGCTTGTATACAATACCTTGGGGCACCCGGTATAATAGGCCGAGATAGATTGATTTTTTTTGGAAAAAGTAGTCTCCTAGTTTCATCATCCTCCCTCTCCCACCCATACGTGACCGCATTTTACGACCTAGATATAGTTCACCTTCATTGCACCATGCCTCACCAATCTGAATTATTAGGTGCGTCCTGTATCTAGATGGACCAACTCAGTGAATAAGTGCATTGTGGTTGAGCAAACCTCAATGTCATTCCTGGCCAAGTCACTGAATAGCAAAAAAACTGAATCTCCCATGCAGTATTTGGCAGTAATGAATTTGCGCCTTCGAAGTGCCCACCTGAAGTTAGCTTAGGGCTTAGATATGTCATTTTCATTTCATCATATCTTAATAATCCGAGACTTACGAGTCCCAAAAGAAGTATTCTAATTAATATCAAAGATACCGACGTATAGTTTCATGTCTGATTGTAGGATATTTTGTGGCCAACTGCCAAAATGAATGTTTGTCTCCAATGGCATAGGAAGTAGCTTTCCTTTGACACTTAACAAGCAACAAAGGTGTACTTTCTCTGCCTAGGAAGAAGAAGTTCGTTGCTATAACATTCCAAGAAATTTGAATGAAATTGGTAAACAAAATTAACACTTGACATTGGGTGCACAAAATGATGGAGTTTTCAATAAAAAAATTACACAATTTTGGTTTTATAACATTTGGAAAAAAAATATGTATCACGACAACACGACATGGCAGCAAGTAGATTGGCTGCCTTGAATGAATTCCTAGCTTCGCTACGCTCGGCTATGAACTATCAGCCGCATGAGTCAGTCTACTACTTTGCTGCCTAGTAAAAACTCGCTGTGAAAAATATTTTCTTAATATAATGTTCTCAATAAAAAGTATTCCTATTCCTATTAAAAAGTATCTTATTCCTTATACATCTTGAGTACTTTAGATCGTTAGGGAAATAGGGACTTGACCTCCGGGACAGGTTAGTTAGGAGTTCCTCTGAAGACTCCGCGTCTTCTGATTTTATAACCGTTCATTCACTCCATACACTACATTATTCCGTACTGTTCTTCCATTATGTGAACTTACCTCTTATTTTCAGTTAATTTTCCATTGTTTTTTCACATAAAAATTATTCGGAGAGTCATCATTTTCCGATGTAATTTAGTTTCCAGCTAAATGGAGTTGAATGTTAAATAAAACAAAGCATAGAAAATTCCATTATTTGCACTTCAGTTATGCCTGATCGTTTCCATCAACAATTTCATGAGCACATTGAAACGCGATTTAATCTCGTCCACAGTCCTATTTTTGAGTTCACCCGCGATAATTCGGAACGCATTGTCTTTGTCATTTTCCTTTTGGAACACTTCCAAGATGACCTTGTCCTCTTCTCTCCTCCAAGACGACGACAACTTGTAGGATTGCTCCTGGTTGGTGAAAGAAGACACGCTGGAGTTGCTGTCCGATTCGCAGTTGTCTTGAGAAGATTCTTCACAAAATTCTGAAAAACCAAAACAAGAAATGGAAACTACTAATACTCAATTATTCATTGTGCTATTTTTTATAATAGTTTCGTTAAGTACATGATTATTTTCGCCATACAAATAACGATCTTTAATGTATGATGTTCAGAAGGCAACAAAGAAACAATCAGAACCAAAGTATGCAAGTTTTTTTAGATAGTAAAAAAATATAAACACACTCTAATCACGTGCAAAGTGAATGTATAAAATATTGTAATATTTGAAACCCCAGCTTGCATCTGTGAATCACTTCAACTTACAGCTTCAATGACTGTGAATTTGACCATAATTTAACTATAAATTCAGCTAATATTATTAATTATCATATTTTAATACTTACCATCATTGAATATACATTGATTTTCGTTGAAGTTTAAATTTTGCCCCATGAGAACTAATAATTATTGTTCAAGTGTCGGTATTTGTTAATTTGTCATAATCTGCGAGACATAACCTCATTGCTGTCTACACCGGTATGGCTCGGACAATCGCCACATATCGGAGTTTGAGAGTTGTCAAAGAGGCCTGTTTACTTTATTTTTATGAAAAGTGTTCAAGTTGTTACCGTCAGATGTGGCGACACGTTATATTCTCTAGCGAATACACCGTCGTGATTTGGCACTGTGATGTATTTTTGGTGGCGTGATTACGAGGTTCGTGGTAGCTGACGAATGTCTCGACCAAACTCTCTACAACGAGACAAACTTCGAATTCAATAAAAAATATGATTTCTAAATCGTATCACCTTCAATTTTTATTATTCGGGAAGAAATGATGATTTATTTTCCGAATAATAAGTTAGATTAATTTGGAATAAGGTAAAATTGCTCTTGTCAAACAAACGGCTAAATGTGCCTACCTGGCTTGTCTCCTACCGGAGTTGAATACCATTTGCTCCGGGGGATGCAACCATCTTGTCCTGGAGTCGAGATGCTGGTTCCCGAGGTTTAGAGAACAGTATAGAACTTTTCACGAAGTTCGAGTATGAGCGAGATCACTATGTTTACCGGTCAACCAAATAGAGGAAGTGACGTGTCTTCCTTGTCCGTGACAACTCAACTCGCGTCTTTTTCTATCTACTTTCACCTTTTTGAGAATCTTCTCGATAGGTGTCGCATTCTGCCGAGATTTTGACTGAGCATTTGCAAAGATATAAACTATACGCACGAAATTAGGAGCACAATCCTTTTAAATATATGAGAAAAGAATAAGATTATTCTAGTAAATTAGCACTATCTTAATATTCAATCTACAAGAGAAATGAAAGGCAAAAAATAACTTGAAATATATGAGGGGTTAACAAATACTAAGGAAGCAATCATGAAAAACGGATCGAACAAAAATGCTTTTCGTAGCACTCACCGCTCTCGGATTCGGCGGTCTGCTGGTCGGGGCTGCCGGGCTTCACCTCTCCCGAAGACTCCCCCGCCGTGCTGTGCTCCCCCCACTCCAGCGAATCGTCCGCCGGCCGCTTCTGCTGACCCTCGGTGGCCCCCGGCTTGCTCGCCTAGAGGCAACAAACTATCGATATTGTCGCCTATCGATAGTGTCGATAGTGCACAGAAAAAACTATCGATAATATCGACTGACCTCTATCGGTATCAATGTATTTTGGTTTTACCAATGATGGAAATAAGTTGCTGGTGCGCGTACTCGGCCATTGCTCTCGAACCTCCATATGCAAAAAATCACCTGATTCCGAATTAACAGGATTGGCTTCATTTTTTTCATTTTCAGTCTCGAATAAATAGTGACTTCCAATCAACTACGAATTATGGAACGTTCAATGGCTCCGATAGGTGGAAAATCATGATTTGGAAGGAGAAACGGGTTATACTTTTTTATGTTGAACTCATCGTTTCCGAGTAAATGTACGTTTGATTGATTTGCTGGCCATAATTAGTTTGAATTGTTTGAACTATCTCCAATTTTTAACCCGTTCACTGTTCACTAAGCTAATAAAAATGTAATAATGTAAAAAAATTAACCAACTCAACCATCATCACTACCAACAGTGCCAACACTTTATGTCATTGACAAGTTTGACTACAGCTAGAGCAAGCTGAATGCAATGTAGTCTGTGCACTTTATCCATAGACAACAGTTTGTTTTCCCCCAGTTTGAAGTTCGTATTATGTAATCTAGATGTCGCCCACTTCGCGAATCTCGCGATGTGAATACTGTTTTTAGGCTCGTCCTGTTTGTATTCCTGAATATAAAAATAAATAAATAAATACTATCGATTGTGTGTTACCTCTGAGCTCGCCCCCCTTTCCTCCTCCGTCTCGGTCTCGGTCTTTTCCGGCTTGCGGTCGTCCGGCGGCTTTTTGCCGGCGCCGGGCTTCCTCTTCGCCGCCGGTTTGGAATCCTTGGCGAGACTGGAGGTCCGAGGTCGTGGCTTGGTGGGTAGGGAGGGCTGTTTGGCAGGGTCGGGGGATTTTTCTGGTTGCTTTTTCGGCCGTTTCGGGGGCTTCTTTTTCGGTTTTCTTTTGCCGTCCAGGTCGTCGTCGGTTTCCTTTCGAGCAATTCAATCGAGCATGTACAGAGTGACACATTTGTGAGCACGGACCACCCTCTCAGATTTTTTATTTATGGAGAGATTTTCACGAATTTTTCTTTGAAATGTTGAGTGGGGAAAGTTGTATTTTGGAGATGAGCGGCGTCCATTTTTTTTACTGAGGCCTACTAGAACACTCAGAATCCATTTTAATGCTTTATTTAGAAAAAATCCGCGTACACCACTAGAATAGGCGTCTTCTGAAATAGATCTGTACCAAGTTTCATGAAAAAATATTCAAAATAACGAATCTTCAATACTTTTCATGCCCGATTTTGAAATGTTAAGAATTTTCCGAAAATTTGATCAGAGGCGTGGGAAATAGGTGGGGGCTAGGGACATTTCTTCCCCGAACTTTTTTTTCTATGCAATTTTCGGCAGTTTGTCCAGGAAATATGAAAATATAATTTTTACGTAAAAATAATACTTTTGTTTAGTTTCCATAGCACTCACCATTTTCGAGATAAATCGATTTTTTAAAAGACTGCTGTGTAATAAAATTAGTACTTTTTCCTTATAAATATAATAGGGTACCAAAATTTAGATCTAAACACATTTCTGGATTCTAGAATCCTGAATTTTGGCCGTATTGATTAATTTTGATATATTGTATGGTTTGCATGATGTTGAATGAAATTTAATTTGATGCAACTCAAAATGCTAACTTGAAACTTTTGAATCCATCGCGATTTCTTCAACTTTTTCTTAGGAATTGAAAAAAAAACAATAATGAGTGTTAGACATTATTTTTTCTTACAAATTATTTTAAAAAACGTTTCCACACGGTATTTAAAAAAATACGAGAAGATATGATTTATTTCCTATGGAAAAGAAGGAGAAACATTTGAGGGGGAAGAAACATTTGAATATCTTCTAGAATGGACAGTGAGATGATGAACGATTTTTCTGTAATATCGGTTTTGTGAATGTTGAAATGGAAAAATAAGAAAAAAAATACATGTTTTGCAATATTTCTCATCACTTCAACCCCATGGCCCGAATATCTATGTTTGATTCATGTGTTGAAACAGAAATATTCTCACTAAACCTATTATCATTAATCTGACAGATATATCACAAGTAAAATGGTAGAGGAAGTGTTAACTAGCATTTCTCCCGCGCATTTGATGATTTCAATGATTATTTAAAAAAAAAATGATAACAACTGTTCTGTATGTATTCCAATATCTGCATCAAAATTGTATATTGTGCAACAAGTGGGGAAAGTTCACCTTTTCTCACGAGTGAAAAAAGTACTTTTCCCCACATGTTGCACACTATACTTTTTCTACAACTGCACTTATCCAAAGAATCCAAGTAATGTAACTTATTGGTATTCATTTTATAATGTGGCACAATGCCACATTGAATATTGTGACCAAAGAGTAGACGCGTTTCCTAGTTCCTCAAAGTATTTCAAACAAGTACACTTTCCGAAAAAGATTTTATTTCTGTAATTATTTTAGATTCCATAAATTTTTCGTATATGCCAATTCATACTTTTTTCTTGAAATTTCCGGAAACAAATCCAATTTTCCCAGCTTTTTCCATTATCTCTGGCTCTGGCGGTGTATTCATCAAATCTAGATAAATACATCATATTATTTATTATGAATTGTTGGGATAATATTTGATGGAAACTGCGATTTCCATCAAAAGCACTAATGAGAACTACCCTAAAGAATTTGAAAAACTTCTTCTGACAGTTGTGACAACTATTCAAAGCTGAACAGCCAATTAAGTTTTGGTCGATTTTTGTTGATTCTCCATGGAAATGTATGTGGTGTTGGCAGAGTGCCGTGAGAAAAAATATTTCTCACAGCATGAGCAATAAATACATGGTTTAGAAACCAAGTAAGCTATGAGAAATGCGCTACTTTTCATAGCAGTAGTAGGAAAAAGTATTACTGAAGTAACTGAAAAAAATTAGGGAAATCAACTCACATCATCCACGATTTCCTTTGACGAAGAAGCAGTCTGTTTGGATGGACTACTGTCTGAACGTTTCTTTTTCTGGATAACATTCGAGGACTTCCCCATCAGCCTAATATTGTGATCCACATTAGGATTAGTTAGGAATGAAACTGAAGCAGGACGCAGACATTTTCCCGATTGAATAAAGACCCTACCGTTTACAAACTGAAATAGAAAAAGTGTCAAAAATAAACTAATCTATGCAACAGTAATTTCGTCGCACCCGAAAATTTTGTTCCTGTTAAAATAGAAATAACTTTTTTCTGATTTGAACAATTTTAATTCGGATCACACTGTTCGCTAGCCCAGTCCTTCAGCTATAATCTCGTACTTTTTTAAAACATGGAGTTCTTCATATAAAATCGCTACAGGGTGTCACCTGAAACTGTGAAAAATTTCGGAATTCTCCAACGGATCCCAAATTACCACAATTTTTTTTTCAACTCCGACAGCAGAGGCATGAAGATGATCTCATTATCTAGGGAAATTTTTCAAATTGTCTTCTTATGTCTTCTATTCACAGAGTGATCTCAAAAAATTAACTTTCTGGCTTTGCAGTCATAACTTTTTTCCTTGTCAACCCGTTTTTAAATCTCATTTTGAAGCTGAAACTTCAGATGGAGAGATATGAAGATCAGAATTGACTCAAGATGAATATTATACAGTGTGTCTCATTTCTAATGGAAGCACTCCTGTATGTTTTGTAATTGTTGAGGTAGGATTCTGAAACTTACAAGAGCCGGAGATATACTGAAAATAAACACTATGACCAAGTGGAGTCATCTACAGTGATAAACACTGCTCGCCAACAGCCATGGAACTACTCAAATTTCCGGAAAATATTATTAGGAGCCAAGATAGGTTGAAAATCACTAAGGATTCAAAATCAGGACGACCAATTCACTGACTATACAAATTTTTTCTGGAAAATTTTCAGTTCACAAAAATCAAATTTTGTCTCACTTCTCATGGAAGCACCCTCGTATCTCACGTAATTATTGACGTAGGGTTCTGAAATTTGCAGGTGGAAGCGAAAGGGACGTCCCGATTTCGAATCCGAAGTGATTTTCAACCTATCTTGCCTCCTTATATCATTTTTGTGGGCGGTTCCATGGCTGTTGGCGAGCAGTGTATATCACTGGAGACGACTCCACTCGGTAATAGTGTGTATTTTCAGTATATCTACCGCTCTTGCAAATTTCAGAATCCTAACTCAACAATTACGAAAGATACAGGGGTGCTTCCATTAGAAGTGAGACACACTGTATAATGTTCATCTTCAGTCAATTCTGATCTTCATATCTCTTCATCTGAAGTTAAAGCTTCAAAATGAGCCTGAGATTTCAAAAATCGGTTGACGAGGAAAAAAGTTATGACTGCAAAATCAAAAAGTTAATTTTTGGAGATCACTCTGTAAATAAGAGAGATAAGGAGACAATTCGGGAACTGTCCCAAGATAATGAGATCATTTAAGTGCCTCTACTGTCAAAGCTAAAGAAAAAGTTTTTCTACATTTGGGATACTTTTGAAATTTCCGAAATTTCGCACTGTTTCAGGTAACACCCTGTAGCGATTTTATGTGAAAAACCTCATGTTTTAAAGAATTACGAGATTATAGCTGAAGAACTGGGCTAGCGAACAGTGTGATCCGAATTAAAATCGTACAAAGCAGAAAAAAGTTATTCATATTTCAACAGAGGCAAAATTTTGGGGTGCGACGAAATTAGTGGTAATGTATATCTATTTAGAGTCCTATCAGGTTCAGCAGTCAATAGAGACAAATTCCAAACTTTGAACACTTCAACAAATCAACGAAATGCTGAGTAAAACCATGTAAAACTGTTGTTATTCTGGATTTCAATATCTTTTGTCATATTTTCGTAACAATTATTTTAAGAACAAACAATAACAAACTCAAGAAAACAAAAAACATCTTTGTGACCATATTCACCTTCGTCCCACATTTGAAACAGTGCCGATATCTGGATTGGAATTCGGGATCTTCAATTTCGTGACAAGTGCAAATACACGTTGGGCCCCCATATTTGTCTTCGACGTCAGGTACGGTGACAGTCTCGAATTCCTCTTCGTCCATGCTCTTCGACATTTCTTTGGCGATGTCGATAGTTTCGTAGGGCCCCTCCAACAAACTATCAGAACGTTATTAGAGCTATTATGAGCTCACGGTAGCTTTTTTTATCTTTTGGAGCGCACGAAAGGGAAACCCTATAATGTTCTGAGAACATCGTGCGTACCAAGGGAGGATAAATGAGTGCAGATAAGTGATTGATGAGTATGGATAAGTAACAAATGAGTTCAGTATTGTGACAGATCAGTACAGGAAAAGTTGAGGTAATTCGCAATTTTTCTGTGAATATAATAACGATCGGAAATTAAGAAATATAGTTCAAATATTTGAATAACTAAAAATGTATGAAAATTTAGCCCTTTTCACTAATTCTATTTTTGTTGTTTGGAAGGGTCTCATGGAAGAAAAAAATTAGAAATTCAAGACGGCGGATCCAATATGGCGGATCAAATATGGCGGATACAATATGGCGGATGACTTTTATAATTATGATCCGATTCTGTTCAAAATTGGTATCTGGGGGTTTTTGGGGTCGAATTTTATATGATTCTTTCCTCAAAATTTGAAAATCAAGATGGTGAACGAATTTTATAATAATTATGATCCGCTTCTGTTCAAAATTCGTATCTGGGGGATGTTCGTGTTCGGAGATTGATTCTTTCGTCAAATTTTGGAAATTTGAGATGGCAGATCCAATATGGCGAACGAGTTTATTAATTATGATTCCTACGTCAGAATTGGAAAATTCAAGATGGCGGATCCAATATGGCGGACAAGCTTTCTAACTATGATCCGATTCTATTTAAAATTAGTATTTGGGGTTCTTCAGGGTTATGAATTATGATTCTTTCGCCAAAATTGAGAAATTCCAGATGACGGATCCAATATGGTGCACGAGTTTTCTAATTATGACCCGATTCTGTTCAAAATTTGTATCTGGGAGTTTCCGGGGTCGGAGATTATGATTCTTTCGTCAAAATTGAAAAATTCAAGATGGCGGATTTAATATGTCGAACGAGCTTTGTAATAAATAGTGTTTTGAAAAACTAATGGAACACGCTTTTATGGTTAGTCAAACTGGAAAGAAGTGGGAAATGAAATAGGTAATAAAAGTGTGTTATGTGAATATGGAAAATCAATGACCAAATAAATGAATATCTCAATAATTCGCCAAATATCCGGGAATAAAAAATAATATACCACTGAGTCATTCCAAATAAGTAAAAACATCAATTTTTGTTGATAATCTTCCATTTTGCAATTCACAAATGAGTACAGAAAGTGATACACAAGTACAAATAGGAAGTGATAATAAAAATAATCATTATTAGTGTCCATTGATATTTCTGAAGTTGTCATTTTTTCTTTGTTACTCCATAAAGAACTAACAACACAAATACTGACCTTGGTGGAGGAGGTTCGTCTAGGAAATTCTGCAAGAACAAATCGCTCAACAAGGAGTTGCCCTTGAACATTGGCAAGAGACTGCTCTTGATTTTTTCGCTGGAGTGATTTTGGGTCTGCGAAAGTTCCGTCAAGCACGTGTAGACCTTCTTCAATTGCGATGGCTGGTCCTTGAAGTAGATTTCCAGTTTTTTCAAAAACTTGGCTCGATTGTTCATTCTGATCCACGGTACCAGACGATCCACGGCCGCCGCTTCTTTGGCTCTCAGAAACAAGAGAAATTCGTCTGCCAGTTCCACGTATTTGGGTCTAAGGATGACCTCGATTTTTTTGTATAGATCCACGGCATCTCCTTTGTCGTGATCATTGAGGATGACGATAATTTTGCGGTAATCTTCTATTTCTAGCTTTTCTCTCATCTTATCATAGTATGCCAAAGCAAAGTCTGAAGAGAAATCGAAATACAAAGGATATTTTTCTTTTTATGTATGACAAATTGATAATCATCATACAGTTGTTTCCTGTTGACTATTCCACTCTTGATCTCGAGAACCAATCAGAATCGACCATTTTCACGCTTTCTTCTGTATTCTAGCGATATTTTTTGTTTATTAAATTTTATCGGACTTTGGATTCAAATCTGAGACAATAACCTAAGTTCCTATATTTTATTCAATTTACTTATAATTCGCGTTAGTGAGATATTTTGTACGAAAGGCGAGGCAATTTTATTCTGGCTGGACGTTTCATATGTAATTTAAAAAGTTTGCATATTTGTTGACGGTCTGACACAACAATAATACTAGAATTCAAATTCCTTTTTGAAGTAATCTTCTTCAATCACTCAATTACCAGCTGATGTAGCGCAACTAATAGGGCTAGAATACGAAGGTCGTTGGTTCGAGCCCTCGGCGACGATATCTTTTTTTTTTCAATTATTCCATGTCAGATGTCACATAGATTCAATTTATTTTGTTTGAATTGGATAGCAAATATAAACACTCTTTTGAGAGCAACCATCTCCAAGATGATAAAAAAAAATACTATTTATCAAAATTGTACATTCCACTTTGTGAATAACTATAAGTAGGTAGTTAATTTCTAAAAAAGTAAATTCTGTATTTCATTACTATCATTACGTTCTTCTTCGCAGTTTGAGTTGGAATATACTTAGATTATGTTTCCTATTTCTTATATATATTGTCTCATTCAATCATGAAATAGTCATACAATAATAATAATATATATTTCTCAAATTGAAAAGTACAGTTGATGCAAGAATGTAACAATGTACAATAATACAACTCGTGATACTATTTTTCCTGGAAATATCCGTCGATTGACATACCCCAGCTTGCTGCTCTTATTTTGCTCATGACATTGATCCAAAACTACTCGCCTACGGCTCGTAGTTTTGATAACAATGTCATTCACGGAATTACTTGGCAACAAGATGTCGTGGAATATTTCCGGCAAAATATTTTTTTTCAATACCACCCGGTTTGGTGTTTTTTGGTGACCAATTTGTGACTTTTGGAAATCTGAGTTGGCAACACTGCATAGGAGGGGTTATTCTGTTGTGTGTAACTTTGTTGTGCACAATAAATGTTATTATTATTAAATAGTAGCTATTATTGTATTTTATTTTGATACCACTGACTGTATGAACCAAACCTGAATGATAATGTTTTGCTTGAGAAAAATATTTCAGTATTTCAAAGTTTCAGAATTATTTCAACAAATACTATGTACCATAAAACCTTGATTAAGCTGACCTTCATTCTTCTGCTTCTCAGTAACAGCATCCTCTGGAGTGGCAAGAGTAATATTTGCAAGATACTCTTTCTTCAACTTCATTTTCCTTTTCTCTGCACCAGATGGTTCTTTTTTAATTGTGTTTTTAACAGTTGAACTGGCCACCATTAAAGCATTCAAATCACTCACATTATCCTTAAAATATATCTATTCAGCTAGTCTAGATACAAATAATCAAGAAATACTTACTTTTCCTGTTGTTTCCTCTATTGATTTTTTGTTCACAGTGCACCCAGTGGACTGGTCAGGTTTTTCACAAATCTCCATCTCATTTTCAATTTCCTCTTGGTGAAAACTTTTGCTGCTCATCATTGGAGGGTCTTGATTAACAATTCTTTTACCCAGATTCAATTCCACTTCTTGTGTAGTCAAATCATTCTGATTTTTTACTGGGGTCCCTAACATTGGCATACTTGGAAATATTGTGGGAATTTGACTTGTATGATCTTCTCTACCAACTGTTATATTATTCATTACTTTTACAGTTTCCTTTTCAGAACTATGCAACTTTTTTGGTGAATTCTCTGGAGTTGAAAGAGGAGAATAAAGTTGCAGTATCTTGCTAATTTGTGAAGGCCTACTGAGAATTGCAACAAATTTAGTGATAGGATCAACATTCACATTTCTGTTCAATTTAGTATTTGGATATCTTCGTTTGGCCAATCTAGGGCTTTTCCTTTTGCCTGATGAGGCACCAGTAGATGGATAAACTGGCAACTGTTTTGGCAATATGAAAGGATATAGTCCTGACCCTGGCAAACAATATTGTTCAATCTGGATAGGTACAACAGCATTTACAGGTCTCGAATTTGTTGAAGAAATATCCTGAAAGGGGGTACAACAGTGGATAATGATAGTTGCTAAGTACCTACAAAAATGAGTACAAAAACATAGTAATCTATGAAATACTATTTATAAACTAGAGGAATCTTGAAACATTTTTGTTATTTATTATGAGTTTTTAGTTAAATTAGAGAAAATATAATATGTTTCAATGATGTAGATATAAATACCTACCTAAAAATTCTAATCAAACAACAAGTCAACAAAAGAGAGTTTTGTTTTTCTATGACAAAAACTTAGATCATCCTGTATGATCTAAGGACAAAAATAGGTCGCGTGCAAGAACTGTCAGATGACCGACCCTGGAGGCAAAACATATTTGTTTACAAGTGATTGAAATAGTTTTCCACAATTATTTTGGCATATGAATCATATTTTTCCGCTATTCATCAATTCGCTAATGCCATCACATTGTGCTGTTGTAAAATGCACAAAAACTGCAGCGGAAGATGAAGAAATCCGGATGGTACATTACGATTCAAAAGTAAGTACCTACTATAGTCACTCACATAGTTTTCATTTTTGAAATTTGGTAATTTCTCTGATTTCTCATCGGAATTCCTTCTGCAATAGGATCAGCTGATAGAAATATACCTGAAATTTATAGAATAATGCAAGAAGATTGGATTCATGCAATCAATCGGTAGGCTGGTCTGACATGCTGACGATCGTGTGTGTTGTAGACATTTTCAATCTATTAGCAGCATTAGCTTGTATTGCAGAAGTGGCAGAAGGCAGAAGGAATTTTAATAAGGAATGACAACATTTCATAATGCTAACTATTATGTGAGATTACTATTTACCTGAAAAATCATATTCCCTAGTCTCTTGCTGCATTTTTTGTGCATTGTACAACAGCACAATGCAAAGGCATGCTTGAATTAAAGAATAACGCAAGGAACACGATTCGTATGCCAAAATATTGTGAACAACTATTTCAACCTTTTGATTCCTCTGTAACCAAATAAAAAAGTGAGGTTGTGTTTCAATAATTCACAGAAGAATGAGGTTGTGTTTCAATATTTTGCCTCCAGGGTCGGTCTTCGTGCACGCGACCTTTTTATTTGGTTACAGAGGAATCAAAAGGTTGAAATAGTTTTTCACAATATTTTGGCATACGAATCGTGTTTCTTGCATTATTCATTATTTCGAGCATGCCTTCGCATTGTGCTGTTGTAAAATGCACAAAAAATGCAGCAAGAGACTAGGGAATATGATTTTTCAGGTAAATAGTAATCTCACATAGTTATCATTATGAAATGTTGTCATTCCTTATTAAAATTCCTTCTGCCTTCTGCCACTTCTGCAATACAAGCTAATGCTGCTATATATAGATAGATTGAAAATGTCTACAACACACACGATCGTCAGCATGTCAGACCAGTCCTACCGATTGATTGCATGAATCCAATCTTCTTGCATTATTCTAGAAATTTCAGGTATATTTCTATTAGCTGATCCTATTGCAGAAGGAATTCCGATGAGAAATCAGAGAACTAACCAAATTTCAAAAATGAAAACTATGTGAGTGTCTATAGTAGGTACTTACTTTTGAATCATAATGTACCATCCGCATTTCTTCATCTTCCGCTGCAGTTCTTGTGCATTTTACAACAGCACAATGTGATGGCATTAGCGAATTGATGAATAGCGGAAAAATACGATTCATATGCCAAAATAATTGTGGAAAACTATTTCGATCACTTGTAAACAAATATGTTTTGCCTCCAGGGTCGGTCATCTGACAGTTCTTGCACGCGACCTATGACAAAAACATAACCTGCAAATCATTAGAAAAAATGTCAGAAGCTCTGCAGTGGGACTCTGTAACTCAAAGCGAAAGCGAAAGCATGCGTAATCGACTGCTTTTGCCGTTTCGGTACTCTGTATCAATTTTCGGATGAGGTCGGAGACGCCGAACGTGAGTTCGTAAGCGAAGCAGAAGCGAAGGATTTTGGTTGTCGCTTTCTGCGATTCTCAACGATTGAGGTTATAGGTATTGGTTTTTGTTGTTGTTCCTAGTTCGAAGTTTGTGTTGATTTGAGAAAAATAATAGATTAATAAATGAGGAATGAACCCAAACATGGATAACAAAGCGAGCAAAAACACAACTCAGTCAGTGGGACAGATTCCTCAGTTTTACGAACAAAATCCTAAAGATATTCCAGAGAGATGGAAGTTCCCTTTGGTAGGATTAAGGTAGGGGATGAAAGAACGTGAGACGTGATAGACAGTGTGATGAAAACATACAGCTCATTTGGTAGTTGAAAAATAAACTGAAAACTGTCATTAGTGCTGTTGAATAGGGTCTGGAATAATTCATATTCATTCGAATTATCCTTCTCTTCTAGATTCCTGATACATCAAAACAGGCAGATATATGTAGCTTCTCCAAAAAATGAAATGTGCCGTTACTGAATGTTGTCTCACTGAATCCTTATTAAGAAAAATCTGTCTTTGGTGTGAGTCCATTGAAAAAGACAATAATAGGTAATTAAAGAATCCTACTAATATAATATGCCGATACCTACAACAGTGAAACATAACAGAAAGCCTGGAACGTTCAAATTTGAAAAATTTGCATAATAAGTGCATTGGAAAGGAAAATAATTTGGATAGCAAAAACCTTGGAGACACCCAAGAAGAACTGTGTAATATTACTGTGTACCAATAAGGGAGAATCAAGAGTAAATTCCATGAAACAGGATCAACTGAACATTATTTACTATGTTGAACAAGAACAAGAACGGATTCTACTTTCACTACATACATACTAATAATTCCATCCAAGATTCTAAAGTGAACTGTAAGAAAAAGTGCATCTGTATAAATGCACTGTCAATATAAAGCTGCCTTGCAGAAGGCGATTCAAGGAATTATATATGTGCTTATCATCTTGTTTAATTTGCGACATAGAGAAGCAAGTTCTGATAGGTATTACATTATAGTATGTAGATATAATATACTGAGTGTTAGATTATAGAATGATATGTTCATGTTGTGTACTGAGTATGGTTAAACCTCCAGTATAATGTTCTACGTTGGTTTCAGGTTGCTATGTATAGATATAAAAGTTCAGTTGTTAATAATATTGGTTTTCGTGAGCCACATTAAATGCATGTTATCTGAATTCGATTATTGACTTCATATATAACATTTTGGCGACGAGGATGGGATCATCCCATGAGTAACCCAAAATTACATGCTCAGTAAGTTTGCCAAAGTATTGCTAGTCGAGCTCGCAATATGGCTACCTATGGAAACATTGAACACTTCGATCCCTGTGATCCCGCCAGTTGGGAAAGTTACCAAGAAAGAATCGAGTTCTTTTTCTTGGCGAATAACATTCAAGAAGATGAAAGAAAGAAATCCGTTTTCCTGAGTATTTGTGGCCCGGCCACATATTCTATCTTACGTTCGCTGATAGCTCCCGAAAAGGTGAATGCGAAACCGTTCAACGAGTTGATTCGAGTTCTTAACCAACATTTCACGCCGAAGACCTCAGAAATGGTTTGTCGTTTCAAGTTTCACAGACGCAATCAACAAGCTGGTGAAAGCATTGCGGTATTCATCAAAGAACTACGTCATCTTGCAGAAAATTGTGGTTTCGCCGATACTTTGGAGACCATGCTGCGTGATCGATTAGTTTGTGGAATCCTAGATGAATCCCTTCAGCGGCGCTTGTTAGCAGAACAGGATCTCACATTTGCTAAGTCTCAGGCTCTCTGCCTGGCACATGAGACTGCATCTTATAATCTCACTGTGCTCAAAGAATCTTCGACTCTGACAGCATCAAGCTCGTCAGTAGTACATTCAGTGAATAAGATGGAAGATAACAAGAAATGGTTTGATCGGAAGAAGAGATGTTTTCGATGTGACAGTGAGCATTCGCCTGACACATGTGCTTTCAAAAACACGAAGTGTCGTTACTGTGACAAACTAGGTCATATAGAAAAAGCATGTTATGCAAAGAAAAATAAAGTTGGAAACTACAAATCTAAACACAGGGTGCATAATCAAAGTACCGACGAAATCGAGGAGCAAAATTTCAGTATCCCTGAAGATACGGACAATATCTACAGTGTGCCATTACACAGTTTACAAATTGACTCTGGGTGCGGGAAATTCAATGTTAACATCCAAGTAAATGGAAAGTTGATGGAAATGGAAGTGGATTCGGGTGCCGCTCATAGCGTAATTGGTCAAACCAATTTTCAAGACATTTTCAGAGACTGCCCTCCTGTACTGGACACGCAAAATGCAAGGACTCCAACACTTCGAGACTACCAGGGTAACGTTATTCCAATTGTGGGAGAATTCTGTGTTCCAGTTCAGTTTAGAAACCGTTCGGCGGAGCTGCCACTCATCGTGGTTCAATCAAACCGAGCGAGTCTTCTGGGCAGAAATTGGTTCGCAGCGCTTGGCATTTCACTCACAGGAATTCATAACATGACAGCTACAGTGGATTACGAGAAGGAGTATCCCCAAGTATTCAGTGAAGATTTGGGAGCGTATAAAGGCCCCCCAGTGTCATTTATTTTGAATCCGGAAATCAAACCAATTGTACTGAAAGCTCGTCGGGTACCATTTGCTCTCAAAGAGAAAGTGGATTGTGAATTAGACAGACTCATTACACAAGGTGTGTTGGAACCAGTAACACACCCGCAGTGGGCGACCCCTATTGTCGTTGTTCTCAAAGGCAGTGGTGAAGTTCGAATTTGCGGGGACTACCGTAACACTATCAACAAGGCGCTGCGAACCAATACTTACCCTGTTCCTTGTGTGCAGAATATTTTAGCAGCTCTAGCTGGAGGAAAAGTTTTTGCAAAACTGGACTTGCAACAAGCCTACCTACAACTTTCAGTGGACGCCGAGGCTGCAGAAGCACAAACCATCATAACACACAGAGGGGCATTCAAGTGTTCGCGACTCCAGTTTGGTGTCTCCGTTGCCCCACAGATTTTCCAACAATTCATTGATGCGAGGCTAGCTGGAATACCTGGTGCCTTGCCGTACTATGACGACATTCTCATAGTGGGTACATCGGATTCAGATTTGGAGATCAAAGTGCGAGAAGTGCTTCAGAGATTCAGCGAGGATGGACTACACTTACGAAAAAACAAGTGTGTTTTCAGTACCAAGGAAATAACATTCCTCGGATTCCATATAAGCGCTGCCGGGATACAGCCAACAAACGATAAAGTGACAGCTATTGTCAATGCACCTGCACCAAAAAACACAACAGAGTTGCAAGCGTTCCTGGGACTTGTGAACTTCTATCATATGTTTTTGAAAGATAAAGCCACACTGGCCGAACCTTTACATCGACTCTTGCACAAGGACTGTCCATGGCACTGGCACAAAGAAGAGGAATTAGCCTTCAAGAAGATTAAAGATATCCTAGTGAGTGAACCCCTGCTTGGACATTATGACGAACATCGACCACTGTACCTCACTTGTGATGCTAGCCCTTATGGCGTGGGGTGTGTGCTCAGCCAGCCGAATAATGAAGCAGTGGATATGCCAATAGCATACCATAGCCGTACCCTGTCTCCATCAGAGAGAAATTTCGCACAACTCGACCGAGAAGCACTAGCTATTATGGTGGGAATCAAGAAGTTCCACGACTATGTCTACGGTCGGGAAGTCGTGATTCGCACGGATCACAAGCCTTTACTAGGAATTCTGGGTCCTAACAAACCAACTCCTGAAATCTTATCTCCACGTATGTTACGATGGGTAATCACTTTGAACGCCTACAATTATGAGCTACAGTTTATCCCTGGTAAAGAAATAGGAAACGCAGATGCTCTCAGCAGGTTACCGATTAAAACGAATGTTGCTGAGTCACCACCAATGGAAGAAGTACTGATGCTTGAGTCGATACCAGAAAAATACTTGGGGGCAAAGGAGATTGCTGAAGAAACGTCAAAAGATCCAGTTCTCTCCATGGTGCTTCAATGGACATGGAGAGGATGGCCAGACGAAAATAAAAGTCTATCAGAAGAGCACAAACCATACTATCAACGAAGGTATGAGATCACCTGCTATCAAGATTGCCTATTATGGGGTACTAGAGTAATAATTCCACCAGGTGGGAGGAATAGGGTACTCGAGATTCTCCACGCGTCTCACCCAGGAATAGTTAAAATGAAGGCCTTAGCCAGATCGTATGTATGGTGGCCTAACCTAGACAGTCAAATTGAGGCAAAAGTAAACAGTTGCGCTGAATGTCAAGAATGTCGTCCGATGCCAAGAAAATCTGCGATCCACCCCTGGGAATGGTCGCGAGCACCATGGACACGACTCCACCTAGACTTTGCTGGCCCGTTCAACGGATACATTTACCTGATAGTTGTTGACTCCTTTTCAAAATGGATTGAGGTGAGAATAGTGAAGACAACGTCAGCATCAGCCACGATATCGGTTTTGCGGGATCTGTTCGCCACCCATGGAGTTCCAGAGGTAATAGCTTCTGATAATGGAAGTGCCTTCACAGCGCAAGAATTCAAAGATTTCCTGCAACGAAATGCAATCAGGCAAGCCCTTGTTGCACCATACCATCCCAGTAGCAATGGACAAGCAGAAAGAATGGTACAAAATGTTAAAAATGCGTTGAAGAAAATGACAGGTGCTGATGTAAGAGTGAAGTTGGCCAGATACATGTTGATACAGCATGTTACACCACATAGTACAACAGGAAAATCACCTGCGGAAATTTTGATGGGTCGTAAGTTGCCTACCCTGCTAGATCGGCTCCTTCCTGATTTCAGAAAAGATATGGTAACAAAGCAGGAAACGAGATGTCAGCCATCATCGACTCCTCGAACTTTTGAGGAGCATGAAGGCGTCTATGCTCGCTCTTTCACACCTGGTGAAAAATGGATACCTTCAACAGTCGTTGGAGTTACTGGTCCCTTGAGTTACAAGGTGGCCACTCCAGAAGGGAAAATGATAAGAAGACATGCCGATCAACTGCGAAGTCGTAAATCCAGCCACGAGGATGGTGGTGATGCCCTCGACACGAGTGAACCAAGTCCAAGACCTTTGGAGATGGACATTGAAGAGCCCAACCGAGAACATACTGCCAGGTTTTCAAGTACTAAAGACGAAGGTGATACAAGCCTCGAGCCGCCAGGAAGACCAACAAGGAATCGTCGGCCTCCACAATATTTAGAAAATTATACCAAGTGATATTTTCTAGAAGGGAGGAGTGTTGTGTACTGAGTATGGTTAAACCTCCAGTATAATGTTCTACGTTGGTTTCAGGTTGCTATGTATAGATATAAAAGTTCAGTTGTTAATAATATTGGTTTTCGTGAGCCACATTAAATGCATGTTATCTGAATTCGATTATTGACTTCATATATAACAGTTCATTATAAATATAAGCAGTTACATATCTTACAATATTATTGTTATTCTCACTTCTCAGATCATTTGCCTTTACTAGTTGCATATAAATAGAAAGCTATACCTGAGATATACCTATAGTGAGAATATAAATACCTACCAATTTTTTATATGAACAAAGTAGGTACATATTTTCCAATGAGCTGCTCTGGGAAGAATAAGTTCTTGTTTGGCTGATTACTATTTTTGTTTGCCTTGATGTCAATATCTGTTTGTAGTCAATACATTCATTCCAATTCATAGAAACAAATCATCTTCATATGTGTTTTTGATGTTTTATTGAATATCTTTTGTCTCGGAAACTTCTCCAAGTGCTTTATTTCTGATTGAAACCAAAAATTAACAATACAATAATTCGTAAATGCCGCTTTTTTGATCCAATGGGATGTTTCCTTTGAATAAATGGGATCCGCAACACTGTTGCCAAATTTAACTCCACCAACCTCGTTCTATTTCGTATAAAATCGTATGACGATAGCGAAAGCATAACGAACTACATATAGAGTACCGGAAAGCGAAGTCGTATACTTCGCTTCGTTTCGCTTTCGCTACGCTTTCGCTATGCGACACAAGTTACAGAGTCCCACTGCTGCTCTGTGCTGTCAGATTTCTTCTTCTTCTTAACTTCCTGGCCTCTTTTCATATGATATACAGCCAAGTACCAATCAAGTGCCATTAAAACGAAGAAGATGAATTTCTTCTTTTTTCAGTAACAAATATGAAATTAAATATGAATAAAAAATAAAGAACATCAAAATTCAAAAAAAGTTTCTCGACCTCTATAAAAATTTACATTTTACGTACGTATTTTCTGATGAAAAATCGACTATTTTTGTAGGCAAGTATATTTTACGTCCACAAATTTATAATGACCACAGCGGACAAAGGGTTTGTGGAGAAAAAGTATCATCTTTGGAGGAAAAACACTTTCCTTCAAAAATAGTCGATAGAAGAGTTTTTCGTTCATGTTATACAATAAATAACTATTTCCGTGATGTCTAAATACCATAATACACTGTCAAAGCAACGTTTTCAAAATGCACTCACCAATTTAGGATGAATAAATTGTTTCCACTGATGAGGCAATTCTTCAGGGGACCTTCTACAAGGGGGCAATAATTGCCCCAGAGGGGTTACGTAGTGGGTGAAAGGTAAGGATCTGCCGAACTGAAAATAGTGTTTGATGGGATTGTTAGCACACCTATTGTGCTTGGCATAATTCACATGGACGAGAATTTTCCTGGATTCCCGGTACGTCAACATGTGTTCATGGATGAGGTCGCATACAGGGACACCCGTTTTACGGCTCCAACCATTTTTGGTAAATCTTTTTTCTCTTGTTACTATCGGCACGAATTGTTCCAGACCCATAGAAATCAAGCTGGAAGTTGTCTTTTAGAATAAGTTGTGCAAACCATTACTCTCAGGCATTTTTCATTTCAATTTTAGAGAATAATAATATGATAAATTCAATGGTTTAAAACCCACTACAAACTGGTGAAAATGAAAATTTCCACAAGATAAACAAATGTAGTTTCATCAACAGGAAATATTTCAATCATTCCAGATAGAAAATAATACGTCGCCCCACCTGACGGCAATAACTTGAACACTTCATATGACCAATGGGTGACCAATGAGCAGAAACAAAAAACAAATGTGAACCAATGAAACCAAAGTAAACATGCAGCTTTGACAGCTTTCAAGAACTCCCATAGGCGGCGTACACTCATTTTCTATAGGGAATGTAAGTTGTCAAAAAAGAACATTTTTATATTCTTGTCTGTAGTGTATTTCCAACCACTTGTATTAAGGTCATGTAACACCCTTGGTAACACCCTAGTCCTCAAACTTTCCAAACTAAATTTCTGTTCAAAAGGTAGGAAGATTTCTTACTGCTTCATTCTTGTCTTCATCAGTTGGAGTAATTATTACAATATTTTTGTATTATTGTCCCTGTAGGGAAAGATTATTCCTGAATTATATAATTTATCATTTCCAGTTTCTACATAGGAGGTCCTGCATATTGTAATGATTATTCTACCAGTGGTAGTTACATGTTCCTGCTCAAAGTTAAATATTGTAAGCTGTACAGCAATGCAACTTAGATGACTCCTTCTCCGACGGAAAATTTTCATCTCCTATTTTCATATCCTACTATTGTTACAAGAAAACAGTACCTCATGAAGACAATTGAAAAAAAAGACACTACCTCCTAAACAATTTGTGTGAGTTTTGATTGCTTTTATTGTCAACATATTTTTGGAGAGTATATTTCCAAGAAATATCATTCAAAAAGTAGAATGATTATACTTTGTATTGTAATTTGATATAGTAGGCTTTTATTTCTAAAAGTTTAGGGTCCAGAGAAATATTTTTATTGCTTTTTGAACAAGAAAGTTTAGTGAAATCCAGAAAATATTGTTTACTGAAAATGGGGGTTGACTTTGAAATACTGAAAACACACTTACTGATCTTCTGATTCTGTGTAGTAGGTGCATTGTTTAACAGCTATTTTTGGTGTCTTGAATGGTATTTTCGGTAAAAGTGAAGGGTAAACAAAGGCACTACTTTTAGAAATCGTTTCCAAAATCAGTGATGGAAATGTAACTATGAACTCAGTTCCAGTTCGGTGACAATGAATGCTAAAAAAGTAAATCTAGTAGTTTGTTTTTGCTATTAAATGATCAGAATATAAGAATCAGAGATCTACTCACGATCTAGCTATGGTCTGCTCTATATGCCTGTAACAAAACAAACCCTGTTCAAAATTATCATCCAGTAAAGAATGTCATCAAACATACATATTCATTTTCTTGACTTCATCACTATCAGTAGCCCATAACTGTTCCCAATAGTCTAGAAGTTCCAAAGATGTTGACAAATTGATGGCATGAAAAAATGAATTTTCCTTTCCATCACCAAGAAACTTTATATTCAACAGATATTCCTTCAATTTTACAGATAACTGATGCAGTTCAGGATGTTTATAAGTGAGTATGAAATTTTGAGTCAGCATTTGAACATGCTGTGCCATTTGTTGTTGCAATAGGGGAATTTGCTTGCTGTCTATCAAAATGTAAACATTGCTTTCTCCTTCCACAACTTCAACTGTCTAAAAATATCAGATTCTTAAAACCACTAATGTAATAGAAAATCTGCAATGCATTCTTTAATATTGTTTCTCACCTGTGAAGCATGAAATTCTTCATTTTCCTCATCATGTGTTTTATCAATTTCATTCTCAAAATCTTCATCATCAAACAACTCTGCAATCAAATCTACCAGTTCCCTTTTAGAAACCTTGACAGCTTTGTCCACTCTTAGCTCCTCTTTATCAACCTAAATACCAGAGAAAGTTAAAAATTATAGAAAGAACGTCTATATCCCTGAAATTGAGGGAGAACTCTTGCCTTATCAATTTCTTCATCAGCTAACACATTGTATTCTGGATCTTGCTCTTCATCTTCTGTAGGTTTAGCAACCTCATCTAAGGGAAGAGTAAATTTTTTCAGAAAGTCCATCCAATCCTCATTATCACATTCCATGTCACATATATCCATGTCTGTATCTGCAGGTGGAGGTATATCTGGGGGCACAAAAGCTTCCTCAATGGCTTCAAGTGGTGTTGAAGTCAAGCACAATTTTGACCTACAGAAATGAGTCTAATTCATCAATCAATGAACACCTGCAAATATTACCTTGTTCTAAGAGCAATGGTTGCATCATCAGTGGTCACTTTCTCAGGTTTGGTCCAGGGTATTTTGAAAACCCCATCATCTGTCCACTCAGTTCTAGGGCTATCTGAATTGAGAGTCAGCATAGGTGGAGTAGGTGGTTCAACAGAGGGGGGGTCACTGAAGATTGAACTGTCATGATCTTCTTCACCACCACTCTGCTAAATAAATAAGAACAGAATTACCACATTTCATAATATTGTGTCTCTCACCTCTTCCATTTCTTCTCCCTCTAAGGCTTTCACTACATCCCCTGGAACATATTCATCTTCAGAAGAATCATCTTCAGGGAGTTCTTCATTGACAAGAACTTGAACAACAGCAGGGGGCTCAGGTGTGATCCATGTAATAGGCACAGGTGGTGAGGTTGATAATTCTCTATGAAAATAAAACATATATCTTGGTCAAGAGTCTACAAAGATAAAAAACAATTACTTTGCTTTAGCTCTGGTGAGCTTTGGTTCATAGGAGGGTACCAGCTCTACTTCACTGGGGTTCTCCGCATTCCTAACCATGGCCAACACTTCTTCATTGGTCACTACCTGCCTGATCAACTTCTTGACGTGCATAACGTTAAAATTCATCTTGGCTGCTTTTTCACCAAGCTTCTGTTCGAGATCATCTTCATAGCTACCGATAACACTCCTTTCTGCTTCGGTGGGTTTTGGGGCTTTACGTTTACGAATGGGGCTTTCTACAACTATTTCTAGATTCCCGTCATCCTCTGAATTGTCTTCGGCTTCGGAATCATCGGCGATAGACTTATTTGTCATCGTCTGATTGGGCTCATCAACATTTGGTAATTTAATTTTGTCAGAATCACCCATAGTAGTTTGTAGGATTTTCAAAACTGTTCAAAACACTTGTTTCTTGTTTAGTTTTAAACGGTTAGAACTGTTCTTCTTCTTCTTCCTTTCGATTTGTATGGCCTTAGCTACCTGGGCTATCTGGCCAGTTAGAACTGTTCGAATAATTGAGGTTACATTAATCATCTTCCTTTTATTTTGCCTCTAGTTAGCTGTCAAACATACAACTACACCAAAGAGGAGCCCTATTCTTTGACTACACTCTTTATTTACTAACTTCCATCAGCCCGAGCATCATTTATCACGGTTCATCGCTAGCATCGCCAAAGCCAAAATCGCCCAACAAGAAACAAAGATGAATTAAAACGGTTCCAGAATAGACCATTCTCTACTCCCACTACTGTGGTCCAAAAGTCCAAAAGCATTGCCACCTTAGCTAGAATATAGTGGTTGTCCACAAAGTTCAAATAAAAAACAGAAGAAGAAGCGTTGTTCCACACAGTGCTGTACAATAATTTATTTACATTTCGAAAAAGGTAATTTTTCAACAGGTATGATACAAAAAGAACGATGAAATACAAAAAGCACCTATTGACCACAAAAAGTACCTATTGACCTACACCTACAATTCGAATTTCATTCACTTCCAAATAACTTAATACCTTCGTAGTTCTATTCGGTCAAGTGTCAAAACTATCCGAGGATTTTTCAATCAAGACGGGTAACATTATTTATTGTCCACCAAACCACGCCATCGAAACATGAGGTCAGGGTACTTCGGTAGAGCAATGATAAATATACTTCTTTTCCTTTTTCTATGATATCTTCTTCACTAATAATGTAAGAATTGGTCATTCCACATTGAGAGTGTAACCATAAGACGGTTCATGTCTTTTATTGATAACTTAAAACTTGAGGTTTTCTATATATTTGTTCAAATAATATTCTACTTTCTTTACAATATTTTCATTAAAACATGCCATAGCGTCTAGGGCTATCCCACAAAATGTTGTGATTCTTGACTTTGACATTGACCTCATGTTCTAGTAGTGTGTTGTTTATATTGAGTTCATTGAGTAGCGCCAACTGGTGAGAATGAACATGTTAGCCCTCATTTGTCAAACTTGAAGCTGTAGCAGCCAAACCTGCACCCCAAAAATATGGTGTTTTTGTATTGGAGCCTCAGTATTTCTTTCATTAGGTACTTGAACACTCTGGCTCTGGTCTGATAACTATTCCAGTAATCCAAATCAGCTGGAAATGCCCATCAACTAATCAGTGTACCTACTACCAAAATAACATTACAGGAGCTGGAATCCTTTTCTTGATTTTCCTGAAATGACCAAAAACACATAAAACAGCAATTCTTTCTAGTTATTATTTTGTTCCCAGATATATCATTACAATTAAGATTACAATATGTAATTCAGATTTCAGGATATTCATTGTACAGGTGGGCGGAGTTTAGTGTTCTCTGCGTGACGTCATGCGCGCGTCGAAATGATGATTTTGCATCGGTGGGCGGAGCTTATGGAAAGGTGTGTTGGCATTTGTATTTATGTGTGGAATGATAAATTATCAATTGAGGCTTTTATTTTGGGTCATTGAATTGCAATCATTTTAAAATCTTCCGCAATATTATATAAGTAACTTATTATATCTAGAGATAGCCGATTTTTCTATTAAATGCACACTCACCTTTTGAGAATTGAGATATTCTCTCCACTGATAAGGCAAATCTTCAGGAGATCTTTCACAAGGAGGCAATGATGGCCCTAGAGGTATTAGATGATGTACATAGGGTGGAGCTTTGCCGAATTCGAAATAATATTTGATAGGATTGCTGCTATGTTTCTTGTGCTTCATAACATTGATGTGGTTGCGGATACTGACAGACTCCCTGTACGTCATCATGTGCGCTTGTATGAGGTCGCACACACTAATAAGACCACGTGGTTTACAGTAACGTTTCTCTTTTTGAGTAACCAGCCCTACCGGCATGAACTGTTCTAATCCCAAAGAAATTAGACTAAAAATCATAGATTCAAACTCTTGCCTATATAAAAAATAGTTATTTTCCTACAACTGTCGAAAAACTGCCCTTTTTTAATATATTTTGTTTGCCTAAAGTGCACAAATTTTCCATTTCAAAAGTACACTTTTTTCACGGTTCTTGTTAGTCGATGGAATGAATGCTTGCTGTTTTGCTCGACGAACAAGTCTGTTGGAACAAATATGACGCAATCGTTTTCGCTAGCCACACACCTCACACTTCGGTTTCGAGTCATATTTGTTACTTGTTTGACGAACAAAACAGCCCACCAACAACGCAGTCTCTAGGCTCCTTTACGGGATCCAACAAGGCAGCAAGCGAACAAATCAAGGCGGCAGACTTTGTATTTCGTATGGTGTGCCAGTGAAATAAATATCTTTTATTAGATAATATGCTCGCATCACATATGTACCTGAACGCAAGTGGGATCAGCGAATTATTGAGTGTTAATCATTTATTGCACCATAAGTTGAATGATTTTCCTCTTTTTTGACAGTTGTAGGAAAAATATTGTATGTAACACGTGCTTACAGTGTTTTTTTACTCATAGGAGAAATAAAGTACCATTATACACACTTATTACATAGATAACTATTTATATGCAGGCACATATTTTTTATACCGTTGGAAAACAATCTCCAAATCCTTCAATTTTCAACATACAAACGCAAAATTTTATTGAACACTCATGCCTACACATTCAAAGCATATTTTCTGTTCTGCAATCTGCAGGAAACAGACATGGGGGGTTGAAAATATAACGGTTTGGAGGAGCTTTCAGAATATTCTTGAAAAACTCACTGATCTTCCGATTTTGTGTAGACGACGTTGTTTACTCTGTAGGCTACTTTTGGTGTCTTAAATGGTATTTTTGGTAATAGTGAAGGATACACAATAGCACTACTGTTGGAAATTGTTTCCAAAATTAAGGCTGGAAATGGAACTATGAAGACAGTTCCACTTTGGTGATAATGAATGCTGAAAATTCAGAATTTGAAATAATTGGGGTTTGATACATATAGTTCTAGTTACTCTACTACTCTAGTTGAATGATTCTAGCTGCCATACCTATATATATATACCGGGTGTCCCATTTTAATCTTTATTTGGAAATTTCTCGAAATGTATGCATCTGACAAAAAAAATTGACGAATAAAAGTTGTATGGTTTGGAGGAGGACGTCTGGTTATAAAACAAGTTTCACCCCCTGACCCCCAGGGGAGTAAGAAATGGAGGTAACATTGAAATCTTTAATGGAAACCCCTATTTTTTATTGCAGATTCTGGAAGAGCATTAAAAACTATGAAGCTTTTATTCGGGAACTTCTTTTTTATTTTCACAAGATGGCGCTGCGATCGTAAAAAACAATGTTTCACTATTTACACATTTCAACCTCCTGACGACGAGGAAGAGTGTAGGGTGTGATATTTTCCCAGACAAACGCCATTGGGGTGATATTCACACGACAAATTAACGCTAAACGAACTTACTTACCTTGACACCTCTACATAGAAAAGAGAAAAATAAGCATGTTTCAGCAATTAAGGTATCATTTAGGTCAGACTAGAGCTGGTTTTAAGTGAGATTGACTACTTTATCAAGTGTTCGAAATGACCTCCATTTTCTTGAATAGGTACACAAGTTCATTCGTTTTTCAAAATTCCGCATTGTCGCTTCCAACATAGCAGGCGTTATCTTTCATATTCTCGCGTGTGGTTGGGGGTTCGCGAAACACAATGTTTTTGATGTAACCCCACAGAAAGAAGTCTGGGGAAGTCAAGTCAGGTGATCTGGGTGGCCAACTACAAACTAAATAGTAAAATATTGTTTTTCAAGATCGCAGCGCCATCTTGTGAAAATAGAAAAGGAGTTCCTGAATAAAAGCTTCATAGTTTTTAATGCTCTTCCAGAATCAGCAATAAAAAATAGGGGTTTCCATTAAAGATTTCAATGTTACCCCAATTTCCCACTCCCCTGGGGGTCAGGAGGTGAAACTTGTTTTATAACCAGACGTCCCCTTCCAAACCATACAACTTTTATTCGGCAATTTTTTTTGTCAGATGCATACATTTCAAGAAATTTTCAAATAAAGATTAAAATGGGACACCCGGTATATATCTATTGGACTTCATTATACTTCCTAAAGTCAAACACAGCAACAATAGTAATTGAGAAGCCAACGCCTAATTAGCTACATACAGCATGATTTTAGAGCAAATCATAAATACATGAATATTCTGAAATATTGGGCATGAGAATATGTAAAGAACCTGTAAACATGCAGTATGAGTTGCAATTGTCTTATTTTCAATTTTTTCTCAATGTACAGTGTGAATTGTCTTATTTTCAATTTTTTCTCAATGTACCGTGTGACCCACTTAAGACCGGAGCACCCTTATAAAATCTATAGTTTTTAACCGATTTCTTTTTTTCTGTTTCAGCAGGACTATCCGGAGATCTACGTTTACACAAGTTTGCAAAATAAAATTTCAATCTACAGGGCATACTATGTTATTATTTTCATGTTGAAAATTGCGAAATATCATTAGCGATTTAAAAAAAAATCGACCCCACCACTGAATTCAGCATCCTTCAATCATGTTGAGCGCAAAATTTCATTGAAAAATTTCAATTGGCAATGAAGTTATGAACAACAATAATTTTGATTGCTCACCATTTTTTATGAATATTTCAGACAAATTCTGAGAAGCGGCAAAATTGTCAAAACAAATACTGGAAATCATTGATGTTTCTGGTTTTTTGAATTGATAACACAAATTATTATCGAGTTATAATCTCTAGAATGGTACCCTTTTGGAATGATCTACATTTTCAATTAGATAGCTGCCCAGTGCATCATGCCAGGATTATCAGACAATAATGGCTGAATGAACAGTTTCCTCGTCCTTGGGATTGGTCGAGGAAGTGAATTATTTGGATGGCCACCCAGGTCCCCCGATTCAACTCCTCTTGACTACTTCTTTGTGGGGTTTTATTGTACAAAAAGTTCACAAAACCCGCCCAAGAACTAGACAGGATAGTTGTGTGAAAGAATACGTCAAGCTTTTAGGAAAGTTACACCCGAAGGACTAAAAAATACTGTGAAAAATAGATATGAAAAATGTATTCAATTGAATGGTGGTTTATTGGAAGCAATAAAAATTTTGAATGCATTGATTAGGGCTTATGGACCGAGATTATTCAATGATGTATATTATTGAACTTATTTGTATGATGGCTGGTAGAAAATTTGGAAATGATAAAATTAAGATGAATTTATTATTTGATACAAAAATCCTTGGTTGATTTGATGATAATTATAGTGAGAAGCCGATTTTTCGACGTTATAACTCGATAATAATTTGTGTTATCAATTCAAATGTATACCAGAAATCTCAATGATTTCCAACATTTGTGTTGACAATGTTGCCGCTTCTCAGAATTCGTCTGAAATATTCATTAAAAATGGTGAGCTATCAAAATTATTGTTGTTCATAACTTCATTGCCAATTTAAATTTTTCAATGAAATTTATTGCGCTCAACCTAATTGAAGGATGCTGAATTCAGTGGTGGGGTCTATTTTTCTTGAAAAACATCGCTATAATGATATTTCGCAATTTTTAACATGGAAAAAATAACATAGTAGATCTCCGGATAGTCCTTCTGCTGAAACAGAAAAAAAGAAATCGGTTAAAAACTATAGATTTTATAAGGGTGCTCCGGTCTCAAGTGGGTCACACTGTATAATGCTAAAAATCTGAAAATCAAAGAAGTTGGTTTACTTACCATTTAGCTATAGTTTCTTCAATGTGCCTGTAACGAAACCCAAAATGTAAATCAAAATAACAAAGGTCATTCAACTTACAATTTCATTTTTTTCACATCATCATTATTAGTAGCCAGTAACTTTTCCCAATAGTCTACAAGTTCTAAAGCTGCTGACAAATTTACAGTATGAAAACATGATCTTTCTTTTCCATCACGAAGAAATTTTATATTCAACAGATATTCCTTTATTTGGGCAGAAGAATGATGCAATTCAGGGTGATTATAAGTCAATATAAAATTTTGAGCCAATATCTGAACATGTTGAGTCATTTGCTGTATCAAAATCGGTATATGCTTCAACTCAATCCAATTTTTTTCTTCCTCATTTTCCACCAATTTCTAAAAATACAAACATGAATTTCAGAAATCACTGATTTGTTATAAAATTACTGGTGTGCTTACTCCAATATTGCCCATCTTTGTTGAAGCAGATAAATCTTCTGGACCATTTTTAGAGCCTACATGTTCCAGTTCCCTTTCAACTTTTGTTTCTTCTATTTCAATTTTATACTCTATGAATGCCCGATCTTTGAAGACTTCTTCAGATACTTCCTCTTTCTCAAAGTCTTGATCTACCAGTTTCTTCTGAAATACTTCAGCATGTTGAATGTCTCCAATTGTTTCTATTTTATTCTCATAACCTAGATCTAATAATTCCTTTTTGAATTCTTCACCATCCTCAGTCATTTTATGAATTTCATTATGAACATGTAGATCTGTCAATCCCTTTTCAAAATGTTCAACATTTTCTTGCCTGATTTTATCTATGTCATTCTGATTCTCTGAATTCTCCAATTCTCTTTCAAGTTCTTCAACATCTTCCATTTCTTTATCTTTCATTCTATTTATATTATTCTCATCATCTAGATCTACCAATTTCTCATCAAATTCTTCAATCAGTTCATCTCTCATTTCATCTATTTCATTCTTATTGTCTAGATCTATTAATCTCTTTTTGAATTGTTCAATTTCTTCATCTCCCATTTTATCTACTTCATTCCTATTGTCTAGATCTACTAATTCCATTTTGAATATTTCAATTTCTTCATATTTAAAATTGTGAAAATCTTCATCTTTAATTTCAGCTATCTTATTCTCACAGTCTAGATCTACTAATTCCTCTTTGAATTCTTCAATTTCTTCACCTCTCATTTCATTTCCTTCATTCCTATTGTCTAGATCTAGCAATGATTCCTTTCTGAATTTATCAATTTCTTCAACTTTGATTTCATCTACTTCATTGCCATAGTCTAGATCTACCAGTTCCTCTTTGAATTCTTCAATTTCTTCATCTCCCATTTCATTTTCTTCATCTTTTATTTCATCTATTTTATTCTCATAGTGTAGGTCTACTGATTCCTCTTTGAAATCTTCAATTTCTTCATCTCTTGTTTTATCTCCCTTATTGCTATTGTCTAGATCTAGCAATTCCTTTTTAAAATTATCAATTTCTTCATCTTTAATTTGGACTATTTCATTCTCATAGTCTAGGTCTAATGATTCCTCTTTGAATCCTTCAATTTCTTCACCTCTTATTTTATCCACTTCATTCCTATTGTCTAGATCTACCAATTCCGTTTTGAATTTATCAATTTCTTCATCTTTAATTTCATCTATATCATTCTCACAGTTCAGATCTACTAACTCCTCTTTGAATACTTCAATTTCTCCATCTCTCATTTTATCTACTTCAATCCTATTGTCCAAATCTACCAATTCCTTTTCAAATTTTTCAATTTCTTCATCCCTACTTTCATCTATTTCATTCTCATATAGGTCTACCAACTCCTCTTTGAACTCTTCAATATTTTGATCTCTGGTAATATTAATTTCATTTTCATAGTGATCTACCAGTTCCTCTTTAACCTAAAAACCAATAATAGTGCTTTGATGCATTGATAATCCACAGGAAAAATAAGAAACTATTTGAAACAACAATTTTTAAAAGGAATAATTAGAGGTATATTTTCATATGTTAATAATTCCCACTAACCTTATCAACATGCTCTATAAATTCAGTTACCCCTGCTGGCTGAGGCTGACAAGTCAATATTTTTGATGTGTCCATTCTTTCCTTTGTATTAGTAGTGAAAATAAAAGGGGATGTTTGTTTGATGGTTTGCAGTGGTTTAAAACTCAAACATGAATTTGATCTAAAGAAAGTAGATATTTTGTACAATCAAACATTCAGGGTTACCTTCAACTATTACTTACCTAGTACTTAGATGAGCAGTACCATTATGAGTGATATATTCATCAGGTTTGGTCAAAGGGATTTCAGAAGATTCTTCTGAATTACCTGGGTGTTCAACTGAGAGGGTATGTTCATCATACTGCAAGACAAAAAATATCAAGTACCAACATATGAATATTTTTTTCATAATCCAATCACTCATATTTCTTACCTCTTCAATTCTCTTGCTGAGTAACAAGTTCAGTCTATTACCTGAGACATCTTCTGGTAAATTAGAATTGTTTCCTAGCAGCACATCAGATAATTCCCTATGAAACAAGCCAGGAAACAAGTAGGTAGGAGTGGTAGAACACAACTAACAAGATATACCAATATTGTGAATGAAATTACCTTGCTTTTGCTCTGGTGAGCATGGGAACACACATAGTTCCCTTTGTGAATTCATCAGATTGCCTATTCTTAGCCAACTCTTTTTTGGTCCTGAGTTGTTTGGTGAAATTCCTAGTGTGTATTAACCTGGTTGTGTTTTCTGGGGCCTTACGTTTTCGACGAGGAGTTGCTAGTACCATGTTCAGATCGGTCCTTTCCTTAGGATTATCTTGGGAACCCTTTGAAAAAATATTTGGAATTAGTTTCTTCATAACAAGCGTCAATATCTGCCTAGATAATTGGGATGTTTGGTTCTTTGCTTCATTGGTTGCCGAGATATTTCAAAGACAAAGTTTGTGGATAGACATTTTCTGGTCTAAATAAAAATATCAATATAATAGTATTATGATACACTTTGAACTCCATTATGAATTATTATGCGTACTGCCACTGCCAGTTGCCAGGTTGCCGGATGAAAAATCAGAAGAAACTTACTCAGCCAGTCTGGCCCTTTGTAAATTTTTTGGTGGGGGAAGATTTCGGCAATATCTGTTTACGTACGTGACCATAGACTTTGCACTCCATTGCCAATAGACCGTACTGACCGTAGGGTGAAATATCAGAAGAAAATTCTCAGCCAGTCTAGCCCTTTGTCATATTTTTGGTGGGGGAAGATTTTCAAGCACGGCCTTTCAGATATGCGCATGCGCATTGCGTTCATGATCTTGTCAAAATACTAAACGCTAAACGTCACGTCAGCTGTTTCTTGGTTTTGCTTTGTGTTGAATCGGGTTCGAGTTCATGTACATTCTCAGCTGTTTGATGTTCAGAGAGTGATTGATTTCAAGAGTATACATCTTTTTTCAAATTTTCAATAATGTCTGAATCTCAATCGACTTCGTCGAGTGGCGAGATTGCAACTCCTCACGTAGAAAATGTCGATAAATGTGAGGAATTCGCTGAGCCAGAGGCAAAAAAACGCAAAACTTCCAACAAATCCGAAGAAAAGAAATATAAATTGGAGGACAGACTGGGTGGAATTTTGTGCTGCGCAGTTTGTCTGGACCTACCTAGAGCAGCGGTTTATCAGGTAAGTTTGGAATTTAAACCCTGGTATGTAACATCTGTTTGATAACAATAATTACGTAATAATTGGGAAATTTCATTTTTCCTTTGTTCTGTTTTTGGTTGCAGCATAATGCTGCAGGCGAGTAGTATTGATTATACTTGCCTGCAGCAAAAATATAATCGCAGAGCAGGGGTTCTTTTTGTTTTGTATCCTAGTGGTACTCCAAGGCCTTTGTTCTGTGTGGACTCCATATTGACTTCCTGGTTTTTGTCAGGTCAGGAATTGTTTATAAACTTTTTTTTTTCATAAAATCTGATAAGCTTTACAAGTACCTATTGCGCATAATTATATACATGAACAATGATTGTGTTAATTCAACCAAGTCTGTTAAAATAATGAGAGATAAAGTACATTTTTTGTAATATTGATTCTTGTACATGATTGTAATTACTGAATATACGAGAAAAATGATTTTATGATGATTGTGAACTATAATTATAAACTTGTAAATTTCTAGTCACATTTTTATACTAATTTATTGATCTAAAATTGAATAAATTTATTGAATTTAATTTTGGGTAGTCCTTTTCTATTAGATTTAAGTTTTTCTTTCCCCAAACCCACTCCTTCATTGAATGATGTCATACAGGTAGGTGAAGTGCATCTAAACACCTTAAGTGATCTACTTTGGATCTACTAAACAAGTAAACATCAAGAGTAGGTAGGTACTTCATTGATGCTGACTCTTGTAACACACAAATGCCTACCCATTGCAAACAAAAATTTTAGTTTCCAGTAAATAAAAAGTAGGTAGGTATGTAGCCAATCATGAATCTAGAAATAGATACTTTGATAAATAGGTTACAACCCTTGATGGGTGGGTACACAGATTAACAAACCTTAGTGGGTAGGTATGAGTAGGTATGTGAATTCACGAATTTAGTTATGCTAGTTCAAACTCATTTTGAAAAAGCAACAGAAAAGGTAATGTAAATGTAGAAACTAGAATGCAAACTTTCTTTTTTTATTTACATTTATTCCATATTGTATTGATCATTTTTGTGTTAATTCCAGGGTATGAAGAGGATTGGTAAGTTTTTAATATCAGCTATTTATTAGAACATGTTTCTCCGAATTATTAACCCCCTGTATCTCAGGAACTATTCAATGTAGACGAAAAATCAATACAACTATTTTTATTGAAGATTTTATGTTGTTCAATTTTGTACCTATATGTACACTTTTTTGCTGGAGACCGCGATTTTCTTATATATTTATAACTTGAAAAAATGATCTTCAAACGCTCTCCTTTTCGCCCGCTCATGTCCTATGGATCAGACATTTAGGATGATATTCATGACAATTTCTTTCATCACTGTACACTGTACAGGGTGGGCTAAATTGGACACTTTTCCCGTACTAGACAAAAAAAACTGATGTTGCTGCCTGTTGATCAATTCACATGATAAACTGAATGGTGAAAACTGCATATTGATATCTATCTTCGTTTCAGAGTTACAAGGTGTTTTCCGAAAATATGAATTTTTGAAAAGTGGCTAAAGCTCATTTTTTTGTCAAAAATTCTTCGTTTCCATAAAAACATTTCCAAAGCATTATATTTGTCATGAAAATTGATCCTCAGACACTAAAATCAGTCACCATATACATAGTTTCAAAATTGAACTTTTCCTTCAAGAAGCACAAGCTATATTCTTGAACAAGATATAGGAAGGCCGATTTCAGTGCCTCTGGAATAATTGTTATCACAAACTCAATGGTTTTCAGTTATTTTCATGAAAACACAATTTTTGCCAACAAAAATATTTGTAGCCACTTTTCAAAAATGCCGATTTTCGATGAACACCTTGTAACTCCGAAATGAAGACAGATATCGATATGCGGTTTTCACCATTGAGTTTTGCATGAGAATCGACCCTCAGGCACCGACATCAGTTTTTTTTTCTCTAGATGTAGAATAAGACTTTCCCTTTGAACAGTATATCCAATTTTTGTTGAGACTGACAGAGATTTCTTGGTTGCTATTGAAGATGGAGCTTTGCGGTTATCACGTTCCTGTCCTACTTTTTGTGAAGTTCAAGACGCCCTATCGAAATTTTTCATAACTTTTGCCGTTTAAGAGATACAGGGAGATCTTCAATAAAAGCCATCAAGAAACCTGGCAGTATGAACAATTTTTTCGCAATTCGACCTATTTTGGTCTTTGTTGATTCAACTACACCTTTTTCAATTGTAATTCAGAAAGTATAAGATGTAATTCAGAAAGTATAAGTTGTAATTCACAATAGTTAATTGTAATTCAGAAAGTATAGCTTGAAATTCAGATTAGTTAATTGTAATTCAGGAAGCGTAATATGTAATTCAGAATAGTGGAATGTAATTCAGAAACCGTCAATTGTAATTCAGAAAGTATCACTTATGATTCCATAGTGGGTATTTATGAATTACAAGTGATGCTTTCTGAATTACAAATTACGCTTTATGAATTACAATTGACTATTCTGAATTACAAGTTACACTTCCTGAATTACATTTCACAAATCTGAATTACATATGCATTCTGAATTACAATTGACTAATCTGAATTACAATTGATGCTCTCTGAATTACAATTAACTATTCTGAATTACAAGTTACACTTTCTGACTTACATTTTACTAATCTGAATTACAAGTTATACTTTCCGAATTACAATTGAAAAAGGTGATCTCCATATTATTATGATGATGAATAGTTGTCAATGTACACTTTTGGGGATTTTTTTAAACTATTTTTTAGATAGGTAGTAAATGCCTATGGACAAAAGGTGTTCCATGACTCGACTATACTAATTTTTTTGGTTAGGTTAGATTCTTGGACTTTGGATTCTCAGTGAAAAACTTTGTAATTTAGTGTAGTCGATTATTTAATTATACATGGGAATAATACATTTTATACAACACTGGTCTGAAAAAAATTAAGATGGTAGAGTCCGACGTTAACTTTGGGACGGTCCGAAATCATCGCAAGCATGCGCAGTTCCAGGGAACAAGAAAATCTCCAATAGTTCTGTGAAACTGCGCATGCTCCTTATGGTTTCAGAATGTTTATTCATCATTATCATAGCAGCGAAATAACGGCTATTTGACATGAAATTAGTTGACATTTCGAAAGTTTGGTTGCAATTATCGCAATAAACTATCGAAAGCAGCAGCGATAGTGAGTTTGAAGATGTCCATACGAAATTTCCAATATACCGGGTGACACAGGAGTCATGTTACAGCCTGTAGTTTTTTTATTTGAAGAGCTACAGATTTGAAATTCCCAAGGGTTATATTGTGGATGATAACGCTTTCCTTGAACCCAATGACAATTTTCTTCAGTCACCTGTTTGATCGGAAGTACACCCAACTTTTTTTTTCATATGGCACCCTGTATATTTGTGTAGCCTATCTTATTTGCCTTGGAATTCTCTATTCAAATATGTATCACAATTTGATATTCGTTCATTAATTGGCTGTTGAATTGCATTTTATTAAAATACATGTTGGCTGTTATCCGAATGCAATGACATTTCGATGCTTGATAGGCTTAGAAATCCAAAGATCATCACTTAGGCGATATTATCAGAATATTTTCCATATCCTAATCGGCCCCAGAAGATTTGCAATAATTTCATCCGAAAATTATATCAGAATTATATGTCTACTCGTCTAACAAAACAGTAATATTCAAAATATCTTTTTTGTTCGCCGTTTTTCATAAAAATTGTGTACCCGTTGAAACGAATGAACAACCACGCGCTGGTCGTTCCCTCGAACGCACCTCTCGACCGTCCGTCCAACGCCCAATCACCGAACATGACCGAACCGTACGAATGTTGCAGTGCACCAACGGCCACTTGATGTGCGCCGGCTGCTTCACGCACGTGCTGGCCGACGCGAGGCTGCGCGACGAGTCGGCCACGTGCCCGAGCTGCCGCGTCGACATCGGCCGGTCGTCGGCCACGCGCAACCTGGCCGTCGAGAACGCCGTGTCGGAGCTGCCGGCCGAGTGCCAGTTCTGCGCCGGCGCCTTTCCCAGGAACTCGCTGGGCCGGCACGAGGAGACCGAGTGCGAAGAGAGGTGAGCGACTAACCACCACAACCGCCTAGGGATGGCTGATACCAAAATCTGAGTATATATGAAACGCAGAAACGGCAAGGGTTCTATGAAACGTTAGATACTATTTTTGAATTTAGCTCATTGGTAATTTGAATTTCACAATGTTGGTTAACCCATAGTGGAAGAAGATGGTGTGCTCAACAGAAAGCTCAAACTCGTTTGGTTCTGCGCATGACGTCAGCTGGGATATAATAACTGTCATTGATATTATTTGTATTCGTGATTGATGTCTCGAACTTCAGATATTATATAAGTACTAAAATTGAATTAAATAATTTCGAAATGCCTACTTGCTACGTTTCTGGTCATGAAAATTCCAACTAACATACAAAAGACACAGATATTGCATTTTTCTGCTTTTCCAAGAATGGAGACCTAATGAAACGATGGGAGCTTGCTGCCGACAGAATATAAACTCAAATAATGGTACCTACTCCTTATATTCTCATTCCAAAGTATTCACCTATCATATTATCATCACATTCATATAACAGCGCGTATTTCTTCAAAACATTTCCATGCAAAATGTTCCCAAACAAGTGCGAAAGTACGGTTCTTGAATTACACACCTCTAAAAAATCACAAATATTTGAAACAAGATACCATCCCTATAGAACATCTTCCGAATATCAAGTCAGAAATAATTGAAAATGAATTCAAAACTCATAATTTCTCACAAACTATAAATTGCAGCAAAGATTTGAATACCAAAATGGCATAAATTGATACTCCTGTTGTCGATGTCGGAGCAGAAGCAACGTCAATCTGTCAGAATCGACACTTTAGTGGATCATTCAGATGGGATTGGCAATGCATGATAATTCGTATGTATTTGCTATTTGCGATTGCGAATTACCTCAAGATCACAATTTCCAGAATAAATGGAGTAGTAAAATCGAAGGAATAGGAACGTGTTTATATAAATTGAATTATTTCTTAACAGATCGAGAAACTTATAGAAATTTCAATAAACATGATTGAATTCATTGCGCACGCCCATGGCAACGGTATCTGTCTATGACTAGCAGCTGATATTAGTATCCCAGATGACGTCACATAATATGCGCGTAGGCACACCATCTTCTCCTTCCACTATGGGTTAACCTTATTGTCAAAATGTCTGTCAGGTAGACCAAAGATTGACTCTGCGGTATTGTTCTTCACAGAAATCAAAAAGTAATTACTTCAAATCATTATTGAAATTTATTGCACAATATTTTCATGATTGGAATCATGAAACTTCATCGGGATAAAGTAAAAAAACAAAAAAAATCTCGTTTTGCAGGGTTATATGAAATGCCATGGAAACATATCAATAAACCAAGAACAGATTTACGCAGAAATCTCATTTTCAGTTTTATGTTATTTTGATGATGAAAGTTGTGACTAGGATCTCATTTCCATTTTTTATTATTTTCTTAGAGTTTTTTATGCCCAGAATTTCAAAGTGAAACAATAAAATGATGTTTTGTATTCCTTTTCTCTTTCAGTTATTTGAATGCTGTTTTTTTTTCATCAAGAAATAACAGAAATCCATGGAGAATAAACCCTTCTATATCCTTCAAATAACCATGAATATTTTTATTCGTTCCGATTTTCCAGAACGGAAATAATCATCAAAATGTTGAAAAACCGTTTCATATATACTTGGATGACGGTGACGGTACAGTCGGTACCTATTTTTTCTTGAAACACGTACGTACTGTTACTGTGACAAAGACTCAGAGAATCAGAATCGACAATTTTTACGGCCCTCCTCTATTCCAGCGACCACACGTGACCAACCTCGTTTATAAGCGATACAATTTTTAACGTTCATAACATCAATTATGTTGGAAGCCAAAATGATGGATGCAGTGTGCGCAACTCTCGTAAGGCGCTCGTTTATTGTCTCAATCATGAAATATTCATGCGAATACAACTCGTGATGCTATTTTTCCTGGAAATATTCATACAAATACAACTCGTGATGCTATTTTTCCAGGAAATATTCATCGATTGACATTTCCAGCTTGCTGCTTCAATTTCGCTCATGACATGGATTCAAAACTTCTCGCCTACGGCTCGAAAGTTTTGATAAACAATCGCCGAATATTTCCGGCAAAATAGTATCACATATGAATAGTTTATGTTCTAGCAAATATTCAGTCATTCTTCACGTTTCATGGCGAACATTTTTCTGTTGCAGAATTTCAGGTTGCAAATACAGTCGCATAGGATGTCCTTGGAGGGGACCCATGCACGAGAGATCGGAACACGAGTCCGAATGCGTTCATCCGAAACGCTCCGGGGCAGACGTCATGGACGCGCTTCAAGTCATAGACCAACAGATGGCGGAAGAGAGGAAATTGTACGACAGCATTTTCGATTTGCTCGGATGCGAAAAGATCACATTCAACGGTAATATACTGGGATATTATTTATCTAGTTGTGTTGGCGAGTCAAAAACAGACAAATGTCTCTCGCCAGTCATGCAAATAGTAGCATGCTGCTGTGCTACGGGAAATCTCAAGGTTATCGGAAGGTTATAAGGTATTATGAAGAAGGAAAATATCGTTTCTGCATGAAAAAGGTGACTACTTACTAACTTGGCCCAAATTGACCTCAAACGACACAATGCACAACAGCATGCTACTAGTTTTAAGACTGGTGAGACTCTGAAAAAAGGTGAACTGTCAATGAGGGTTAACATTTTCAGTATCACCAGTTGGCGCTACTAGACCGTGAGGTTAATGTCGAAGTCTGTCCCTACGCATTCTATAGGGTAATCGTAATCGGCTATGGATTTCAAGATTTAAACACTGGATATCTCAAAATCTATCGATGTGATACTACCAAAAACGTATAAAAGATTTTTGATCTTATTTTTATGTCAACCATTTGATGATAAAAAAAAACAGAAAATCATAATGCTACTGAATAATGATATTGTTGAATGATCTGGTCTTTACCACTGAAACAACAAGGCCAGAAGGCTATGACGTAATCAAAATCTGAAGTCAGCAAGGTAGGCGGTCAGATATTCCCAATTTGTTTTGTTTACGGTTTTACGCATCCACTTGAAATCTTTTATCGGATATTGACCAGTTGTTTCATCAGAGTAAATACTATTCGTATGGATCAGATTGACTTTGAGAGGTCAACGACGAAGACAGAAATTCAAAACTAATCTTACATCCGAAATATTATCCGAATCTACTAATATATGAAGTATAGCTGTCCTCAAAGCGGGACCAACTTCTGTCTCTATAGATAACAAAATCGACCAATAGGCGTTGATGCCGGCGTAGGGAAAAAATAATACGACAATATGGCTACTAATTTCAAATTTTCCATCCTTCACTTTCCGTCCTTATAGATTCAAAAAGTACCTGTCATTTTGGTCCCATTTTTGTTGAGATATCGGATAGGCGATGCGCCATATATAGAAATAGTAGATATATAATCCGAATAGGGCAGTTCAGCTAGCGACTTCTCCTTTTCTTCTCATTTCCAGTATCGCCAACATAAAATGTTCATTATTTTATGTTGGAACACTGAAGACAAGGACAGATGGGGAAGACATGTTTCTTCTTTTTCAACGCTAGCTGAACTGCTCTATTCGCGATATAAATTGACCGTACGCCACCGATTGGAATTTTTGAAAACTGTCAAAGCGGTCTGTCTACTTTGTTTTCATTGGTTCACATTTGTTTGTTGCTTGTGTTTATTGGTAATTCATAAAAAAACGCTCAGAAGTGTTCTGGACGTATTATTTTTTATCGCGAATCAGAATACGCGTTCGTCAGGCCGTGCCCAGGATTCTTTTTCGGGAGGTTCCAAGAAAAAAAAATTCGCACTAAAGGGGAAGAGTCGGATTCATCAGGCCTTTATGCATTGGTGATAACAAATAGGTTTTTTTAATAAGAGAATTCCACCTCTACTCTCTTCCTCAGATGTCCAGCTAAAACCTTACCGCACGGATGAATATGTCCACCGTTTATTTTACGAGTCTTCGAGATTTTCGGCCTTCAACTACCAATGGGTGGTTAAAGCTAGGATAAACAACAGCCAGAAGGACCCTACGCAAAGCTCAGAGAGGGACATGTCATATCAGGTAATTGGCCAGAACCCATGAATTTCCTATTAGACGTTAAATTTGTTACTTTAGCTCATCATGAAATCCAAATCTTCCACACCTTTGAATTTGAGTTACATCGTACTGAGAGGGCCTGTGGGAGATATCAACGTGAAGCCGAGAATACACGAATTCGAGTTCACGGAACAAAGTAATGAGAGTCCCTACGTCAAATTACCTTTGCCCGATACGCCCGAGTGTAATAGATTACTTGCAGCTACGACTATAAATTTCAGGTTAGTATTTTCGAATTTTTCTAGGAAATTACAAAAGAAGTTCAGATTTACATTATAATTAATTAAAAATCAGTAGGTGCACTCCTGTTTCAAACAAAAATTACTATTTTACATGATAATAAACATTCAAAACACCACAGAATCATTATGTGAAAACCTAATTTCAATGCTTTTGAGATTTTAAAACATACTTTTCGGCAGCAATGAGAACAAAAAACTATTGAATTTATATTAAAAGATATTATTATAATTAATTGAAGCCTGTAGTTGAGAATTTTGAAAGGACCCGCACTTTTCTTATGGAAAATGGCTTTCGGTTAAATTCGCTGAATTTTTGGGATGATGTAGGTTTTGACTCAAAGTGTCTATGGGCACAAAGAAATCGGGTGACTAGTTTTCGAGATACAGGGTGTCAAAGATGAAAAGTGGAGCTTTCTGCTCAGAATTTTCAACAACTCCGAGAATTGACAAAACGCCTATTTATTCATGGAATAACATGCCTGAATGATGGTACAATGTCATCTGGATATTTGAAAGCTATTTCAATTCAAAGAAGAAATGACCACAAAACGTACATATTTCTTTTCGCGGACTTGAATTTTCGGAGGTATAATACCTTCACCATTTATTTGTTCATTGAGTACAAAACATCCCAATTTTGTAGAAACCGCACATTTCACAGAAATCATATAAAATATTTCTCTATCTGAATTGAAATAGCTTTCAAATACTGTAGAATTAGTTCTATCCTTGAGAGGGTTATTGCTTCTTATACATTTCAATTTTCTCTAGTTTCTTCGGAAACAGGGCTTTCAAATGAAAAACATGTCATTCACCCTGTATATAAGGTATTGCATTTTTTGAATAGGTACCACACTAATCTAACCGGAATATTTTTCAACCTGAATTGTTGGAAAAGAGACCATTTTGGACTCCAATGGGGTATATCGGGTATCAATAAAATCCGTACATTAAAAAGTATATAGCCGACAAACGAGTCCGGAGACCCATGCTAATATTGATGACAATATCTCGGACTCCTCAAACCGTACATTATATGAAAAATTCAAGAAAATTAACCGATTCCGTTCGGAAATACAGGGTATTCATTGAAAAAAAAAACGCATTTTTTCAAGAAACTTGGACTGTATCTTTTTACTGAAATTTGCTGGAGCGAGAGATATACCAAAAATGCACTCTATGACCAAGTGGGGTCATCTTCAGTGATATACACTGCTCGCCAACCGCCATGAAACTACCCCAATTTCCGGAAAATGATATTAAGAGTCAAAATAGGTCGAAAATCACTTCAGATTTGGAATCAGGACGCCCAATTTACTAACTATTCAAATTTTTCCTGGAAAATTTTCAGTTCGTAAAAATGAAATTTTGTCGCATTTTTTATGGAAGCACCCCCGTATCTCAGGTAATTGACTTTATCTTTGGACTTTCTCTTCCTCCGGCGAATTTTAGAACCCTACCTCAATAATTACGTGAGATACGGGGGTGCTTCCATAAAAAATGCGACAAAATTTCATTTTTCCGAACTGAAAATTTTCCAGGAAAAATTTGAATAGTTAGTAAATTGGGCGTCCTGATTCCAAATCTGAAGTGATTTTCGACCTATTTTGACTCCTAATATCATTTTCCGGAAATTGGGGTAGTTTCATGGCTGTTGGCAAAAGCTCACTTTTCATCTTTGACACCCTGTATCTCGAAAACTAGTCACCAGATTTCTTTGTGCCCATAGACACTTTTGCTTAGGAAGTCGAAATCTACATGATACCAAAAATTCAGGGAATTTAACAGAAAGGCATTTTCCATAAGGAAAGTGCAGGGTCCTTTGATACTTCAAATAATTGCACCCACCATCAATAAGTTGTAAATTCAAACCGGAATATTCATAAAATTAACTAAAAAGTTGAAAAATGAACCACTGCAAACCACTGGTAAGTAGCTTTACCTCACTTCACCTAACTTTCTGATAATGGTTACATGCTTTCCTATTGTGTCCATTGATACCAACTAACTTCCTAATAATCATTGTTCCCTTCAATCATTTTTCTTTCCCTAAATGACACAATTTTTCTTTACAGGTTGATAATGTTCTCAAAGTGAACACTTTTTTCAAGTGAACCAAAAATTCTTGAGTATTTTAGTGATATTTTTACAAACTAATTATGATGTTTCAGAATATTCAAAACCTATTAATACATTTTTTGTTTTATAAATCCTAGGGATTTGATTTGGCTTTTTCAGTTTGTCTTTGTGGATCTCTCTAGGTATAAGCCTTAGAATTAGTTTTTTTTTTATGTCCATGACATCTCAAATTTTATTCAATACAAATGAGAAGATTTTTTTATTTTATTCCTGATAGAGAAATATATTTATGTACTTTGTATGTAGTATGTATTTGTTACCTTTAGGTTTGTATGGAGCCATTTTTTGTTTTGACTTTATTGTTTGCTGTGGAAATTTTCAAAATTTTGGAACTCTTCAAAGTGCTTCACCTGTTGATTTGAGTATTTCATTTTATTTGAATATTTTCCACTATGGCAAAAAGTCTGGAGTTTTATTTCCTAATATATATATTTTTTATTGCATTCATAGAATATGATATTTTATTTATAGAGTAATTTTATTTTATGGTTTGGGAAGTAACCTAAATAAAAATCTAAGTTCTATGTTGTTTCTTTTTTCAAATTTATTCCTGAAAAACTTACTATTCAATTAATGTTCTTCATGAAGAGTGCTTGCTGTACATTGGCTAGATTCCCACTTTCCATACATTGAGAATTCCATTTTCACCACCAGTTAATAATATATTTTTCTAAAAAAAATATTGTAAAATTTCAGGAGACTTAATACAACTAGTTCAGTCACTTACATTTTCATTGAACCAGCTACACCTAACAATCTGCTTATTTTTTTTGAATCCAATAGAAGGTGAAACTTCTTTTTCCTTGATCTGCAAACCTCTCATACATTCTCCACCTCCAAAATTGGAACCAACCAGAACCATCAAATCATTTTTGGCTTGGTGACATTTTGCTGTATAAATATAGCTTTCACTTTTTTTCTACAAATATCAATTAGTCAATAAAAATTTTTCAATGAATAATTTGAGGACATGAAATTTGAAACTATACTCTTCATGTCTATTATGAGGGTCTTACTTTTATTCCCTTAGCTAGTTCAGTCCTATCCACTTTTCTATAGGGCTCTGCATCATCAACATTCCACAACTGTAAATCAAAAGTGTGTGTCATACAACTAATACCATAATTTCGGTTTTTACTGAACCACATTAGTTGATCTATGGATGATTCAGAATTGAGAGTATCTGTTAAAGCATCATCTTCCTTTGTCTGTGTTAAATCATAAATATTAATCAGTCCATCAGTAGAACCAGACATGAGTTTGTTCATATCTTCAGGGTGGAATTTAACTTGTGTTATGTCATCAGTATGTGAATCCCAGTAACCACCCATCAGTTTTTGGTTCCTTGTGTCCCAGAATAATAAAAATGCATCACCTTCAAAAACATTTGTGCCTACTGTTAGAAGTCTGTCATTTGAAGAAACATCAAAACAACTAAAGGACTTTTTGTCCTTGTCATTCTCCACAGTGTTGTCTAGAAAAAAATAGAACATTAGCATTGCCAATGGTTGGAATCTGAGACACTCACCTACAAAGTTCAAAGATGAGTTTTTTGGCGTTCTCAAGTCCCATAATCTTATACTTCCATCAGAAGATCCTGTGTATAATAAATTACTATTACCACTGCTAAATCTGCAATCTATTATATTAGTGTGGTCTATATAATCTGCTATTTGTGCTACCTGAGTTCCCTCTAGTTTATATACCATGCATGATTCTCTAGAGGCAGTTGCAATGTTTGGATCACTTTCCCTGAAAAATCAAACTATTTGGTAAATTCATCACATCATTGGGAACCAAAGTATGAAGCTTGTTTGAAGTAATACCTGGTAGCATCAACATGTAAAATATATTCATTTTTCTGCACAATTGTTTCATTCAAACATTCACTATCATGAAATATGGCATCAATCTCTTCAATATCACTTTCATCAGGATCTGATTCACTTTCCACATGTCCATTAGTAGTTTCCAATATTAGCTCCAATTTATCCATTTCTAAAGTAACACTCTGCACCATTTAAACATTTAAAATACACGATAAAATACAATGAAACCAGTAAACAACCCTCTTCACGAACGGGAACGGCAGTAACGGCACATGTATCTTAGGTTAGGTTAAATGAATTAGGTTAAGTCTTCTTCTTAATCTTACTTTAATCCATAAGGGGCGTTGGGAGGTTAACAATGACAAGGAGTCTTAGGCCAAACATGCCATATTTGCCATGATATGACAAGAGAAGAAGATCAACTACCGAAACGAATATAACCTAACTTTTCTTGACGATAACAAAACGTTGAAAACTTAAAATCTAAATAGCTGTAAAGAAATAAAGAAAAGAAAGTAAGGAGCATATAACTGAGATATATCAGAATGGATGCAGATTTATATGATGAGTTTGGTAATTACATTGGTCCTGAATTGGACAGTGATGACGAAGAGGAGGAAGAACAGGAACAAGTGGATGAAGATGAGCGACAAGAGTTTGATGATGAACAAATGGAAGACGAGCCTCAGCCAATGGCTATCGTCTTACATGAAGACAAGCAGTACTATCCATCAGCTTTGCAAGTGTATGGGCCAGATGTTGAAACAATAGTTCAGGAAGAAGATGCTCAGGCATTAGATGTACCATTAGTGGAACCAGTGAAGAAAAAGAAGTTCCAATTGAGAGAACAAGATCTGCCAGAGACTGTTTACAGCATGGAATTCCTTGCTGACATGATGGACAATACATCTTTGATCAGAAATGTTGCACTGGTAGGACACTTGCATCATGGAAAGACTTCCTTTGTAGACTGTCTGATCAGACAGACTCACCCTGGATATAGAGATAATGAAGAGAGGAATTTGAGATACACAGACACACTATTTACAGAACAAGAACGTGGTTGTTCCATCAAGTCTGTTCCTGTGACTTTATTGTTGCAGGACATCAAGAACAAAAGTTATCTGATGAATATTTTTGACACACCAGGGCATGTAAATTTTTCTGATGAAGTAACAGCTGCTATGAGACTTTGTGATGGTATTGTATTGTTTGTGGATGCTGCTGAAGGGGTCATGTTGAACACAGAGCGTCTTCTGAAGCATGCTGCACAAGAACAGTTGCAGATAACTGTATGCATAAATAAAATTGATAGATTAATGCTGGAGTTGAAATTGCCTCCACAAGATGCCTACTATAAGCTCAGGCACATAGTGGAGGAAATAAATGGTTTGCTTACTTTATATTCAGATGATGCCAATCCCCATATAGTGTCCCCAGTATTGGGGAATGTATGCTTTGCTAGTGCCCAATATGGTGTTTGTTTCACATTGAAATCCTTTGCTAATATCTACAACTTGTACTATGGAGAAGTGAATATTGATGAGTTCTCTAAACGGTTATGGGGAGATATATACTTCAACCCCAAATCAAGAAAATTCACCAAAAAAGCTCCTCACAATTCAGCCCAAAGAACTTTTGTGGAATTCATTCTGGAACCTCTGTATAAAGTTTTTGCCCAAGTAGTAGGTGATGTTGATGCAAGTTTATTGGAAGTAATGGATGAACTGGGAATAAAGCTTACCAAAAATGAGATGAAACTAAACATTAGACCTCTTCTAAGACTAGTTTGTGACAAGTTCCTAGGAGACTTCAATGGGTTTGTGAACATGTGTGTAGAACACATAAGCTCTCCTCTAGATAATGCAAAAAAGAAGGTAGACCACATCTATACAGGCCCCACAACTAGTAAAATCTATGATGACATGGTAAATTGTGATCAGGAAGGTTTATTGATGGTGCACAGTTCTAAAATGTATCCAACTGAAGATTGCACATTTTTCCAAGTACTAGGTAGGGTCATGAGTGGTACTTTACATGCTGGCACTGATGTGAGAATATTAGGAGAAAACTATACTTTGCAGGATGAGGAAGATTCCAGAATCTTGACTATAGGAAGACTATGGATTTATGAGTCAAGATACAAAGTGGAATTGAATCGTGTACCAGCTGGAAACTGGGTCCTTATAGAAGGCATAGACCAATCTATTGTCAAAACAGCTACATTAACTGACTTGACAATTCATGATGAACTCTATATCTTCCGTCCACTTAAGTTCAACACACAGAGCATTATTAAAATAGCAGTTGAGCCAGTCAATCCATCTGAATTACCAAAAATGTTGGATGGATTGAGAAAAGTCAACAAGTCCTACCCTTTGCTAACCACCAGAGTGGAAGAGAGTGGGGAACATGTTGTTTTGGGAACAGGAGAGCTGTATTTGGACTGTGTTATGCATGATTTACGGAAAATGTATTCAGAAATTGATATCAAAGTAGCTGATCCAGTGGTTGCATTCTGTGAAACTGTAGTGGAAACTTCAAGTTTGAAATGTTTTGCTGAAACTCCAAACAAAAAGAACAAGCTCACAATGATTGCTGAACCACTAGAAAAAGGCCTGGCTGAAGACATTGAAAATGAAAATGTACAAATTGGGTGGAACAAAAAGAAGCTTGGTGAATTCTTCCAAACAAAATATGATTGGGATTTACTGGCTGCCAGAAGCATCTGGGCCTTTGGACCAGATAACACTGGTCCAAACATTTTAGTAGATGACACACTCCCATCTGAAGTAGACAAAGCCCTACTCAGTTCAGTAAAGGACTCCATTGTCCAGGGCTTCCAGTGGGGAACCCGGGAGGGCCCCCTTTGTGAAGAACCTATCAGAAATACCAAATTCAAGATACTAGATGCTGTCATTGCCAATGAACCACTCCATAGAGGGGGTGGACAAATAATCCCCACTGCCAGAAGGGTAGTGTACTCTGCATTTCTCATGGCAACACCAAGATTGATGGAGCCCTATTTGTTTGTTGAAGTTCAAGCACCTGCTGATTGTGTATCAGCAGTTTACACTGTGCTAGCTAAAAGGAGAGGTCATGTGACACAAGATGCACCTGTGCCAGGTTCACCTTTGTACACAATTAAGGCTTTCATTCCTGCCATTGATAGTTTTGGGTTTGAAACAGATTTAAGAACACATACTCAAGGCCAAGCCTTTTGCCTGTCAGTGTTCCATCATTGGCAGATTGTACCTGGGGATCCTCTGGATAAAACTATTGTCATCAGGCCCTTGGAACCTCAGCCGGCTACACATTTGGCCAGAGAATTCATGATTAAAACTAGGCGGAGAAAAGGTCTTAGCCAAGATGTGTCCATCAACAAGTTTTTCGACGACCCTATGTTGTTGGAGTTGGCCAGACAAGATGTCATGCTTAATTATCCGCTTTTGTAATTTAAATATTTAATAAAGTGTTTTTGACACCTAGTTTCAACATCATAATATATGAAATGATCCTAACATAATTAAGTACTGATATAACTGCAGGCAGGCACAAAACTATGAAAAACAATAAAAATCATTATTTTCTCACCTGAAGCACCATGTTTCAATGAATGATATAAACTTTTTGAACATTTATCAAAAACCGCGATTTGAATTTTTTTCCTTCGAATCAACTCTTCTTCTGAAAATAATCTTCTTTCTTATTAAAACTTGAGATCGAGAAGACCTTAACCAGTAGTTCGAAAGTATCAAGTAGCAATGTCTGAAAAGCCCTCGGGTTGCGACCACTGACGTTGCGACAGAAGATATTATAATGGCAGTAAATAACCAAATTTTCGCTTTTCTCATTTAAAAAGTCAAAAATTTGCCAAATGGCGGCATATACAAGATGTTTGCAAATTCAAAATTTATTTTTGAATAGTAGTAGGTAAGTTCGTCTAAATACAGACATTTTTCTCATTCACATAAATTAAATTCCTAGAAAATCATGGAGTTTATATAAGAAATCTAGAAACAAATTTGAAACAATGCAGATCACACACCAATTAAACATTCATACAACTTCCTTCCACTTTAAAAGAAGAAAATCGGCCGATGAACGAGTAAGTTGAATAATTAGTATCAACATCATTTGTTCATTCTGCCAAATTATATTTCAGAAATCAGTCAGGATAATTGAATACTCTCCAAAAGCCAAAGGTGATATCATAGATATTTGGCGAGATATAACCCTCACAGAATTAGCAAAAGTCTTCAACAAAGACATCAATTACATTTATGATATATTCCTAAACCAATATAATAATCCAAATATGGTAATAAGGGACATAAAAGTCCTGCAGCAAGCTATTCACAGGAGTGGCAAGAGGATGAGAATAATAGCCAAACCTACTGATACAAATGAAGCAGTAGTAGAAAAAGACATCCACCCAAGACCACCACCATTAAAATCACAGCTGAAACCTCGTCCACCTGTGGTGACTGTGATGGGCCACATTGATCATGGAAAAACAACCCTACTGGATGCCTTGAGAAACTCCAGAGTAGTGGATCAAGAGTTTGGAGGCATCACCCAGCACATAGGCGCATTTTCAGTTAGCCTGAATTCAGGAGCCCAAATCACTTTCCTTGACACCCCAGGGCATGCTGCATTCAGTGCAATGAGGTCTAGGGGGGCCAATTTGACTGACATAGTGGTTTTAGTGGTGGCAGCTGATGATGGAGTGATGGAACAGACTGTGGAGTCCATAAAAATGGCCAGACATGCCAAAGGTAGGCTATAATAATGAGGACAAAAATATATGATTTATTTAAATTTTGAATAGTGGAATACCTCAGAGTACTTACTAGGAAGCAGAATTCAAGAATATTCAGTCTAGATATGCAATTGTACAGGATGACAATTTGACAAAGAGCAGCACTCAATATTGATTGATTGATTGATTGTCTATATTACCCCAAGAAACATTATTGTTTATAATAGGGATAATAGATACAACAAAACATACATATAACATGATAAATCAAAACAATAATAATTGCACAATTATTGTTCTTAAAAAGAAAATTATAATAAAATGTAAAATGAAAATATAATCCCTTCCAAATAATCAAATCTTGAATGATTAGTAGATATGGAGTTAAAGTTAAAAGTTAACTGAGCAGATATTTCATTAAATTCATTTTAAATTTTTCTGCTTCTATATTTTAAAACTGATGACACTATGATAATAGGCCTTTTCATATAGATATATTTTCGAGACGCATGCGCTCGTTTTTAGATCCAAAATTTGATTGGTTAATGGGAAGGTAAAGTCTCATTGGCTATAGTTCCGACACAAAATTCTGATTGGCCATTTCAAATATGGCGGTTTTTATTGACGTTCTGTCAAATGTCAACAGTGTCAACCACCATGGGCATTCGTCATTGAGAAACAACATTGATTTGTATAAATAATAATTATTACAGCGCACGACTTGTGGGCGTGGTCTTGTCAGTTCCCAGCATTGCTAACGGAGGTGTTCCCCGAGGCATATAACCTCCAGAAATTTAAGAACACCAATTCCTACCTTAATTTCCTTGGTTCTCACGATGTTCTCTCTGAACATTACATGAAGGGGTTGAATGTAATGTAACAAATACCTCATTGTCCCCCTTGATATGTTAATTGACATGTTTTGCCGAATTTTGATAATGTCATCAGTTTATGAGCTATATTGTAAGTTGCTAATTTCAGTAATCCCATGAGCATTTCAGGGTCACCAGTTAAATAAACAGTCAAAGTTTGGATCCCTAACTTTGCTAATTCTGAGAATCTTGATGGAAAGTCCTAGAACAAACCTGACTCCACATTTTGTTTATATTGGTCTCGGGTCATTTTTCAATTCAAGTGACAGGAACAATTATTTTTCTACCTTCCAAATTGATTATTGTTCCAGGAATGTGGTTTATTTATTCATTTTGTAATTATTGCTTTAGTAATTTTTTACTAAATCACCAATCATGGTTCTAGTTCCCATACTGGTAGCAATCAACAAAATTGACTCTCCTAAAGCTGACCTAGCTCGCACTGAAAAAATGTTGGTTGAAGTTGGTATCCAAGTTGAAAATCTAGGGGGTGACGTTCAGGCAATACCAATTTCTGCACTGAAAAGACAGAATCTTGACCAGCTCACAGAAGCTTTGGTATTGCAGGCCGATTTGCTAGAAATCGGCGCGGACCCCACAGGTCCTGTTGAAGCAGTAGTTGTCGAAAGTAAAGTGCATCCATTCAGGGGAAAACTGTGTACAGTTGTTATTCAAAGAGGTTTGTTCTGAACATTTTAAATTCCACTTAGTATTGGCATTTCAAATGTGATTTCAAGGGACACTCAAAAAGGGGGATATTTTGGTGGCTGGTACCTCAATGGCCAAAGTCAGAGCACTCAAAAATGATGCTGGAAAAGTCTTACATACTGTCAGCCCAGGGTATCCAGTGGAAATAGAGGGTTGGAAAGAACTACCCTCTGCAGGCGAGCAAGTCCTTCAGGTACTCTAAATAAGGATAAGAAACATAAACAATTGTCGGTCTGACCGTGAACAATAAAATAGTATCAGATATTTTCAGGTGGGAACTGAAAAAAGAGCAAGAGAAGTATTGAAATTTAGAGAGGAAGAAGAGTCACAAATGAAAATGAAAAGTGATGCAGAAGTGATAGCTGAAAAGGAACAACAGCATGAGGTTGAGTATAAAGAAAAATTGGCCTTGAAGAGGCAATTAGGCAGGTATAAGGTAAAGAGAGAAGGCCCTAGGAAACCAGAAATTTCAAAAGGTAAAAATCGCCCCAGGTTACCAATATGAGAATAATGAGGAAAAAATCTTTTAGATGATGATGGTCCCCCTTCACTAAACATAATCATAAAGGCAGATGTGGATGGCACTCTTGAAGCCATTTTAGACACTATTGATACTTATGATTCACAAGACTGCAAAATGGAACTAGTACATTATGGTGTGGGTTCTATCTCTGAAAATGATATAGAATTAGCAGAAACCTTTCAAGGTGAAAAAATTTATTATTATTTTCATTTTTTCTAAACAAATGTTCGGATCATATTGAACATTTCACTGAAATCCTTTGTTAATTCATTCATTTAGTTTGACTTCAGGGTCACTTACTGCTAAAAAAATAATGCAAAATTTAGTTGATAAGTTTTCAAGCATGCCAAATTGCGAGAAATAATGTTGTTTGCAAAATTTCCAGAAATATATTCCCTTCTTATAATTAGTAAAGGTGAAAATGATTACTTGCAGAATATGAAGATATAGTAAATATTCAATATTTGTTTCACTGTCGTGATTTTTAAATTTAAAAATAAATAATCAATGGAATTTGAAAAAGAGATGTGTGATATTTCTGATACATGTTCATGCTCTAAAAATATATAGGGTGTCTAAAAATTATCTTTCAGGTCAAAACTTTTCTTATCCATTTCTTTACAATTTTTCAAATGGAATATCTTTCTTGACCAACTGTAGGCGAATATATTTGATATTTTAACCCTATGAATATTCTGAACAGTTTCTGATTTATTGAATTTATTTGAAATAGCATGAGGTTTTTCTGACAATCTGATTTTTGCATAATTTTTTCGTAAATTTGTGCTAATAACAGTAAAAATCCCTACATTCTAAAGATTTTTTTGTGCGCCCTGTATACGCGGCATTAATTTCTAGTTATAGAGACCTTATTCCTATCTCCATATATGCGTATAAATTCATCTTTTATAATGAAACAAGCTATTCAATTGATTCCTCGTTATATTTATAGCTTGCTGACTAGAGAAAATGTCCAATAATATATGTTCCTAGTATATTTTTGCTAAAGTAACACAAATGCCATCGCCAAAGTTTTCTGTAGAGGCGAATTTCGGAAATAATATGTGTATTAGGGGTCCCCAAATCTAATATTTTAGGACTTTATAAATATTTATCACAAAACAGTGGCATAATCAATCCATGTTGACAATAAATATAATATATGATCAATTAATATGGCCTGTTTCAAAACCGTCAACGATAGAATTTTTCATTATTTTTACGCAAAAATTGAGCCCAAAAAACGCATTTATTAATGATTGGATAACAACTTCACTCATTTTTTGAAGGTATCATCTATGCATTTAACGTTGAAGTGCCTCCCAATCTCAAAGAATCCATCAAAACCACCTCCATAAAGCACTTCAATGTAATCTACAAGCTTGTAGACGACATTAAAGAAGAAATAAACGCCCGATTACCTGCCAAAGAGGTAGAAGAAATATTAGGTGAAGCTGTAGTGCTACAAAAGTTCGAAATTTCCCAAGGCAAAAGGAAAATTCCTGTAGCAGGGTGTAGGTGTACAAAGGGACTGTTGAAAAAGAACGCCCAGTATAGGGTTGTCAGAAACGGAAGCTTAGTAGATAAAGGTTTGTTGGTTCCAATAAGAATTGATCAAAATGAAATTTATGCCTCTCGAAGCCCAGGATGATCTCTCAAAACTCTTCAAGGTTCTCATTAGAATTCGAATTTACCGTAGTTTTTTTAGCTGAATTTTATATATCAAAATTTCCAAATTTTCTCCACAGAATCTTTCTTTACAGGGTAAATTTGGCCTTTGTGGATTTTTTCAAATTTTTAGAGTACCACAGATTCTTTCTTTACGAAGTTCATTTAGCCTATGTGATTGTTTTCGGATTTTTTGAGTGCCAAAAAAAAATTTCATTTTATATGTCTGAGACTATCTGATACATAAAAACACAGGCCCATCTTCCGATGCCGAAAAATCCTAGAAATATCCGGAATACCACGCGACATAACGGTTTTCCAATGGAAAAATTCACGCTGAATCGATTAAGACCATAAAGAGACCGCTGGGACTAGTAGTTTTCGAGATATTAGCGATTAAAGTCTCCTATTCGCGTTTATTGCCGATAGGAGCTCTCCGAAGCACCACCATTTCTTCTACTTTCAAGAATTTCCAAATTTTCTCCACAGGTTCTTTCTTTACGAAGTTCATTCAGCCTTTGTGAATTTTTTCGGATTTTTCGAGTGCCTAATAAAAATGTTCATTTCCATGTCTGAGACAATGTGATATATAAAAACACAGTCCCATCTTCCGATGCGGAAAAATCCTAGAAATATCCGGAATTCCACGCGACATAATGGTTTTCCAATGGAAAAATTCACGCTGAATCGATTAAGACCATAAAGAGACCGCTGGGACTAGTAGTTTTCGAGATATTAGCGATTAAAGTCACCTATTCGCGTTTATTGCCGATAGGAGCTCTCCGAAGCACCACCATTTTTTCTATTTTCAAGAATTTCCAAATTTTCTCCACAGGTTCTTTCTTTACGAAGTTCATTCAGCCTTTGTGAATTTTTTCGGATTTTTTGAGTGCCTAATAAAAATTTTCATTTCCATGTCTGAGACTATGTGATATATAAAAACACAGTCCCATCTTCCGATGCGGAAAAATCCTAGAAATATCCGGAATTCCACGCGACATAACGGTTTTCCAATGGAAAAATTCACGCTGAATCGATTAAGACCATAAAGAGACCGCTGGGACTAGTAGTTTTCGAGATATTAGCGATTAAAGTCACCTATTCGCGTTTATTGCCGATAGGAGCACCCCGAAGCACCACCATTTTTCTAATTTCAAAAATTTCCAAATTCTCTCCACAGATTCTTTCTTTACGAAGTTCATTTAGCCTTTGTGATTCTTTTCGGATTTTTTGAGTGCCTAATAAAAATGTTCATTTCCACGTCTGAGACAATGTGATATATAAAAACAAAGTCCCATCTTCCGATGCGGAAAAATCCTAGAAATATCCGGAATTCCACGCGACATAACGGTTTTCCAATAGAAAACTTTATGCTGAATCGATTAAGACCATAAAGAGACCGCTGGGACTAGTGGTTTTCGAGATATCAGCGATTAAAGTCACCTATTCGCGTTTATTGCCGATAGGAGCACCCTGAAGCACCACCATTTTTCTAATTTCAAGAATTTCCAAATTCTCTCCACAGATTCTTTCTTTACGAAGTTCATTTATCTTTTGTGATTTTTTTCGGATTTTTTGAGTGCCTAATAAAAATTTTCATTTCCACGTCTGAGACAATGTGATATATAAAAACACAGTCCCATCTTCCGATGCGGAAAAATCCTAGAAATATCCGGAATTCCACGCGACATAACGGTTTTCCAATAGAAAACTTTATGCTGAATCGATTAAGACCATAAAGAGGCCGCTGGGACTAGTAGTTTTCGAGATATTAGCGATTAAAGTCACCTATTCGCGTTTATTGCCGATAGGAGCACTCCGAAGCACCACCATTTTTTCTATTTTCAAGAATTTCCAAATTCTCTCCACAGATTCTTTCTTTACGAAGTTCATTTAGCCTTTGTGAATTTTTTCGGATTTTTTGAGTGCCTAATAAAAATTTTCATTTCCATGTCTGAGACTATGTGATATATAAAAACACAGTCCCATCTTCCGATGCGGAAAAATCCTAGAAATATGCGGAATTCCACGCGACATAACGGTTTTCCAATAGAAAACTTCACGCTGAATCGATTAAGACCATAAAGAGACCGCTGGGACTAGTAGTTTTCGAGATATTAGCGATTAAAGTCACCTATTCGCGTTTATTGCGCCGATAAGAGCACTCCGAAGCACCACCATTTTTTCTCTTTTCAAGAATTTCCAAATTTTCTCCACAGATTCTTTCTTTACGAAGTTCATTCAGCCTTTGTGAATTTTTTCGGATTTTTCGAGTGCCTAATAAAAATTTTCATTTCCATGTCTGAGACTATCTGATATATAAAAACACAGTCCCATCTTCCGATGCGGAAAAATCCTAGAAATATGCGGAATTCCACGCGACCTAACGGTTTTTCAATAGAAAACTTCACGCTGAATCGATTAAGACCATAAAGAGACCGCTGGGACTAGTAGTTTTCGAGATATTAGCGATTAAAGTCACCTATTCGCGTTTATTGCCGATAGGAGCACTCCGAAACACCACCATTTTTTCTATTTTCAAGAATTTCCAAATTTTCTCCACAGATTCTTTCTTAACGAAGTTCATTTAGCCTTTGTGAATTTTTTCGGATTTTTTGAGTGTCTTATGAAAATTTTCATTTCCATGTCTGAGTCTGAGACTATCTGATATATAAAAACACAGTCCCATCTTCCGATGCGGAAAAATCCTAGAAATATGCGGAATTTCACGCGACATAACGGTTTTGAAACTTATTATTATTAATCTTTAGTTAATAACATACACCTATAAATCGCATAATATTTCGGGACGCTCTGTTCAAATTAATTTAACAAAATAAGTAATGAATTTGCATATAGGTACTAATGATATGTATAAATCAAAAAAGACAACACTTTATCTGATTCAGATCAAATTCAATTGTTCATATACCTCTGTTAAAATATAACAGTATGTTTCTCATGTTGAATTTTTTTATTTGTTTGGTATTTTTGTTGTTCATTTTAACTATTCCTTGATGATGAGACCTGTATAATATGATATGATTCCTTCAAGGTACACTTTCTACTATGAAACATTTGAAGAACGAAGTTGATGCTGTCAAATTGGACACGGAGTGTGGTATCCAGTTTTCAGACAAAACATTGAGCTTTGAGCAAGGTGACACGCTAGTTTGCTATGAAACTAAGATGGTACCTCAAAAAACTGATTGGGATCCAGGATTCTAATGGCTTCCAAGGTATAACTAAGTACAAATGTAATTTATATTTTTCTTAAAATAAAATGTATATAGTAATATTTCGCGAAAATTTGCAGTCATATTGTCCCACAAAATGAATACTGTATCTCAGGATATTTTACAAAATATACAAACCAAAATAGTGTCGGTACAAGTACTTCTAATGTGACGTGTCATTCATCAAAATCATCAAATTAAACAAAATTATGTTATAAATATTCGAAATTTACAGGTAAAATGATCATTTCAATTCTTAAATACTAAAAACTTACCTAGTTCCAGACAATTTGAGCTGAACACCCTGTGTATTATTGAAAGTCCCAATTAATTAGTTCATTTGTACAATGTTTCTTTACTGGTCTCACCCTTAAAATTAATAATCTATCCTTGTCTCAGGGTTCCAATGTAAAACTATGAAAATTTCATGTTGTCAACTCTCAAAATTAGAAGACTACTCTCATAATAAAAAAAGGTTCGAAAAGTCTTCTCTATTTATCCTCATTTTTGTGTTACCAACATGAAATTCTCACTGAACTACTCATATACAGGGCGTTCCGAGGAACCGGAATTAGACTTTCATTCAGAATTTTCTACATTTGAGTCTGGCTTCTAGAATTCCCTATATTTTAGTCTGGCCTCTCTCTTCATCATAATTTTCTTGCCTATCCTCTGCACATACTCATCGACCTTTTCGATGAAACATCTCAGAAACGTCAGTCCTGTCACGCAATTTTCGGCGATGCTTTTTATGTGCCCCTCGTCGACCTTTTCTTGCAACTCGTGAGTCGCCGTCACTGAATCCGCGTGTCCCAAGTTAAGGGTCGACATTTTCACGGATATTTTCCACCAAATTATGAAATCCACGTGCAAGATTTCAAATGTGACACTGAAAGAATAACCACCCTGTATAACTTTTCACGTTGACCTCAAGACCATCAAAATACAGTGTGTCCCACTTACCATGCTCACCATGGGTATCTTTTCAACGGTGAGAGATACGAGGTCGGTTAAATGACACCAAATGTGTAGTTTGTCAAGGCCAACTATAATGTGGAAAAATATTTTGATAAAATCTATTCGTTTTTGTTTTATACGCAAAAAACAGATTTTGGTCATTTTCATGTCTCCTCCGTTATTCATGAAAATATTCAAATAGGAATTCGACATTCTCATGGCAGTTTTTCAAAGTGATTTCGAAAAAAATATGACATTTATACTAACTCTTCTAGAATTTGAGATATCAGCACCAACTTTAGTTTTTCAAATGTAGGTCATAGCTCACTATGACTTAGTTAGAAATAACTTTTTCCGTAGACCTCGTATTAACGACTAAGTTTAATGTATATGAAATCGTTCATTAATGACCCCTATTAATGGACGATTTGTCTATTAATGCACGATTGTTTTATAGGCAACCAAACATACACCGCGTGCATTCATTGTTTATGATATAACTAGCAGAATCTGCGTTTAAATCGAAAATATGGATTTCATCGACGATTTTCCGTTAACGGGTTCGCCTTTCCAAGTTTCTGACACGATTTTAATCCCTGTTTTCTAACAGAAGGAATTTATTTCCTATGTTGATCATTTTGACAAATGTCAAATGACACTTATGTCAGTAACAGTAACAAGGCTACTGGGTGATTCTTAGCAGTTTCCGGATGGATGATGAATTCGCGAACCAAGTTTTCTTCATTGCAGGAGAAATAAGAAACATAGTCGACGGAAAAATTTTGTAACCAACTTGTATATTAAAAGGCGATTAATGATCTCGAACATTAACGCACTCGCTTCGCTCGCACGTTAAAATATCTCGATCATTAATCGTCCTCATTAATACACTAGTTGGTTAAATAACTATTTTTTCTCTTACCGATGATATGTCGCAGTAATAGTTTTGTGTTGATAACAACGGAGTTATCGTCATTTATACAAAACAAAAAATTATTTGGAAGCCGCCATCTTGAATTTATAAATTTCAACAAAAAAATCAAGATCTCCGACCTCAAAAACCCCCATTTACCAATTTTGAATGGAATCGGACCAAATCTTGTCCGCCATCTTGGAGCAGCCATTTTTTTATTTCAACAAAAATTCCATAACTCCGATTAGTTTGAAATTTGGCAGGTGTTTATAATTTTGGGGACAATACATTATAGAGTTTTTGTTGAAATTAAAAAAAATGGCTGCTTCAAGATGGCGGACAAGATTTGGTCCGATTCCATTCAAAATTGGTAAATGGGGGTTTTTGAGGTCGGAGATCATGATTTTTTTGTTAAAATTTATAAATTCAAGATGGCGGCTTCCAAATAATTTTTTGTTTTGTATAAATGACGATAACTCCGTTGTTATCAACACAAAACTATTACTGCGACATATCATCGGTAAGAGAAAAAAAAGTTATTTGTAACTAAGTCATAGTGAGCTATGACCTACATTTGAAAAACTAAAGTTGGTGCTGATATCTCAAATTCTAGAAGAGTTTGTATGAATTTCATATTTTTTTCGAAATCACTTTGAAAAACTGCCATGAGAATGTGAAATTCCTATTTGAATATTTTCATGAATAAAGAAGTTACGGAGGAGACATGAAAATGATCGAAATCTGTTTTTTGCGTATAAAACAAAAACGAATAGATTTTATCAAAATATTTTTTCACATTATAGTTGGCCTTGACAAACTCCACATTTGGTGTAATTTAACATAGGTCTATGAATTTAACCGACCTCGTATCTCTCACCGTTAAAAAGATACCCATGGTGAGCATGGTAAGTGGGACACACTGTATATCTGGTCAATGGAAGTTATAATAGGAACTCAGGGTTGGGTACAGATAGTGAGATTCTAGACCAATTTGAAAACTTGAAACAATATCATCTCTCATAATAATTTCTGTATACATATTTCCTATCATGAAGCTAATGCTCTTGCAAAATAATCCTAATTCCATAAAAAAATCTACCCCTTATTATTTCATTGAAATATACGCACGTTAATGTCCATAACGATATTTGTCCCTAAAGAACTGGCAGGAATTCAATCTGACCTGAAATGAAGCATCCTGCAATAGGATGTTAAACCAATCTTTCAACAAATAATCTTTGTGGTGGTATAATCCTTCCTCTATTTTTTTTCGAAGTGATTAATCGGAAAAATACTGTGAAGGCATTTACTGTTCGGGCCGATAGTGATTCGCTATTTCAATTATTTTTCCGGAAATTATCTGCAAACTTGTTTCCGCACGAGTTGTTTGTTGCGCCCTGTCTCTTTGCATCCTTTCTGGTGAGATTGAATTCGTGCAAATAACTGATCATATTGATGGTTATTTATACTAGTACTAATTTGGTAAGAATCGCACGTCTAATACCGTTGATAAAGAGGGAGTGAAAAAATAACCTTGACTATTGTCTCAATCATGGAATACTCATACGAATACAACTGGTGATACTATTTTTCCTGGAAATATTAGTCGATTGACATACTTCAGCTTGCTGCTTTGAGTTCGTTCATGATATTGACGCCTATGGCTGGAAAGTTTTGATAAACAATGTCTTTCGGCGAAATTATTAGGCAATAAGCTGTCGTAACCATCGCCGAATATTTCCGGCACTTGTGGTATTACATATGAAGAAATAATGTTTATTTTTTACTTGTCCATTACTGTTTATAATACCTTGGCAACAGTTGCTATTAACATCAGACCCATAACGCCCGGAGCGTTATGGCAGAGATGTATAGAAATTTAACTGGTGGGCTCACTCTTCAATTGTTTCGTCAGACTAACTCTCGATATGGAACAATTGCAAGCGAGTTTTGGACGTGGGGTTCAGGTATTTGCGATAGAGGCGCCATAATCGGAAAATCGTTCAAAACCTTGGTTCTGTGAGGGATGAATATATCATTGTTCTGTGGTCGAATAAATACTGTGCTCAACATTTTCATTCAAATTTCAATTTGAAATAGAAGCAAGAAGTCTTTTTTGTAGCCGATTTTAATAAGCTTCACTTCTTTCATGACATGAACCTATTTAAAGCATGAAATCTGATGAATTTCCTCTTTGAAGAACCAGAACAAAGAATGTATCAACAATTGAAATATACCAATATCGAAAATCATAATAGGCAGATATATATGGTAACTGGTACTCACTTTAGACTTTATTCACACCAGTTCACGCTAATATTTCAAATCACTGAAATAATACTGTTGTAGAACAGAGATTTTCTTTTTTTATGGTGGATTATGTATTATACACAAAATTTAGAAACTACGGAACACGTCCCTAACGAACACTTGACCCCAATCTCAGAAATAACCATTTTTTCAGCTCAAGAATATTTTTGACATATTGACGTTTCGATCCTTTGATCAGGAATCAGTTCACTGCTCTAATCCAAATCATATATGTATCCAAATATTTATCGGTCGGTAATATGTTTCCTGTAAATATGGATTGTAACTAGGATGAGCTTAGCGAGATTTACCCACGTCAATTATGTTTATCAAAGGTTTATCAGAGTAGGCGCCATCGAGAAATTTGCAAACGACCTTCAATAGGGAGCAAGCACACCAGTTAAATTTCTATACATCTCTGTTATGGCATTATGAACCGTAACGCCCGCCAATTGTTTTTTCTGTAGTTCATGAAATTACATACCAATTCTTGAAAGTACGCCAATAACACGGTCTCATCTATGGCAATAATTTCATCTTCGAACTTCCATTGATTGAATACTCTATAATCCTTGTCCCTATATACATGAGTCTGGATTTCTCCGGCAATAAATTAATCGTAGCTTTGTGTGCATTTTTTATGATATTCTTGGGTAAATTCCTATTCATTTCCATTATTTCTATAAGACTACTCTATAAGGCTACACAAAGAAAGCAGCAATGACATTCACTAAATTAAATAATGACAGCGATATCCAACAAACGTCAAAATATCAACAAATGCGATTTCAAAGAAGCTATTGATATGAGATGATGAATTAACAGAAATATATTTTCTCAAAATAGTTGTTTTTTTTTTTAGCCGGAACTTCATATCACACCTGATATAATTATTATTTTGTACACAAAATTGAACTCCTTGTTAGTTCATGTTATTTTTACAGTATTCGAGGAAATTGTGCTTGGAATTGAAAATGATCACACAAACTCCCTGAAATTTTATATTTCCGATTTTCACTTTCATTTTAATATGGGCTGCGACTGTAAAAATGAATGCTAGAAGTAAAAGAAAAGTATTTACTATTTTTTTTTACGAAATACTGATTTCCTTAATATATACATATAGTGATATTAATAACTACCTGTGCCCAAAAAAAATCTAATTCTTATGAATATATCTCAAGAACTGTTCAAATCTTCTGTTGCATTAATTCAACAACAGATTCTCTTAGATCTGAAGGAATTTTGAATTGTTTCTCTCTGTACACAATTTCTCATTGGATTCCTTACCTGTTGTCAGGATGCATCGTTAACTTATGAGAATGTCCGTATTTCCTAACCAAATCCCAAAACTCCAAGTGAAACTTTTCTATCTCTTCTGTACACAAACAGACATAGTCTAATAGAGTGAGCAGATCAAAGTTCGTTCCCAAATGAGGCAGTAAGTGTTCTTGTCTCAGTTTCAGTTGAAACACTTTCGCCTCATAATGTGTAAGACCAATAGATTCATCTAGAAAAAAAAATGATTTCATCAGAATATTGGCAACCCATGATTTCTCAAATTTACTAATTTCCCTATGTGAGTATATTGTTTATCTGAATTATTACCTAATAAGTTGTTGTAGGTTTGAACGCCATAAACTTTTCCCAAGTCTGGATGTGTGTGAACTTTGAATGGAACTGCTCTAAAGCAACCAAAGAAGCAGTAATAGTTTCCATCTGATTTTACGAATTGCCAATATTTCTCGCTCCTGAAAGTTCATTCACATGCATTATTTCAAAAGGAATACATATTTGTATGTTTATCCAGTGCCTTGACTTTTAATACAGGGTAGTGCACCTCATGCAACATGATAATTAATTCGCGATAGAAAATAACACGTCGCTCCATCTGACGGCAACAACTTCTGAGCGGTTTATTTTGATGATATGACTAATAAGTACAAACAAAAAACAAATGTGAACCAATGAAAACAAAGTAACCGGCCGCTTTGACAGCTTTCAAGAACTCCAATAGGTGGGGTACGCTTATTTTCTATCGTGAATACAGAGAACAATGAAACTTCATTCAATGGTCCTGTTACACTATGAAGTACCTACCAACAATTCACTAATATAAACCGTTTTCCTCTCAGAGCTTTGAACATTAAAAAAAAAAGTTGCTTAACAGAATTTCAAGAATTTCTAGTTGTTTCGATCTTCTCAGTTCCCCGAAAATTGGTTCAAGTCACATTAATCAAATTGTCTAATATTCCACGTAAATATAGATTTATCCAATTAGAATCAAGAAAATCATTAAATCAATCGAGAAATCTTATACAGGGTGGCATTGAAATAACCACAAATATTTCAAACCCTGTGAAAGCTCCATGTATACTATCGAATAGCATTAATAAAAAAAATATAAGGATCAAAATAAAATTTGATGTGAGACCCCTTTTTCCACCTCAAGTTCTACAATGTAGCAATCCTGACGTCACCACTTTACATAATCACGCGCAGTTCAATCATTTAAATGGTTTTAGAGTCGAGTAGGTACTTGATTTTCTTCAATTTTTTTGTTCAATTTTCGGGATGAAACTTCTTGTGAAACCCCTCGAAAAAGATTACAGAGATATGAGGTGTTCAAAATCTAGATTTTTCAACGTCGAGAAATAAAAATCTCAATAGAAGAAACTTCCCCATTAAAACAGTAGGCCAGCCAACACATCTGTGACATGACAATTCTGAGATATCGCATTTAGGTAACAGTGCGATATCACACATGTTCCATCGATGCGATGTTCATAAGCAACACATCTGCGACATGATATCTCTGAGATGTCGCGATGAGGCAAAACTGCCATATTACGAATGTGACATAGCTGCGATGTACAGAAGCTAACACATCTGCGATATGACATCTCTAAGATGTCATATCGCAGCTGCGAGCTGAAGTAGAAGACGATGCAATTCGATTACAGAATTACAATTTTGTCAGGCTTGATAGGTTAACACATGCTGGAGGAATAGGTATGTACATAAAAAATACACTGAAACATAGTACTTTATTTATGGAATGTACTGAATCTCTAGAGCAACTCTGGGTTCAAGTTAGTGGTAAAAAAGAAAACTTTATTGTTGGAGTAATTTATAGACCACCTAAATCCAATTTTGATATCTTTATGTCTAGTTTCGAGGATACTTTAGCCAATATCTACTCCAACTATGAAAAAGTGATATGTTTAGGTGATTTCAATGTAGATTTCTTGAATTTTAGCTGTACAAGAGTCAAACGATTAATTAATGTTGTCGAAACATTTAATCTCCATCAAATAATGAATGAACCTACAAGAATCACTGAAACGTCCAGAACTCTGATTGATTTAATTTTTGTTAGCAACGAACTTGATATTTCAGATTATGGGGTCAATGACTGGGGAATTTCAGATCATCTACTGACATACGCAAATATTGTCACTGAAATTCAACGTTTCGAACAGAATAAGTACTTTTCTTACAGGGATATAAATAATATCGATTTAGACAGTTTTAATTCCGATATGATGTCTTTACCTTGGCATTTACTGCATGAAATCTCAACTATTGATGATAAAATTGAATTCCTTAATAATAATATTCTATCATTATTTGACAGACATTCTCCTATAAGAAAGGTAAAAAAAAGGAAGAAATATAAATACTGCCCGTGGATAACAGATAACATTAAAATTATGCAAAAACTCAGAGATAAAGCTCTGAAAAAATTCAAAATTACTAAGCTTGCAGCTCATTATGAATATTATAAACAAATTAGGAATTATACGAATTTCGCAGTGAAATCTGAGAAGAAAGCTTACCTTAAAACCAAATTTCAAAGTTGTTCGTCAAAAGAAAAATGGTGTGAACTCAAAAAATTGAATATATGCAAATACAAACATACTTCTCTGCCAGATAATATATCAGACGTAAATGCTCTGAATAAATACTTCGTAAACTTGTCAAATAATGCAATTGCTCCTAGTGAAGAACTCATAAATCATTACTCTACTAATGTGAAGATCGAGTTAAATGAAACATTCTCTTTTGTAGCAGTGAATGAGAACACTGTGCTGAACATAATTCAAAATATTAAATCACAGTCCTTTGGTAATGATCAACTCAATATAACTTTGTTGATACTATGTTGCCCATTTATTATTCCCTTCATTACACACATTCTGAATGAATGTCTGATTCAGTCATATTTCCCACGCGCATGGAAAATTGCGAATGTGATTCCACTCCCTAAAATCAAGAAACCAATAGAATTCAATCACCTCCGATCTATAAGTATTCTTCCAACCTTATCTAAGGTACTTGAAAAAATTATGGATACTCAAATTCGACCTTATCTGGATCGAAACAAAATTTTACCTGATAAGCAATCTGGATTTAGAGCAGGCTTCAGCTGTGAAACTGCCCTAGCCAATATAACTGACGACATTATTAAAGGCATTGATGAAAGCAATGCTACCATATTAATTTTACTGGATTTCTCAAAAGCTTTCGATTTGATCAATCACAAACTATTATTATCCAAATTGCATTTTTTCGGATTTAGTGAGTCTGCCTGTATATTACTTGCATCATATTTATCTGACAGGTGTCAGAGAGTTATCTTGAATGAGAAAATATCAGAAGCTTCCCATGTATTGAGTGGTGTACCACAAGGAAGTATATTAGGACCCCTACTGTTTACATTGTTTACCTCAACGTTTCCTGAATGCTTACAATATTGTAATCATCACATGTATGCTGATGATACTCAATTATACTTAACTTTTAATTCGAAAAATAGTATATTATCTAACAATGCGATTAATACAGATTTGAATTCTTTGTTGTACACATGCGAGACACACCTACTTAAAATAAATCCTCAAAAATCGTGTGCTATTTTATTTTGTAAGACCACTGTCAGAAATACTTTACTTGAATCAATAGTTTTACGCATAGGTGAGGACATCATTCCATTCAAAAATAACACAAAAAATCTTGGGTTAGTGCTAGATTACAAATTACGTTTCAAAGAACATGTCAATCACATGCTGAAGAAATGTTACTTCAATATAAAAATGATATATCCTCATAGACACTCTCTTGGAAAAGATGTGAAGAAAATGTTATGCGACTCTATAGTACTTTCTCAACTTAATTATTGTGATACGGTCTATGGACCCTGTTTAGATTCTGTCGATATTAAACGCATACAAAAAGTACAAAATTCTTGTTTGAGGCTTATTTTTGGCATTAGAAAATACCAGAGAATCTCACATAAATTGAAGGATGTCAACTGGCTGAACATGCAAAACAGGCGAAAACTGCATTTGGTGTGCAGCTTCTACAAAGTAATGAAAACAAAAAAACCGGATTACCTTTATAAAAAAATTACATTCAGGAGTGACATGCATAATTTGAATATTCGGCAGACCAGTCTCATTACTATACCGAGACATAGGAAAGAAATCTTCAAAAAATGCTTTTCGTATAATATTTCCTATCATATCAATGCTCTAAATATAACAGACTTCACGCTTTCGCAGAAATCTTTCAAAAATATGTTATTCAAACAATTGGTTCAAATTCAAAATCAAACCTAAAAATTGTATCATTTTTGTGTTCATAAATATTATGTGTATATATTTCTCTCCCTATTGCTATCTTTCTTACTTTCTTTCTTTTTTCCTGTTTCTTATTCACTCATCTCCTCCTATATTGATTGATTTTTTTTTTGTTGCTGTTGTTTTCGAGTATATTGTAGAGTTAGATGTAGATTTAGGCACGGCCAGATTGGAAGAACAGTTTCGTTTTACCTAGTAGAATGAAAACTGAACTCTGGCCCTTTACTCACCAGATGAATACTTATTTTGTATTATGCCTATCTAATGTAATTTCATTTTGGTGAATAATAAACGTATTATTATTATTATTATTATTATTATTATAATGAGGCAACAATGCGATATCACGAATATTCCATTGCTGCGATGTACAGAAGCAAACACATCTGTGACATGACATCTCTAAGATGTCATAATGAGGCAACAATGCGATATCACGAATATTATATCGCTGCGAAGTACAGAAGCAAACTCATATGCGAGAATTTGAAAGAAATTGTTATTTAGATTCTTGTTCGGTGAAAAAGAATACATGAATATACGTTATGCAACAAAGTGAAGCCAAATTCGCAAATATTCCTTACATTGCATCAAACTATTCTTGGTTTGCTTACATCTCGCCGACACACACACATAATTTTTGATACAAATACAAGTAACAGATCTCAATGTGATAAAGATTCGCAGGTACCAAGGATATCGCCACTGAAAAGACGATTGAATGGACCACCAACCAGTCAGAACAACACATAATCAATATTAGATGTCATCAGAAGTCAGTGGTGTACCAATTATCACACCATGTTTGAGGAAACTTATTTCTCGATTCAAAACATTGCTTTTTCATCACAAATAACATATCGCACTAACATTGCATAAAATATATCGCTGTTATATCGCAGCGACGTCGCATGGATGTAACATGAGTGGGACAAAATAACATCCCTCTGACATCGCAGCGATGTCTATGCGACATAGAATGCGATATCACAGGTCACAATTGTTACATCGCTGCGATATCGCTGTGATGTAACTGTGTTTGCTGGCAGGTACCTTTGTGCAGCGTCGCAAACCCTCTCGTCCAACGACATCGGAGCGACCACATCAGGCATAGAGAGCCTCTTCTGGCACTGTTCGCCGTCGTACAGAGCCCCATCGCTCGACTGGCTGGAAGACCACTCTTCCGAGACCTCTCTGCGAAGTTCCTCGAAGTCTGCCACCTCGAACACCGGAAAACGAAAATTCCCGAGGCACCCTTCGAGGGCCACGATGTTTGCCGCATATTCATTGCACAGCATGTCGCACATTCTTTCCGATTCCGAGTCGTCGTAGTCGATGTGTATGGTAGTCAGGTACTTATCGATGTTCTTCACCACTTTCTTGCTTCGGAGGGTGTAATTGGAGTAATTGTTCGAGCTGTCGAGGATTCCCAAGGAGCTGTTGATTTCTTCTGGGGTTTTTTCGACGATAGACACATTCATGGTGTCATGGTTTTTGAGCGGGGTGATTTGTTCTGGAGTGTTTTCGACGAGAGATATATTCTCGTCGATGATAATGGGGGGCGTGATTTCATGGATGGTTTGGAAATGTTTTTCGAGCGGGTTGATTTCTTCTGCAGTTTTATCGTCAATGATCATTGGGTGCGTATTATCACGTTGTATCATGTTCCAACTGGTCTCAATGTTGTGGGGGTCTACTGGCAATTCTCTTTTTGAATCTTCCAAAGGCCTGATAGGTTTTGACAACATTTCGTTTGATTCCGATTCATTTGCAGTAGAATCGCCATTGATTTTCGCTGCAGCATTTTTGCCTGAAAATAGTAATTTAGTCTGTCTGGAATTCTGGTGGCTTTTATAGAGGATTGGAAGACGTTTAGAATGAGATATCACTCGACCCTACATTCCATTTTTTTTTAATCTTATTCCAAGTAGGCGACCTAGTACGCGAGGAGATATATTACTCTCCTACTACACTACTACTACACCCAACTATAGGTTGTCATTTAGAACAACAATGCTCTATCTAATAGTTACGATATATATAGGGTGTTTCATTCAAAAATTCATATAAGTTGCCCATAACTTTTTTTGAGATGTTCAAGTGTTTTTCCATTAACATATAGTATAAAATCTACAAGGAACATTATGAAAGACTGTTTTAAGAAAATTGACCAATAATATGCAGATATAACGATAAATGGAACACCCTGTATATTTTTTCATATTTGATATATTGATGCTCTGCGCTTTCTGAAAATACAGGGTGTTCCGGTGATCATGTTACAAACTTCTAGGGTAGATAAAACACACGAAAATAAGAAAAAAAGTTCATGTGAACATGGGTCCGGAAACGCTTCTTCAGGGAGCTAGGGCCCTTCGAAGATGACCTTCAAAAACTACTTTTCGTTTTATAGCTTCGGTACTACTGCATCTATCGCAACCAATTTTGGGACATGAAATCTAGTTCGTAAGTTTATCAATTTGAGCCTTCCGGATTTTGTCACCTTTAACCAGGGGCGTACAAACCAGGGGGTATTTCGGTAAATTTGACCCTACTCCTCTTAGGCTTTAATTTCTTACCATTTTTATATCTGATTATGATTCTCCAATGCCTTTTACATAAAAAAGGTACTCTTGTAAAAATCGCTATCTGTCACCGTTTCCTCCAAAAATGGCTAAATCCAATCAATAATAAATTATTGGTCTTAAACCAATTATTACGTTGAAATATGAAAATGAGGTTCAGTACAGATAGTGATACCCCCCTTTTTAATTATTGAGCATTCTTGTAACCTAAACAAATCAAACCCTATTGATCATGAGAAGCTATCAAGAAGTTCATGAATTAGTTTCCCGAGAAACAAATAAAAAAATCTAGAGTTTGCCGATCTATTAAAAAGGCAGTTTAAATAATTACTTAGGAAGATTTAGTATAAACAACATGCAGATTTGGCAACGTTGTAAATGGTATTTTTAGATCAGACTTGCTGAAAACTTCCTTATAAATTAATTTTCATCGTCATATCGCCACAATTTCTCGAAATATTGAAATTTTGTGATATTTTTTGACGAAATGTTCTTTTTTCATATCAACAAAAATAGAGGGAATACAAATTTGATATTATATGGCCATAGTAGTTTTGAGACGACAAATCGAATGCTCTAAAAATAAACATAGCATTACATTAAAAAAAATGAAGTTGAGGGCCCTATGGGAGAAACTGTAAAACTGGCAACGTTGCAAATATTATTTTCAGATCCGGCACAACTGATTACCCCCGTATACCAAATTTCATGATTTTATGTCAAGCCGTTGCTGAAATATTCGGCCGTTCCGGTTCTTTTGGGAAACCCTGCATTTATACCAAATATGATCACAGCTCAATTATGTGATTTTTTTCCCATTGGAGCTGTATGAATTAATTCACAACTTTTTCAAAAAAGTCATTTCAATTAATACACAAATTAAATAACTGACTTAATCATAATATGAATCTATTCTTACCAATGCTGCCTTCAAATTAACAAAAATAAATCACTGGATTATTACATTAAAAATTTCATAGAATAACCAGAGATTTTTCAATGATTTGGTCTATTTGTTTCAAAATGTGGGCAAAATGCCCACCCTGCTACAAATAGCAAACAAGTTATGCTATTGAAAGAACACTCACCTTTCAATAGAATATTGATAGATTCAGGGAATTCAGGGTTTGAAAATTTAGCTTGTATCAATTGCTGTGTTGTTTCTGCACATGGGCTCATACTGCTCAGGCTCATTATGAAAGACATAGTGGGGGTAACAACATTGCATGAAAGATCATTTCTTTTCAAAATTGACTTGATAGGCTGAGAATACAAGATATTTGTAGGTTTTCCAGCTTGATCTTCATCTCTGAGAGCTTCCTCTACAGCTATCTTGCATTGCACTGGTGAGGTTTCAGTAAGAGGTTTGTTCTCATCAACACTAAGTTTTTGTAATTTATTCTTGTCTGTGAACACTTCACTGTTATTCTCAAAAATTTTAGAGATGTGAACACTGATAGGTTTTTGTTGATTATTTTCATAATCAATGCCTTCTTTTGAATTTGAAGGAAGTTCTCCAACCTTTAGGCTTGTGCAACTTTTCTCATTTTTATCTATAGAAACCTGAACCTCATTTGAAATCATCATTTCCTTATTGAGAGATGATTTGATAGAAGTATTTTTCAAAATTGATTTTTGTTTAGGATTACTGCATTTTTCAGTTTCATCAATAGCTTTGTCCAAGGCTTGTTCACTAAACATGAGTTCCCCTTTATTATCCTGAACTTCCACAACTTGCATTATATTGAAATCTGATACTTTGTTCTCTTGAGAAGTGGTTGAATTTCTAGTTAATTCCATATCAATATTTTCAGAACAGTTATCATCTGCTTGAAGAGTTGTAAACTCCATACCTACTGAAGAATCATCATCTTTTTGAACTAAAGTGTGGAGACTTTTCACAATACTAGTCAAATTTGATGTAAATTCCATATCAATAGATTCAACTTTGGTTTCATTTAATTTACATTTCAAACTAGTACTATTATTGGTAATGTTGATATCTCTAAGCCTATTGTTCACTATCAAATTTGTATTTGAAATGGTTGTTAACTCCATTTCAACTTCTTGATCATTAGGTAGAGAAATATCCATGTCCTCTACAACAGTTTCATTCATTCCTTGCTGTATTCTTGGAAAATCACATGTAAATGACATATCAAACATAGAAACATCACATGACCTTCTAGCTGCCTGTTCATTTCTCACATGCTCTACCAGATTCATCTTAGTAGGATCTGTGCTTGCTTGTTTATTTCTGACATAATCCACCAGACTTATTTTAGTAGGATCTGGATAACAATTCCCATAGTTTCCAGTAAATTCCATTTCAGTTTGGTTCAAATTGGTATCATTGATACAAGTAGCTGGGATAATTGGTACAAAATTTTCTTTATCACTTTGATCAACACTTGCTGGTATTACATATTGCACTGACTTGCTTTCCCATATTTGAAAGGAACTCATATTCATTTGCCTTGAAGCATGACTACCTTGTGTTTCTTCACTTGATTTTGTTGAATCTGTGTGGTTAACTTCTTCTTCATAAGTATTGTCCCAAATTGTATTTTTTTCAGGGTCTGCAGCAAATGGCCTAGAAGAAATCATTTTGTAACTTGTAATTTTGTTATATTAGGATTTTATGTGTATCATTACTTTACAAAATTGCTGCTAGCAAAGCTAACACGCCTTGAAGCTTTACATGATACATTATCTGGAAAGTAGTCACTTTGATTGCCAAGCTTCTGTTTAAGAATCTGAAATCAGGAGTATAATGAGAGTAAACCTTAATACTTTAATTATTGATACTCACAGATGACCGCCTTTTCCTTTTTTCTGGGTCTATACCAGTATCTCCTTCTGAGCTGGAAATTTAAATGAAAATATGAATAATGATACTGCTTGATTAATAACAAAACCTAGAGATTATATATAAATAAGAATATAGGAACAGAACAACTAGAAAAACTTACTAGAATGTTTCATCATCTTCAATCTCTTCCATTTTAAATTTAGGTAACAGGTGACTTGAAAATTGACTATTGAGTTTGTTATTTTATTTGAATAAATGTTTATTTTCTCTCAACTCAAAATTCTCAACGTTCTTTTCAAAAACGAAAAACACAAAGCGTCTGTCACATGGACATTGACAGTAGCGACACAGAGCGCAGAACACTAAAGTGTGACTAAAATAATGACAGTTGCCGAATTGAATCTATCTCTTTTTAATGGTGCAATGAACAGAGATATCTAAAGAAAACATCTTCAAGAGCAAGAACGTATATGGAGCAAGACCCTGATCAATGACGGCTAAATGGACTGTCTGACGGGTTATACATGACTGTTCATTCAGCGAAAATCGGCAAATCGCCCTGTAATGATACTTTGAAGGGACGGCAAGTGGCGTCATCTATTTCCTGTGTCAAATGAGCTATTCAACATAACCTGCATTCATGATCCTGCATTATTTGTTGACAAATTTTCTTACTGTCAGCCTGTCACTCATTGTCACTCGAGATTGGAGAGCTTTGTTCAAGATATACCAAGTAAAACTGTGAAAAGGCCAACAAAAAGAAGTGGTTAGGAGTGTTCATGCCGAATAACGCTATTATATGCATAAATAATAATGTCATTCAAGTGGAAATCATCTTCGTCAATTCGTGAATAGGTAAGGACATGTTCAATTATTCCATTGATTGAATTTTTAACTGCCTAATAAGAGCCATGGTAGCCCTAATAATCAGATACTTCTGTATTCTCAAAGTGAAATTTACTGCACCATTTCATATTGTTTCACAAAATCTGTGATCTCAAGTGATATTTCTTAATTTGTATTTTCAGGAAGATACTGAATTTTCTCAACACAATGTTGAAGCAGCTCTTCATGAGGTTTGATTGAAAGATGACTGGAGACATTCAATTCTGACGATGCTATCTTTGCATAACCAGAATATTTACTATATAAGGTGAGCTTTGTGAACAATTGTTTAATTAGGTGAGGGTTCAGAAAAATAATCAGGCATTTTAACTACAGTATCAGGTATCTCCATGAATAGCAAATTAAATATCAATTTATCATTTCATACTTATATATTTCATATCAGATATACAGATAAATTGTATTGCAAAATTGATAGAACTATATGTCAGCTTCAAAATCATTGAATGTTCTATAGCAACATTTCTTTATAGGTTCTGATGGGGATGGCAACACAATGAATATAAAACGGCTTCGATATGGGTTCTTGACTTTGGAGGATGAAGCTAGGTTACCTGGAGATCCTTTGGACACTGGAAATAAAAGAGGAAGATGATATACTATTGTGTATCCCACAATTTCTATTATCTGTTCAGAAATCAGCAGATAAGAAGCATGTTTTGAGTTCAAATATGAGCTCATCATTAGCTAATTTAATGGAAAAGGAAATTGTTTATTATGGTGACTGTCCATAGAATAAAATTATTATATTACTTGAATAAATGCTTTCTATACATATCATCTATTTATCTATCAATCCATATTTTTCAACCATTTTCAAAACTTTGTGGAGACAGAAATAGTTATATGCATTTCAAAAGTTGAGTTTGCACTCTTTTCGTCTTTTTAGATCTACTTGGGGAAGCTATAGTTAGTGGGCTAGTATCAGTGACAACATTTTACCTTATTTCACATACCATCTCATACTTCTATCAAGAACACAAGAAAGCTATACAGGATTTCATTGATAGATGGGCATACATAATACATAAACTTAGGCCAAATAATTAATTTAAATTTTTGTGACAAAATCATCACAGCAGTGAAAAACATTTTTGAAAATCTCTGATAGAATAATTATTCTGTGATATTTGCCAGGAAGCAGGAACACAAAATACCTCAAATTGTAGTTGTGGCACTCGAAAAAACTCCTGATGTTGGCCTAGACTGATGATTCTCTGGGATTCAAAGAGCATACCTTAAATTCCATTCCTCTTTCATTCTTATAGTGTTGCTTTTTGGGATGCCCATCCTGTAGGTAAATGGTATTTAAGTTTGATTACGTTGCATTGATGGCTTGAACCATCAGGCTCACATGAAACAGTTTTCAACAATACTACTTCTACCCTACCTACCTATGCAACAACAATGCAGACTAAACATACCTTGAAAATTATGGTAAGCGATCCTTTCTGAATGTATGTCCCCATCCTGATAAGTCGCCATATGTAGTGCTATTGATCATCACTCTATAGTGTCTTCCAAAATCATTGACACAAACTTCAACACCAGAATTAACACCAGTGTTCTAATGGTGGAATCGAGGCTGAAATTGAAAACCATCAGAAAAGTGTACATGAAAAATCATATTCTTACCAATGTCTTCCAAAATAAAATTCGACCATTCTTGCTGTGGAGTTTATCACTGGGTATGAGATACGAAAAAGCAAACCCCATATTTGATACGATTATTGATACATTTCATTTCATACGCTAGAAGGCTGTAAATACATGATGAAGACACAACTAGCAAACCTGAATAAATAAACTACCAGAACTAAACACAAAGAAGAATGCTTGATTGAATGGAAATCCGAAAAAGTAAAAGAATTTATCGATATTCAACAGAACACATCAGGGACCTGACAGTGACACAGTTTTGACACTTGATAATAATAATTCAATATAACCTATGTTATTGGAAAACAACCGAATAAGAGCTAAACAAATGACTTCTCCGCAAAGGACGGCAAGTAAACCCCTCTGGTGGAGAATACACTGTACTGAGTGATTGGACAGTCATGTAGTACTCGTCAGACAGTCCATTTAGCCGTCATTGCCCTGATAGAGGGGAGCATCTCTTCTCAGCCACAACTCGTTTCGGCCACATTTCGTCTCAGCCACATCTCGTTTCAGCCACATCTCATCTCAGCCACATTTCGTCTGGCCCGCAGAATCCGAACATACTCGAATGATGCGCTGTTGCCACATGACATCCCAATTTCTTATGTTTTTCTTCAATAACTCCTTCATTAATTTTAGTCTGTGGGTATTTCACCTGCAGATTCTATTTTTCCAGAGTGATGCATATGAAACTGATAATTTATTTTCATTTGAGATCATTGTTTTGTTTTCCCAGTTTTTCCCAATTCGGTTCACCGACGTATATCTGGAAGGAGACGGTGGATAATGTGATTTTGAACACCTTCAAATATACAGGGTTATTCAACTAACAAACTCCGTTTTTTCAATGGGACACCCTGTACATTATTGCATTTTGCATGTATAGATTCTCACTGAAGAGCTGATTTTATTGATACATCACACTTGGGGTCTAGCGGACATGATTACAGATAAATAGGGTGTTCAAAATCGAGATTTTTCAACTTGGAATAGTTTCGACACAATATCGAAACTATTCATTATTGGCCAAAACGGTTTTCATGTGCCTATCATGTCATTGTATCCTTGGTCTCGGATTCCTTCAATGATTCAATTGAATTTTGATTCCATCGCTGTCAGTTTTGTTGCGGTTAAAATTTATGGGGAATGGAGAACAACATATCAGTACCTACTTGCACTTATTCATGCACATTACATGTAGTAGATGCAAGTATCTTGTTGTATTACGACATTACGCGGCGAAACTATGCAACACGCATTACGTTCAGAATGTATCATAGAAGGCTGGAGAAGCGAATTTGTTCCTCATAAACGGGTTCAAAAAATAATTATCCCTAATATCACTATTCAATCCTTCAAATTCTGTAAGACATTCATTTCCATCGCTTTTGAACATTTTTATTTGACGGCTCAATAATAGAATGTGGCTGAGACGAAATGTGGCTGAGAAGAAATGTGGCTAAGACGAAATGTGGCTGGAACGAGATGAAGCTGCATTGTGTTTTTCTACTAAATTGGGAGAATCGGTTTCTATCTGGCAACAGCGCATCGTTCGGGTATACTCGGACACTGTGGCTGAGACGAAAAGTGGCTGAAACGAGATGTGGCTGAGACGAACTGTGGCTAACACGATATGTGGCTAAGAAGAAATGTGGCTGAAACGATACGCACCCCCTGATAGGACTATTCGTTTGTGTTTGTTCTGCCTGCTGAACTTGAGGCCTGTTCGTTTGTTTTGCTGAACTTGCTAAAGTTGATTTTGTCCCATAGTATAGTTGTCTCTTTTCATGGCATGATGCAAACAGAGAAAGTCATAGAAAAAATCGAGTTCAGCAGACAGAGCAAGCACAAACGATCAGGACTTTGATGTTTTTTATGACTGTCTCTGTTTTCATTATGCAATGAACAGACAGCTAAATATCTAGACCATAGACAAACCAGTGATTTCAGTACAATTAGCAGAATTAGCCTTTTTTATTCTGGCGAGGCAACACTGCACCGGCGGCGATGTATGTCAATTTTTCAATTTTTGACTTTTTCTTTTCTTTTTGTCATGCTAGAATTAAAAGATCATCAAGAGTTGCAGTTTGGTTCAATCAAATATTCCGACTTCGAATTTCGAATTCATACATGATCAGGAATCAGAAAAGCTGAATGATAATAATTTAATAAAATAAAACTAAAATGTCTGATCAGGAGGATAAAATTACCCAATTCACGGCAATCACCGGGGCAAATGAAGATCGAGCAAAATTTTATTTGGATTCTTCAGCTTGGCAAGTAGAGGTTTGTTTTGTTGAAACATATGTCCATTCTCCTTTGTCCTAATAATTGTATCTAAACTTACAGGTTGCTATAGCCAGATATTATGAAAATGATGGAGATGACATAGAAATAGTTGAAGAAACACCACCAAACCCAAGTTCTGAATCTCCAAATGTTCCTGTCCAACCAAAAACTACAAAACCTAAACCAAAGCCCTCAAATTTTGCCACCATCAATACAATTACCACTTCTAGTGATGAAGAGGAAGAAGGGCAAGCCTATTATGCTGGTGGATCTGAACACAGTGGGCAACAAGTCTTAGGGCCACCCAAAAAAAGAGATATTGTTGCAGATATGTTCAAATCAGTTCAGGAGTATGAACAATTTTCACATTCACCCTTATTTCTTTTTAATTTCTGAATGATTTAGGCATGGAGTGGAAATTCTTGAACCAGGGGCAGGTACATCTTCTTCAAGATCTTTTAGAGGCACTGGCTACAAATTAGGTCAGGACACTAGTGACACTGAGGTGATTCCTGGGATGGCTGAGCCCCCAGCACCTTCTGAGGTCACTTTGAGGTTATGGCAAAATGGTTTTAGTGTCAATGATGGTGATCTAAGACCTTATACTGATGTATCTAACAAGGAATTCCTTGATAGCATCCGAAGGGGAGAGATACCACATGAGTTAAGAAGGGGAACATCAGAGGTAAGTAGATTCAAATAGAGGAAACCCTAGGTGCTAGGTATTTCACTTTGAAGGTTCATTTGGCAATGGAGGATCATAGAACAGAAGCTTATAAACTTCCACAGAGTAAAGGTATAACAAAGGCTTTTACTGGACAAGGGCATACATTAGGAAGTCCTGCACCAGCAGTTGTTGGGGCTTGTAGGGAAGAAGATAAACCTGCCAATGAGGCAAAAGCTAAAGATCAATTGAAAGTTGACAATTCAAGACCAACTACTAAGTAAGTATTCTTGAATTGCCCATTGCTTGTTATTATCTTGCAACCTTTCATTTTAGCTTGCAGATTCGGTTGGCTGATGGTTCTAGACTTGTAGGGCAGTTCAATCAAGAGCATACTATTGGTGAGGTTAGGTCTTTCATTCAGACAGCTCGTCCACAGTTTCAGAATCAAATGTTCAACCTGTTGTCAACTTTTCCTTCAAAGGTTCTGGATGATTCCCAAACTTTAGCAGCAGCAGGATTACTGAATGCAGCAATCCTGCAAAAGTTAGTTTGAATTTGGTGATGTTCATTAAATTATTTCATAGGCTTGTTTGAGTTATGTTCAAATTGGTTTTATAATGCTTTAATCATTTGTTTTTTTCTAAATATAAATAAGTACATAAGGAATGAACTTGTATACTTGTGGTTACATTGATACAAGGATGTATTTATACTGAGAAAAAATGAAAGAAGACATGGACATCATACCCACTCTATTTGGCTCATTGGGCTAAATCATAGACAAACTACACTCTATTATCTATGGGCTAAATAGACATAGAATCTTGATTCTTGATACTTGGCCCTTATGGTTAGTACCTAATGGGAAAGAGGAGATTGAGCTCATTCAAATTAATTGTCCATATAAATATTTAGCCCACAGACATCTTCACTTCAGACAGAGGACAATGACCGTGACGTCATTTCCGTTTGGGTACACCTCTCTTCCGCAGCACGGCAGCACGTTACTAATTATGGTTGGCAAGAGACTTTGACGTTTGTACCTTTGTCCATTTTCCATCTGACAAAATTTTTGTTCTCAACTTCTCATCAATCTCATCTCATCAGCTCATTATTGCTTGTATTTATTCAATACTGATAATTAAAAATTATGCCGGTCAAGAATGATGAACATCGTACTGACCCATTGATAACAAGACCTGACCCAAATAATGACACACAAGACCTGCAAGTGCAAGACCAACCTGTCCGAGAACTCACGCAGACTGATGAACTGAATAAACGCTTATTACAATCTTTTCTTACAAGAATAAACCATCAAGAAGGGGGATTTAATTTTCCTATGGAGCCCTGCAGCAACGCAGATATTCATGAAGATACAAGATAGTTTCCAAACATAACAACGTAAACATAACCAAATAATAATTCATAACCACAAAATAATACGCGGGAGAAGTGAATTTCCATCCAAAACTTTTGATAAAATCATAAAATCATGTCTTCAGAGGACGAGTCAATATGTAGTGTGGAAAATGAAATAAGCATAGTTCCAGACATTGAAGGTGAAAATGCAGACCAACCTATTGAAAACATTGAGGTACAGGAAGACAACACTGAGACGACGGAAAACAAGAACTCTGATGATGAAGACAAGTCTGAAAGGATAGTTGTTAAACCCAAAAGAGTCATAAAAAATCCTCAGCCAAAATTTAATGAACAAACACTGAAAACTCCAAAGGGTCTTCCTGCCATAGCTGGACATTTCAAGAGAGTCAAGTTCAAGGGCAAGGGCCATGAGGAAAAAGACCTGAATGTGCTTATGAAGACTTATGAGTATTGGTGTCATCGTTTATTCCCCAAATATCCTTTTGATGCATCTATTGCCAGATTAGAATCCTTGGGTACCAGAAGAGCAACAGTGACACAGTTGAAGATTCTCAGGTCTGGCCTAGACCTTGAAGAAGACAAAAAACTTGCCAGTGATGAAGAAGGTGTACCAGCCACAGATGGTTTTGTAGATACTTTTGAGGACCAGTTTGATCAGCTATTACCACAAACAGAAGTTGCCAAGGAACCTGAAGTTAGTGAGGAACAGCTGGAACGCATGAGACTGAACAGAATCAGAGCAGAAACCTTGAGAAAACAGAGAATGGTGAAAGCAAAGATAACAGAAAACCCAAATAGTAGCTCTGCAAATGGGCAAAATGATATATCACAGTATTCACAGTCTATTGCTCCAATGATGAATGATACCAACTTAACAGAAGATGGTCAAGAAAGTGGACAAAATGAAGAAACCACAGCTAATGAAATGGATGTTCAGGAGAGTGAAGAAGTTGATTTTGATAGCCTTCTGAATATAATCAATGAACATGATCCTAAATATTCTAGGAATTCTAAGAGAAGCTTGAACACTCCAATGAGTGTCAATGTATCACACAGTTCACAAGTATCAAAGAGACCAAAAATAATTGATAGTGATGATGAAATGGGTAGTAGTCAAAATATGGGTTCTCCAAAAAATAAAACTAATCTTGACAGTGATGAAGAAATTGATAATAATCAAACAAAATCCAAGAAGAAGAAACATAATATCATTGAGAGTGATGAAGAACATAGTGATAGTGATATGAGACAAAATAACCTTGAGAACTTTCATAGTGATCAATCCAGTGATGGTAGTCTAGTGATAGGGTCTAAGAATAAACAGAAGATTGGCATTGATAGTGATCCTGAAGAAATCAATATCCATGAAAATACCAAGCAAGCCACCAATAATGAGACACTATCAAAATCTGATGGGGAAAGTGATGAATAAAATGACTTTCAATGCTAAACTGATCAACAACTCAACAATGAAGAGAAATTATGAATTATTTCAGTTATTTTTTTGGTTGTGTTCTGCTTTTCAAATGGAAATAAAACTCATAACATGAACATAATTATAACTTATTATTTAAATCACATCTCTTTCACTAAAGCTAATAATAAAATATTTACATGAATAAAAAGCATATTTATATTTAATGTGTAACACTGAAAAAATGCTGTTGCACATTTTATATTTCACCTACAGATCATTCATTACAAAATTAGAAAAATCTCAAGTTTTCTATTCAGTTGAGATGACGAAAATTCAATAATACAAGGATTACATGAGGTTTCATTGCAAAGAGCTACATGTATCAGGTACCTTATAAAAATATCCCCTTGATATTGAAATAGTACTTGAATTGCCCTGATAAAAGGAATAGGACAAATTTCACAGATATTTTGAACCCACTCACAATATCAGATATCAGTAATTATTGCTTTTTAACTCCCATAGAGATACACATTCAAATATTCTTGTGTACAGAAAGTTGAAACATCAACAGCACTAGATGATTTTTGAGTAAACAGGAATCTATTTTACCATGAGATTGTCAAACAAAATTATTCATTTGATCCTGTTGAGAGTTCTCTAAAATTTGAAGCTGTGGTTTGGCTTTCTTTAATTTTTATAAATATACCTACAATCCTGAATATTATACAGGGTGATTCAGGTTTTGAGGCACAAACTGTAATGGGAGATAGATCTCATCATTTCAATCAGATAAGTTCATATAAACATTAGTCCGATCTCGTCCAGAAGCGGAGCTACAGGGGGTCAAAGTTCAATAATTTTGTTCTATTGATTGAAATCTCTTGACTCTCGCTTACTTCTTGAGTTTCCATTTTGAAATTTGGTGTGGTCAATACTTCCTAGAAGATCATCATTTCAAGCTATTTGAAGATTTTCAAAATCTACAGGGTGATAGGTTTTTGTGGGTAGAGGCTCCTTTATCCCCCCCCGAACTTTTTCGTCGTACGCCTCTGGCATCTTTCACCGATCAAATTGTGTGGCTTTTTTGCTTCTTAATTCTTTTCCAGGAAACGAACCGTTTTTGAGATAAATGAGCATGTACGTTCTAAGACATGTTAATGTTGCCTATGTTTGGCTTAAATTTTATTCTTTGACTAAATTCGTTGAGAATACAATGAAATGTACTCACTAAAATTGAAATCACTAGTCCAATCTGGATCAGTTACGAGAATACGGAGGGTAGAATGTCGAGTTTTTTTTTCAGTTAAATGAAATTTAAGCTAAACATAGGCAAAATTAACATGTTTCAGAACATATATGCTCAATTATCTCAAAAACAGTTCGTTTCTCGAAAAAAATTGAAGGACAAAAAAGCCTTCAAATTGAACGATCCACACAATTTGATAACGAGAAGATGCCAGAGGCGAACTACGAAAAAGTTTGGGGGGGATAAAGAAGCCTCTACCCCCAAACCCGTATTACCCTGTAGATTTTGAAAATCTCAAAATGGCTTGAAATGATGATATTCTAAATAGTATCGACCACACCAAATTTTAAAATGATATCTTGAAAAGTAAGCGAGATATTTCAATTAATAGAAAAAATTAATCAAACTTTGACCCCCTGTAGCTCCGCTACTGAACGAGATCGGACTGATGTATATATGAACTTTTCTGATTAAAATGATGAGATCTACCTCCCATTTCAGTTTGTGCTCTAAAACCTGAATCACCCTGTACAGTGTGTCCCACTTACCATGCTCACCATGGGTATCTTTTTAACGGTGAGAGATACGAGGCCGGTTAAATGACACCAAATGTGGAGTTTGTGAAGGCCAACTATAATGTGAAAAAATATTTTGATAAAATCTATTCGTTTTTGTTTCATAGGCAAAAAACAGATTTTGATCATTTTCATGTCTCCTCCATAACTTCTTTATTTATGAAAATGTTCAAATAGGAATTTCACATTCTCATGGCAGTTTTTCAAAGTGATTTCGAAAAAAATATGGAATTCATACCAACTCTTCTAGAATTTGAGATATCAGCACCAACTTTAGTTTTTCAAATGTAGGTCATAGCTTACTATGACTTAGTTACAAATAACTTTTTTTCTCTTACAGATGATATGTCGCAGTAATAGTTTTGTGTTGATAACAACGGAGTTATCGTCATTTATACAAAAACAAGAAAATCATGATCTCCGACCTCAAAAACCCCCACTTACCAATTTTGAATGGAATCGGACCAAATCTTGTCCGCCATCTTGGAGCAGCCATTTTTTTCAATTTCAACAAAAATTCCATAATGTATTGTCACCGAAATTATAAACACCTGTCAAATTTCAAGTTGATCGGAGTTATGGAATTTTTGTTGAAATTAAAAAAAATGGCTGCTCCAAGATGGCGGACAAGATTTGGTCCGATTCCATTCAAAATTGGTAAGTGGGGGTTTTTGAGGTCGGAGATCATGATTTTTTGTTATAATTTATAAATTCAAGATGGCGGCTTCCAAATAATTTTTTGTTTTTGTATAAATGACGATAACTCCGTTGTTATCAACACAAAACTATTACTGCGACACATCATCTGTAAGAGAAAAAAAAGTTATTTGTAACTAAGTCATAGTGAGCTATGACCTACATTTGAAAAACTAAAGTTGGTGCTGATATCTCAAATTCTAGAAGAGTTGGTATAAATTTCATATTTTTTACGAAATCACTTTGAAAAACTGCCATGAGAATGTGAAATTCCTATTTGAATATTTTCATAAATAAAGAAGTTACGGAGGAGACATGAAAATGATCAAAATCTGTTTTTTGCATATAAAACAAAAACGAATAGATTTTATGAAAATATGTTTTCACATTATAGTTGGCCTTGACAAACTCCACATTTGGTGTCATTTAACCGACCTCGTATCTCTCACCGTTAAAAAGATACCCATGGTGAGCATGGTAAGTGGGACACACTGTATATCAAAGAAGTATTATTATTCCTTCTTAAAATTCCAAATAAGGTGGAAAAATGACTTTTGCAGAGGTAATAAAACTTTACTTCTCATTTCAACCTGTTTTCCCACAGCTCCAAGTCTACATATCTTCTCTATTCATGTGGAAAAGTAATATACATGACGATTAAATATTCCCGGACCAAAAAACTGTGAAATTTCCCACCAATAAAAAATATGACAAATAGAACAACTAAATCGCATTCGGCACTTCGGGAATCAAAGAAGCGAAAAAAGTCGCGAAAAAAGTCCAAACCACCATGAACCGACTAGGCGCCTGCTCCTCCACTTGCGCCTCCTGCTGGGGCCCGTTATTATTATTGTTATTCACCGCGTTCATGCTCCTGAAGAACCCTATCTGGTACAAATACATCCCGACTCCCAGCAGCAGCACGAAGATGAACCTCACAGGGCTGGAATAGAAGTAGACCACGCTGAAGAGCACCATCGCCCTGCTGAGCATGTAGAACACGTCCAGCCAGTCTCGCTCGGGGTGGTCGGGGTCGCGGGGGGCTGCGGGCGGGCCATCAGGCTCCGCGGCCGCCGGGGCCCCCTCGTTCGGGGGTCCCCGGCCGGGCGGGTCGGCGTTAGGGGGCGCCGGTTGCGGGTTAGCGCCGTACGAGTTCGCGGCGCTGCGAAATAATAATAAATAATAATAGTTATTTTTCTACTCACATAACTAAAATGGCATTTAGCGTACGGATATGTACGACGCTAAATGATCGATTAATTACAAATTGACGATCTGTGATTTATTCGAAATATTAAACAGGTTACCATGGCAACACGATTTCTTAAACACATTACCATGGCAACGCAGTTCATTAAACACAGCTTCAGTAGTTTGAGACATGTCTGGCCTGTCAATTGTATTACCTGTCAAATGTTATTTTCGAATTTCGTATCAGAATTATTCAAACAATATTCGTTTGTATCAGAATTCTTCATTAAAAATATATGCAAAAGTAGACGAGAGTGAAATCGAAGAGAATGTTCTGGTACTTGCATATCTCCAAGAAGTGTAAAAATGAAGCATCCATCTTTGAGAAAAATTTATTTATTCTGCGCTGAGCATGACAATAAACGTGAAACAAAGGTTAATAAGCAATGGACTGGACACATTTACAACCAATATCACTTTATACGTGTCTCGCTGGTTGCATGCAGTTGCATGTATTATGTTCTCAATTCCCATTCCTTTCAGATTATTTTGTAGGTTAGCAGGAATTGCAGGTATGTTAATTAATGTAATTTTTGGAGTTCGTAGAAAAATCATAGTATGTAACGCGTTTATAAACTCTTCTAGACACTCGTTTATTAAACACTCGCTCCGCTCTGCTACGCTCGTGCTTAAACTACTCGTTACTAAAAGGACGTTTATAACACTTGTTACATAATATACTATTATTATACAAGGGAAAAAAGTAGTAGATTTTAGCTCAAGGTTGTGTTGACAAAAAACCGTGAGCTAAAATCTAATATTTTTCCGCTGTATAATTCACCATTCCAGAACACGTGATTTTGACATGGTTTCTTGGGGGCACACAAACTATCTGTTATATTATAGGTTACCTTTGATGAGCATAGCCCTGGCCATACCTGCCATGTCCACAATATATACAGTGTGTCCACCTTAAGGACTTACCACCCCTGTAAAATTGTTATTATCTGACCGATTTCAAAAAACTTTTTTTTGTTGGATAGGTATTTGAAATGTCCATCCAACAAGAGAGTGATTTTTCCGAGGGGTAAATCACGTGGGAAGTTTAGTGTACAGACACAAGGAAGTTCGAGGAAGTTTGGGGAAGTTCGAGGAAGTTTGGGGAAGTTCGAGGAAGTTTGGGGAAGTTCGAGGAAGTTCGAGGAAGTTTGGGAAGTTCGAGGAAGTTTGGGGAAGTTCGAGGAAGTTTGGGAAGTTCGAGGAAGTTTCGGGAAGTTCGAGGAGGTTTGGGAAGTTCGGAGAAGTTTGGGGAATTTCGAGGAAGTTTGGAATATTCGAGGTAGTTTGGGAAGTTCGGTAGAGTTTGAAACATTTCGTGGTGTTTAGGTAGTTTTGAGAACAGAAATAAATGATTAGTCGGATATTCATTTCTCGATTTTTTCATTTCAGCAAATAATAGAGATGCTGTTAGATAACTCAATAATACCTACCTACCTGAAAATTCGTGGCACTGAAAAATTGCATTGCATAGGTAATTAGATCGGTAATTAGTTAGATGGTTGATTTCTGTTGGTGGATTATTCAAAGTTGTAAGTCTAATTTCATTTTGTATTGAATTACAATGCAGATATTCATGACATTCAGTTTCAAGTCCCTTCCAGTAAAGTACTTTTGAGTTAAGGTATACTCACCTATACCTGCCTATACATATACGTACAGTCAGATGCAATGAACATGTCGCAGTAGGGCGGTGATGGCACCTATCTAGTCACTTCTGCAATAAGAGCGCTAACACCATCCAACCGCGATATTTTCTTTGCATCTAACTGAACCTACCTATACCTACCTACCATAGGGAAAGGAAAAAAAGTTGAATCAATCAATACTAATTTGCTTACCTGGTTTGAGAAGTTCGAATAGTTTCGACAAGTTTAGGAAGTTCGAGGAAGTTTGGGAAGTTCGAGGAAGTTTGGGAAGTTCGAGGAAGTTTGGGAAGTTCGAGGAAGTTTGGGAAGTTCGAGGAAGTTTGGGAAGTTAGAGGAAGTTTTGGGAAGTTCGAGGAAGTTTGGGGAAGTTCGAGGAAGTTTGGGGAAGTTCGAGGAAGTTTGGGAAGTTTGGGGAAGTTCGAGGAAGTTTGGGGAAGTTCGAGGAAGTTTGGGAAGTTCGAGGAAGTTTGGGGAAGTTCGAGGAAGTTTTGGGAAGTTTGGGAAGTTCGAGGAAGTTTTGGGAAGTTAGAGGAAGTTTTGGGAAGTTCGAGGAAGTTTGGGTGATTTGGGGAAGTTTGGGAAGTTCGGCGGAGTCTGAAACATTTCGTGATGTTCAGGTAGTTTTGGAGGTTCGAGGATGTTTGGGAAGTTTCCGAAAGACCAAGCAAGCTGTAGGATGTCTGTGAACGTTTGGGCGGAGACGGTCGGGAAAAATCTTTGGCTAGATAATGCAAGAAACTTATTATCTCAGGATATACAGAGCTGTGGTGACAGAATCCTAGGGAAGATTCCTCTCAACAAATTATGAAATCAAGTTCATATGAAAATGGTTCCGAAAATGCTTCGTTTCCGAGATACAGGGTAGGGTGTCCAAGTTAAAAGAATTATGAGTTTTTCGTTATTGCTTGAGGCTCTTGTCAAGGCTTTCGTCGACACAACTCTGAAACACCCTATATAGAAATAATATTAAACATAATTTCAAAGAGTTCATTATTATTTCGGAACTTTCAACAGAAGCTGTCCTCGGATAAGTCAATAGTACCTATACATACCTAAAAATTCGTGGTACAGAAAACCTGCATTGCATAATATGTAATAATTAGTTTGATAGTTGATTTCTGTCGGTAGATTAATACTCATGACATTCAGTTTCAAATTCCTTCCAGTAAAGTACTTTCAAGTTTAGGTAACCACCTATACATATACGTAGGTACATATTCAACAGTGTGTTGTACTCGGTTGAAATTATTCGAAAAATCATATAAACATATACTTTCAAACGCTTCGTTTTCGAGATATATATAGGGTGTTTTAGAGTCTGAATATTGTTTTTTGATGAAAAGTTCGAAACGGTTTGAGATAAATCCACAAAGTTACCCAAGATACTAAACTTTTCACGCTCTATGCTCTATGAGATGAAATGAAGATTATGTATAATGAATGTAATATATTATTTCAACGAGAACACCACACTGTTGAATTTTTTGTATAACAAACCGGACAACCCTATATATATATCTACCTACCATAAGAAAAGGAACAAATTTTGAATCTATCAATACTAAATTGCTTATAAGTACTTGGTTTGTGACGTTTGAAACGTTTCGGGAAGTTTAGGAAGTTCGAGGTAGTTTGGGAAGTTCGAGGAAGTTTGGGAAGTTCGGGGAAGTTTGAGGAAGTTCGAGGAAGTTTGGGAAGTTCGAGGAAGTTTGGGAAGTTTGAGGAAGTTCGGGGAAGTTTGAGGAAGTTCGGGGAAGTTTGAGGAAGTTCGAGGAAGTTTGAGGAAGTTCGAGGAAGTTTGAGGAAGTTCGAGGAAGTTTGGGGAAGTTCGAGGAAGTTTGGGAAGTTTTGACCCATGGGAAGTTTGGTGTACAATTTTTTTCGCCGTGATTTACCCCTCGGATTTTTCTCATGAACTGTAATCGTGGCCAACTGTGACCAACTTTATTGATTCATATTTGAGAAAGTACTATTAGGGATTTCATTTCACAAAAAACAATGATGAATTCTGAATCAGGATCACTTGAAAAACACCTTTACTGATTTTTATCATCATAAAACACAGGGTCTCCGAAAAAACGAATTATGTTTTTTTTTTCAATAGGTGATCAGAAAATGTAGTATTGTGGTATTTTTGAGAAGAATTGATGACACATTATTATTGAGGATCACTTTGAACATATCTGTACCGATTTTCATCATTCAAAAATACGATGTGTATGAGAAAACAATTGAAAAGAAAAAGTAGGCAATATTTTTTCATCAACTCAAAAAAAAATTGATTTGTGTTTAATGATGATTAAAATCGGTACAGGTATGTTCCAAGTGATCCTGGATTCATCTTTTTATTTTGAGTGAAGAATTATCAGGATGAAAAATATTGCTTACCTACATACCTATTCTTTTTGATTTTTTTTCTCTGGCACATTGTATTTCTTTCTAGAAAAACCACAGAACTACATTTGCTGATCACCTATTTGAAGAAAATGATGATTCGTTTTTTCGGGCACCCTGTGTTTTATGATGATGAAAATCGGTACAGGTATATTTCAAGTGGTACTGATTCAGAATCCATCATCAAGTTTCATGAAAAAAAAAATCCCTAATATTACTTTCTGGAATATTTGTCACAGTTGGCCATGATAACAGTCCAAGAATTAGATCACTCTCTTGTTGGATGGGCATTTCAAATACATATCCAACAAAAAAAGGTTTTTTGAAATTGGTCGGATAATAACGATTTTACAGGGGTGGTAAGTCCTTAAGGTGGACACACTGTATATAACTTTCAATTTTAGGTGTGTGAACTTTACTCTTGAGCAAAATTTATATTTACATATCTCCTATATGACTGAGAAAATCAGATATTTGCATCTTTAGTTTTAGGCCTTGCAGAACTTTTGATAAAGATTGCATTTTTTCCTAAAATAAATATTGATAAAAAAGTGTCCCACTTTTTCAGACATACTGTATATTCAAGATTCTAGAACTGTTTGATGTCGAAAAATATATATTTGGCAATGGATAAATTGTTTAATTCATACAATAATGATTCAAATAACCATCCTTGACATTGAATTTATTTAAATATAATACACGTTTTTCTACTCTGTTGATTGTTTTGATTTGTCCCCCAACAAACTAAATATTTAGACATCATTCAGAGATGATTTGTTCTTTACTTTTATTTGAATCATGAATAGAAAATAGACATGATGATTGAATAACAAATAATAACATACTGGAACAGGGGCGGCGAGTTTTGTTTTGTCTAATGGGTGCCAAAATTGAGGGTCAGGGTAAGACAAAATTATGCGCCGCAGGCGAAAATTTTTCATGGTTCAAGGTCAAATGCCATCAAATTTCAAGATAGATCAAAGCATTATTTATTTTGCATCAAGTGTGAAACACCTCTACCAATATATAATATTTTGTGACTAATCGGGTTTCGAGTTTATGGTTGATATATTAATATGAACAAGGATGAGAAATAGAAGAATTTTTTTTTCACCATTGAAAAAAGTGAACATAACTCAAAATTTAAAACGATATTAGAAAATTCAATCTCTACAAAAATAAAATAAGATTTAATAATTCTCATATCTCAAAAAAATGGAATAGAGAAACTTCGGGATTCGAAAAAATTAGCAAGTAACCCCAGTTAATTTATTGCAAAGGTATTCCTACTGACTGTATTATCAATGGATTCATTAGCCACTTCTATTTTTTTCCAAACTGGCACTTGTAACCTGTGATGTCATAATGTCTAAAATTTAAATCGGAATATCTGCACAGTGCACAGTGTCAAACCCTGGATGCACATGAATCGAATATACGGTTCGCATGGTTGTTTACCTATACTTGTCCAGCAACAATGTGCAATATTTACAAGTGCTCATTTCGCCCGTATCTAATTTGTTTTTTTTACGTCTGTTTCGGCCAATGGGTGCATTGCACCCATACCCACTGCCTACATGGGTGCATTGGCCCCGATGCCCCCATGCACTCGCCGCCCCTGTACTGGAAGACATATTTCATAACCAGTGATTTGAAACCAGTAATTATTACAACAGCAATTCAGAGTTTCAGAAAGAGAAATGTAGGCACAATCTGTGTTGATCATCAAAATAATTTATGAAGAAATATTTGGAATATCTATTTGCAGATAATAATGAATGAACCATTCAGTATCAAAAATAAATCATATATTCTCATCTTATACAATTACCCTCACAATTATCTGGAAATGTATTCATTGATATGCTTGATAAGGTGATAATTCTATTATTGCTGTTATAGTCATTCTATTGTTTATTTAAAAATATCACATGTATTGAATTCCAATACATAGATATTCAATATATTATGCTGAGTGTGTGCTTCACATGCATATTCATTGAGATAAAGTGATTTTTACCCTATAATAACAATCCACTATTTGCATAATCAGCCTACTTTTGTTCACATACAGTAAATAATGAAATGGAAATTAAAAAGACTTCAGTAAATGACCAAAACAAATCAGCAGCTCTTCTACAAATGCTGTGGAGATTGATCATATACTTAATTCTAACAAAAGGAACCAATAGAAAAAGAAATAAAATAGGAAACCTAAAAATATGAATTGTTCTACTACTTACAGTTGCATATACTGGGTCATATACTGAAAATAGGCCTGTTGCATCCAGGCTAATTGCATGGCATATTGATTAGGGTCAGTGATGTTGAGCTGGGGACTGTTTAAGTTACCCCAAGGCATGTTTGGAGGAACATTATTAGGTGTGCTAGGTTCCCTTGTGATATTTGGTGTGATTGGTGTACTTGGAGTACCTGTCCCTGTACCTAGGGAATATAATATTTAATGAAAATGTTACTGAAAATAAATGGTAATTACAAACCTGTTGTTTCATTAGGATTATTTGGTAAACTAGCTTGTGTTACTGGCGTAGGTTCTGACTGCACATTCTTTGTATATTTAGAAGAACATACTAAGTGTACTGTATGGGTTTCCTGGCCTTCATACTGTCTAAGGACTTCTTTCAATGTGACTGTGTCTGTCAGGAGTTGTCCCGAATAGATTAGTTTCTGTTCATTCTTAGGCTGAAAAGAACATAATTTGAAGGCAACAGCCAAGAATCAAGGCATATTCATTATCAATTATGTATACATAAACTGCGTATTTAGAAATGCAGATTTATGAGACCATAGCAGAAAATAATTTCATAATGACATTTTACCAATGATCAAAGTTCAATGAAAAATATCATTCAAACTAATTCAAACAATCAGAATTATTATACTCACGGGTTTGCTTGGATAGACTTCTGATAAGTGTTGTTTTAATTTTTGAATAGTCCATGACGGTTCGCACTTGATCATCTGATCCTCAATTTGTTGATTTGGTGCTTTCACTATCAGAGTTACAAACGATTCCATTGCTATTTTTTATATTACACTTTGCAATGCTTCGCACTAGAGTATTTACAAAGCACTTTCTGCAATTATTTTTGTTTCGACCAGTTGCGAATTTGAGTCGTATTGTTCTGTCACATTATCAGTATCACTTATCAACAATCATCCATTTTTGTCGCTTGTCTGTCGATTTTTCATTGGCCAGCCAGGCCAGCAGTTCACTTCTAATGTATGACGTAACGTGGATCAACATTCAACCTGTGATTCAACGTTGACGTAATGATTTAAATATATTGCCGTCTGATTCATCAAATAAATCAAACTACTCCATGGTAATATATAAGAAGTTATTGGCCCAACAAATTGATTAAACGATTCATAGGTAGGACTTTAGGACTAAACGAAACATGAAAAAAAAAATAAAAACACGTATGCCTATTATCTCACTCGTACGCCACTGACTATGACATCTCAATCACTCAAGCAAAGCAGCGTTCTACTTATGTTTTGTCTACTACTGCGATCTACGATTTGCATGACTGGTAAGCAAGTTACGCTATCGTATAATAGAGGGCGACACCCTGAAACTTTTGAATTATTGTCGCAAAAACAAAGTTTCAAAAGAGAGACGTATAGAAATTAAAAGCATTAAAAGCATTGGATATACAAAGTGGCCCATTTGAAAGCGGTCCACCCTTATACATTCTTTATTTATGAAGCGGTTTTGACGAATTTTGTCTTTAGATATTAAGAGGAAATAGGTGTATTTTGGCATCTACTTTTTTTTAAATTTTCTCATGAATTCTTGATCCACTTCAGAGAGGCCACAATTGCACAATTTCAGTGGCAAACGCACGGATTTTTTTGAAATCATTAATATATATATGGATTCTGGATTTTTCAGCCACTGCATGCGTGATCTAGCTAGTAGGCCTTGGTTTTTGAAATAGTTAGATGCCGCTGCTTATCTCCAAAATACACCTTTCACCCCTTCACATGACTGAAAACAACAAGTCGTTAAATTTTTCATTCCATAAATTAAAAAAAGGGTGGCCCACTCTCAAATGGGTAACTCTGTAGATGTATGTATATATTCTTGGGAAGCAGTCGAATGATACCAATCAGTTAGATTTCTTTGGTTTTTGTCAATCTTATATAACCAATGACGGCTAAATATCTATATATAGTGAGCTGCCTAACCTGACATTTTGAAAATCTGAAATTCTGAGCTTGTTTTTGGAAATAATTGTATACAATTATATACTTTTGGGAAGCCCACTTCATGCTTAATGAATATATGAAATAATATACAGGGTGTTCCATTAAAAAAAAACATATGTTTGCTTCATAACTAAACAACAAAAGGTGCTAGCAAAAAAATAACTACGCCACTGGATTCTACGAGAAAAACTCTATGAGATCAAGTTTTATATAACTTCTTCGATAAGTTTAAAGATAACTGCCTGAAAAGTGATATTTTTCAATTCCACCCTGTATCTCGACAACCAGAAGAGCTATCACAATTCTGCTTGCGCCATTATTAATTTCATAAAAAAGTAGCAAACTGTAGCGGAAACCGCAATGCTCTACCTTTACTGATAAGGGAGATACCCCGCAAAACTGTCCAAATTGGGATACCCTGTACAGTGCTGCGATAGTATAAGTATCACGACTATTTCATTGAGCTGAAGCGTAAGGCATAATGCATAATGTTGCCATGGATATAGAAATGAGAAAATGAATCTTTTGCCAAATTAATGCTTCATAATTATGATACTGGCCCTCTGGTTTATATTTTGATCGAGATATTATACATATATATATATAATTATTTTTCTTGCCAAAGTAGATACTGAAATGAGTAATAATAGTTATAATATAGTCCGCGATCGTCTTATGAATCATGCATGTAGGAATTAGTCTATGGGATGGGCCTAATAAGCTGATACATCAAGGAGATTTTCACAGGAGCAGAGATTCAAGGTAGGTATAGTCATTGCTTCTCGCATTGCTTATTATTTACTGAGCAGAGCTGTACATTTTCGGCTGCGTAGTAATCGTGGAGTACTCATATCAATGTTCATATATATATACAATTATACTTCGAGCCACGTTCTCATAGACCAGTATGGTAGTCACGCATTCCCGTGCTACTAGTCACTACTTCTTTATCAAAACATTCCCCGTTGACTCACTGACCCCGAGCCAGCTCATTACGTTTTCTAGTGCGCTAGTGACTACTTCGTGAGTGTAACAGTTAAAATAAAGTGTTTAGTGGGGAAAATGCCGAATAGGAATCCAAAATATGAGAAGATCAGACAGAAGCTAAAGAAACTAGAGGAAATGATAGACGGAACCTCATCATCTGAATCAGACAGTACGAAATAATAATATATACCTGAATGGTTATCTTGTATACTTTGTGGTATACAACTAATAACGAATATTTTTGTCATAACTTCAAAGGGGTGAGACTGTTGTGCAGTTCTTCACTTACAAAAATATTGAAAAGTGGAAGCGGTTTGTGCCGTTATCCAAATTGGGATGAGAACATTGCTGTACAATGTTCGAACATTTTTCGTACCCCGACATTCAACTTACGTAACAGGAACACGTAATGCAGGCTTCGATTTATTGCCTTGATTCATTTCCGGAATCGGCTGACTAGATCAATAATGTATTTTTTTTTTCTTATTATTATTGTTCAAATATGGAAGTATACAGGGAGTTATTATTTTTCGATTTTCAGACGAATATCGATCGCATTATAAAAAGAGATCAAGACACCGATACAGGTCTCCTGAAATTGACTCTAGCGATAGTGAAGAAGGGCATATATTTGACCAAGAGCAAGACCAAGATGCGCTCGAGGACCGTTCAGCTTCCACAGTGGATAATCGAGAGAGAGATATTTCTTCTCTTTTGAGAGAGAATCCCGCTGAGACAAATTCCACAGGTACCCCATTGGATCCTGAGATTTTCTCTAGGTGGTCGAATTATCTATCAGTTGGTTTGGATAAGGAGACTAGAGATAGGCTAATGCAGGTACAATTTTCAGTAAATGGCCACTTCTCAACTCTGAATTGGATAACTTATTGAGTCCAGTTGGCAGGAAAAAAGATACTATTCTGTGTAACATACAGGATATGACGAGATATCCGAAGATGCGAAGAATAAAATAATAACAAATATAGTTGATGCAAGCAGGCTGTTCTGTGAAGCGCATCATTTGCTCTGCATTAATTTACAGACGGCACCAGGTTCTGCTACTTTTAAATCAGATTTCGCAGAAAGTGGCAAAAACTGATGAATCAAAAATAAATAGACTATTATTTGGTGATAACTTCGGTGAACGTTGCAAAGCTGCTCAGTCTGTTCAGAAATCCTCGTTCGATTTGAAGAAAAAGCCATACGTAAATAAGACGCCCTCTGTACAACCGAATAAATCTTATTATTAAAACTCCCAGCGTCATCAACCAAACGCCAAGATGAAGACATACAGCCGGGTATCAACCTCCAAGAAAAGATTCGAAAGGGAGCAAATGAAGAGCGAAGCGAAGATGCAGGGTGCGTCGCGTCGAGTCATCAGAACATCTAAGGTAAATTGTATTCAACATTTTTCTGGCAGAATTCGCAATTTTAATGAAAGATGGTCTCAACTCACGACTGATCATTTTATACTTCAGTGCGTGAAATGCTATGAGATTCCATTCTGTAATCGCCCTATTCAGTATCGACCTCAAAAGGCTGCTGTTCGATCTGAGACTGAACAAAGGAATTTGCAGACCTGTATTATCAAAATGTTGAGCAGTGGTGCAATTGTTCGATATAACCATAAAAAAGGTGAATTTTTGTCATCATATTTTCTGGTTCCAAAACCCAATGGAAATTTTAGGTTTGTGCTGAATCTCTAGCCCCTGAATTGTTTCATTCATAATAAACATTTCAAATTGGAAAACTTCAAAACCGTTAGAAATGTTATTCCTAAACATTCTCTCATGTGTAAAATTGACCTGAAGGATGCATATTTTCTTGTACCTATAATAATATGTGAAGATTTTAGGAAGTACTTGAGGTTTATGTATGGGGAGGAATTGTTTGAATTCACTTGTTTACCCTTTGGGTTATGCACAGCTCCTTATGCTTTTTGTAAAAGCAAAGCAAAGTACTAGCTGATTCAAATAGGGCCTGTGCACAGAATGCATTATATACTACTGAATTATTACAGTCGTTAGGTTTTATAATCAATTTTGAGAAATCTGATCTTGAACCTAAGCGGATTTGTACTTTCTTGGGTTCTGGGACACGAGCAATCTGATCATGTCCATTACAGAGGAAAAGATAATCAGGCACGGTATCACATAGAGAAGATGATGAATCATTCGGAGATAAAAATTCGAGAATTTTCAGAATTTATCGGATTCATCGTTTCAATTCATCCAGCATTTAAGTATGGGTGTGCCCACACAAAAGTTTTCGAAAAAGTTGAATCTAAGTATCAATTGAGAAACAATCATAACTATAATGTCAAGATGAAAGTTGAAGCAGGTATGAAATCTGAATTGGAATGGTGGTTATCAAACGCACAAAAACCATCAAATTCAATAAGAGGTGCGTCTTTTGACTTGACAATTTACACCTATGCTTCTAGAAGCGGATGGGGAGCAGCTTGTGGGTCATCAAGGGCACATGGATTCTGGAACGATTCTGAGAAAAAATTACATATCAACTCACTTGAACTTCTGGCGACATTTAACGCTCTCAAATGCTCTGCGAGAAACATCAGACCAGGCGGCAATGTCCTTCGAAGAGTCGACAATACAACAGCAATCGCATACATAAATACGATGGGAGGTACCAGATATTTCGCCCTAAATCAGATTGCAAAAGACATTTTTTGGAAATGGTGTGCATCAAAAGATATTTTTATATATGCTTCTTATATAAAATCAGAAGAGAACATTGATGCTGATAGAAAATCGCGTTCAATGAAAGTAGATACAGAATATTCCCTAGACATATGCAAAGTGTTGTAGATATGTGTCATGGAGACATGATCCAGAATCCATCGTGATTGATGTCTTCACCATATCGTGGTCGAACTTTTTCTTTTATGCATTTCCACCTTTTTCTCTGATAGCAAGAGTTCTCAATAAAATAAAAGAGGATGAGGGGGAGGGCATTGTAGTTGTTCCAGATTGGGCTACTCAACCGTGGTATCCATTATTTTTTAGCTTAACTGTATCCAAACCAATTTATTTCAAACCGAACTCTGAATTATTGATGTCTTCTCTAAGAGAGAGCCACCCGATCTGGAAGAAGATTACCCTGGTTGTCTCCAGGTTATCGGGGAAGCGTTCAAAAGAAAGAAATCATCAGCAGAACTGATTCCTGTGTTTATATCTTCCCTGAGTCGAAACACACAAGCACAGTATAATTCTTCTTATAAGAAATGGTGGCAGTTCTGCATTCCGTTCAGTTCTATAGTCCTCCAGTAGATGATATTCTGAAGTTTCTCTACTGTGAATTCAAGAAATCTGCAGCTTATGGTACTTTGAATTGTCACTTGGCGGTTCTAAAAGTACTTTTTCCTTTCAATGACGAACAATGTTTGATAAAACGTTTCATGAAGTGTATATTCAAATTGAAACCTACTTTCTTAACATATGATGTAACTTGGAACCCTCAGCTACTTGTTCAACATTTAGCAAAGTTGTATCCAATCTTGAAAAATTGACACTTAAACTTGCAACTCTAGTTGCATTAATATCATCGCATAGGGTTCAGACATTATCATTGATAAAAATCAAAAATATTAAGTTACTAGATGATTCGTACAAAATTTTTGTAACGAACGTGCTAAAAACTTCGAGTCCAGATAAATCTCAACCAGTTTTAGAAATTCCGTTTTTTCGAGAAAGTCCTGAGATTCGCGTTGCCCACACATTACAGAATTCATAAACAAGACACACAAAGTCATATCCACAAATTTATTGACTGAATAATCAGTATCTGTACATGTTTCGGACTATCAATAGTCCATCATCAGCAGCATATTTTAATTGACAATTTTGTGGAAATGGAAAAAAAAAAGGAGAAGTTAATAAAATTATTGCATGATACAATTTAAATTACAATAATGAAGGGCAAAGGGCCCAAGGCCCAAAGGGGGCTTTATGTGGGATCCCAACACTTGTTCATCAAAGAGATCAGAGATGAAATGAATTTCATTTCAAACCATATCCAGATGGATCAAATCAGTATTGTCACAGGCTGGTATAGACACCACTATTTTTTCGGATCATAGTGCACGGCACGCATCTACTTCGGCTGCTTTCTGTGCCGGAATCTCTTTAGATTCCATGTATAGGAAGTATGGCAGGATGGTCGGCCAGATCCAGTACATTTGGAAAATTTTATAACAGGCCTTCAGTAGATAATTCAGATTATGCGAGGAACATAATTGTGGGTAGAAATTAGGATATTTTTGATTATATTAATATATATAATTTCCATAGTAGGATAGGGTTGTTATTTATACTTATTAGGAAAGTTCGATGTCGGGTTGCCAACTCTGATATGTAACAGGTTTCCTTGAAACTCTGGTTATGATTGAAATTAGATACGTACTCACCTAATAATATTGAATACAAAATATCAGTAAAAATCGTAGATTTCGTTCATGAATTTGTTCAGTGTGAGCTCTAAACATCTACCATACTGGTCTATGAGAACGTGGCTCGAAGTATAATTTAAGATTAAACGACTTACCTAAGGAAGTTCAATCTTAATTATACGAGGAGCCACGTTCTCATAGACCAAAACCCACCACCGACCCACCCTTTCTGAACAAATTTCAAAGCTTCACCAGATAAACGTAATGAGCTGGCTCGGGGTCAGTGAGTCAACGGGGAATGTTTTGATAAAGAAGTAGTGACTAGTAGCACGGGAATGCGTGACTACCATACTGGTCTATGAGAACGTGGCTCCTCGTATAATTAAGATTGAACTTCCTTAGGTAAGTCGTTTAATCTTAAATTATCATTTGGCAGACCGTAATGATCTAACTCTGATGAATGCAAAAATTCAAAAATAAACAATTATGTTTTATATTATACATATTTTCGAAATGAACAATTACATTTTATCTTTTGTGAAGGTGTAATAGAGATCATATATTATATATAGATTACCATTAGTGTATTTATTCACGAAGTCAAGTACCTATACAATAGCAATTTTTTCCGCTTCTATGATCAATTTCAATATCACGTTATGCGTTTATAATCCACACAAACTGGCGAATATGAAATAGGGTACTATTATACCTACTCAATATCAACGAATCTTATCATTTCTTCAATAAATTTAGTTTTCATGAACTTCTCTTTGGAACAAATTTACCCAACGCAAATATGTGACAACCTATTTATCGACAAACAAAATCTAGCCGGCTAATTTCTTGGCGATCAAATGGATGATATTCGCTCAATTGTGAAATTCGCAGGTTCCAATTTGCAAATCCTTATAGTCATATTTACTGAGCTATAGTCATTGGCTCTTGAGTAAAATATCAAATTCTTATCATAATGGATGTCTATATTGGAGTAGACAGATGGGGAAAGAACATGTGGTGGTTTTCAGTGACTGACTTGTGTGAAAAAAAATGGGATGGTGATTTCCCAGACTCCGAAACCCTTTCCAGAGCACTGAAAAATTTTGGTGTTCGTTGGTCTGATGAAACAGGTCGTAAATCTGATGATAGCTTGAATAGAACGAAGTGATTCTAAAAAATGGGGAGGAAACAATAATTGATATTATATAATAATATAATAATAATATTTTTCTACATTCATGCAAAAAGCAGAACTTTATTGAACTATATTCAGTGGAAAAAGAAGTTCTTTATTGCACTTAGTGTAATAAAGTTTTTATTGCACTCATCTGTCATTCTACTTCAACGTGCTGTCATCATGACAAACATTTTTTATATTGCAACTGTGGTTATAGAAACATCAGTCAAAAATTAATTCTGACAATTAACAGAATTGAAAATTGCACCAATTGTTCATTCACTTTCAACATTGAGGGTAAAAATAAAGTATGAGTTAAATTGTTCGTAACGTATTAGTTCCTGTTTCAATGCAAATCGATATTAATAATAAAGTATTCAAGTTGCGTTTTTTATTTTCCTACACCTAGTGCCGCACCTCAATAAATCATTTTTTGCTTTTTGCATGAACGTAGAAAAAATGTTGTATGCAACTCGTGCAAAAATTGTTTATTGCACTCGACGTGTTTTTTTTGTAGCCATGTAAAGTCACAGCTTTAATTTGAGCACATATTTCGAAACTTTGCGAGAAAATAAAAGAAAAACTAGATGACTTATGTCACTAGTTTTGTGTTCAAAAGTACTCTAACACAATACACATCTGAATAGAATCAAAATTCAGAGTCTACGCCTTATACTTTTTTCAAAATTTGAATTTGAATGTGGAATTTGGGTATTTTTTTGATGAACAGATAAAAAGACGATTAAAATTAATCCACAGGGCTTGAAACGTGTGAACTGGTCTTAAAGGATAGCAGATGACCCCTTCATTCGACCATTTCAATTTGGCACACGATCCACCAAACACCCTGTATATCTGACGGTTTGGCTGATATCCAAGGAGAACACTCTATTGACTCACCCTGTATACCTAATATGGGACATTCCAAGGGAATCAGCGATGCGCAAAAATAATGAAAAGAAAAAAAATTATGCAGTGCCAGCGCGACCAAATGGCCCGAAAATTTGGAAAGAGGAATTTTGAGTAGCCGGCACTTTCTATTGCTGGACGTGAGGACCTATAAGAAGTGGATGGCGTGTCGTGAAGCAGAGTTTCATTACTCATCGGCGTGTGCAGAATTTCTTCGGCAAAGTAGGTTAGGAGAAAGTCAACTTTTTTTGTCACAATTTGCCGCTCGTTCAGTGAGGCTCCGGCTGTTGGCTGGTGTGGTGCGAGTGTGTGTGCATTTTTCCGGGAAAAATTGTAAGTGAAAAAGGTGACACCAATACTAGGACACAGAATATCCCTAGTAGTGGAGGGGAACTCTCTTTCTCCTGTCATCGATCGAGTTTTCACGAACATAACGATCTTGAAAGTTATCGATCATTTTTATGGAAGTACCAGTTTATAAATTTCGAAATAAAAGATGTTCCTGAAAACATCCACAATAGTTCACCAACAGTATAGTATTGATATGAATATATCGGTCGATGTTTTCTGAAAAGTTGAGTCATGACCAAGAATCAAAATCTTTTACGCAACAGACTTGCTGTATACAAAAATTCAACGGTTCTTTTATATAAATCCTACATTGAGAATGATATTTTCAGAAGCTCTTTTTTATAAATCTTACATAGTAGATATTGAGCATTATTTTTTCCATATAATTATATTTTAACCTCTGCTAATGAATCAAATATAATAATTATAGCATTAGAATGATCCAGAGCTTCGACTATTTACAACAATGCTTCTTGAAATATTTATCAGAATATACCAACATAGGAAAATTAATTTCATCAAATTGTCCCTGCAGAAATTATTGTTAATCGGAATGTATTGAAAAAAATCCAATGCCAACTTGCTATCCCAAATTCACACGATATTCCAAGTAAATTTGAATTACTGCATTTCGTGCATTCCAAAAAATGAAAGAATTAGTTCGGAATTAGTTTTGCATAGAGTTCATCTTTTGAGATCGATTCAGCCAGTAAAGTCTGAGGTCTGCTTGATACGGCTCTGAATTACATGCGTACAGTGCTTTCGTAAAGTACTGAATAAATTAATTTCCAGCCGAACTATTTATTTCTGAGAAGTCTCCTGAAACAGGTCGATTTTTATTTTCAATTTTTCACATTTTCAATTAAAAAAATATACATGGTGATTCACGTTCGAGACCGCGATAGTTTTTTCAAATGGAACACCATATATATATTATCCAATTTTTGGAATCTCCATAGAAAGCTTAACTCAAAAATATATCACACAATTAGTTTCTATATACGTTAAATTGAGTGCTTTTGTAAAGCCTACTGAAAACTATCCATTTCTGAGGAATGTCATGAACCAGGTCGATTTCAATCTTCATTTGTCACATTTCTGAATAAAAGTTAGATATACAGGGTATTCCACGTTTGAGTTATGAAGTCCGTGACAATGTTTTCAAATAATGAAACACCCTATATATGGGGTTGCCTATCTCGTACGTGAAATATTCTGCATGTATTTATTGAGTGAATGAAAATAAAATTCGACGGCTCCGAGCGTTTTTCCCAAAAATTATTCCTTTCATTTTTAAGGAATTAATTCACTACTTCACAAAAACACTTAATTTAACGGACGGACTGTATACAAACCTTTGTATGTGATATAATTTTGAATTCTGCTTTCTATGAAGATTTCAAAAATAGAATATATCTAATATATAGATAGATAGCTTCAATCAGATAATTTCAGGAAGTCACCTATAGACTGTTAAATGAAATTACCTGAATAAAGCTATCTATATCTATCTATCACCTATCTATATATCTATGAAAATATATATATAGGGTGCTCTGTTTGAAAAAAGTATCGCGGACGTCATAACTCAAAAGTAGATCACCCTCTATATTCAATTTTTCCTTATAAATGTGGCAAATTGAAAATAGAAATCGACTTGTTTCAGGATATTTCTCTGGAATGGATAGTTTGGTTGAAAATGAATTTATTCAGTATACTTTACGAAAGCACTGTATAACGATCAACCATACAATATTACCTATTTGATGAAGTAGGTACAAAATTTATACTTCATATCCATTTTTTTGTGTTTATAAATATATCTGAGAATATTCCTTTTCAATATTAGTTCTTCTCATCGAAAATACTGAATGTTTTATTATTTCAACAATTTTGTTGCTTTAATAATAAGTCATTATTCATAAAGTTATACCTGTTGATTAAATTTAAAGGCATTCAACAGATTTTTGACTCAAAGATTTCAATATTATTGAATGATTCAAATGTTTATATCAATCAGTTAACCCTGGGGCGCCACTGGAATAATCATGTTGAATCTGTAATTACGCCAAAATATACACTGTCATATTATAAACGAACCTGCCGAGTTTAACAAAATTTAGCTGAGTAGTTTTTGAGCTGCGAAAATGTTTCTTTCAAAACTCTTAAAGCCTTTATATCTCTTCTCATTTTCACGAGTTCTATCGCCAATTAATTAAATTTTCCCGATCACCATCTGAGATTCTCTGTATATGTTTATGTCAATCATTCTTGATATCTCGGTTTGATTACTGTTTATGAGTACTCTAGTGAATCACCGATAGGACACATATTTCGTAACGGTTGTGATTTTCAATGTCAATTTATTTGAGGTGAAAGTAACCAGATGCCTCTTCCACGCAGATATAAGAAAGTAGGTAATACCGTTTCAACGTCAACATACTTTTTTAACTTGTAATTTCACAGGCGATATAAACGAATAATATAGATGTCACTAACAAAAAATCTAACATGCTGTTTAGGAAGAAAATACAAAAAAGGGGAAAGTCCTCTAACAGCATTTCTCAATTTCAACAAATCACCGAAATGATAACCAATATACATAAACAGGGTGTTTAGTGAACAAGCGGCAAGAACACAATGGGATATTCCTTGGCTTGGGTCCAATTAGGAAATATTATGTTCCATAAGCACCTTGTATTAACACCTTTACATTGATATAACAAAAAAAAATTCGATACTGTTCACTTATAAAGTCGTCTACATATAAATTTATTAGTACCTACAACAAATACTGTTACAACAAACGACAATTAGGTACATTAAATTGGCCATAAATAATGAGTAATTGAAAGTCAGGAAATCTGGAACACAATGATGAAATGAAACTACTGATGCATCTACTGATTGTCAGGTATTCTGTTTAACGAATACCTATCCTAGTCTAGTATTTCTAAATAGTTTTAATAAGCTCATACAATGAACGCAATAAATATTCAAGTAGGCACTTTGCAGGATATTAGTCAACATTCATACGTGCTGTATTTACAAAATACAGTATTTCTTACTATTTTGGACATAATTGATCGTAAGTTTATGCGTACCAAAAACAAATTCATCGCCAGTCTTTCTAGGTTTCACTTTCCATTTTTATAATTTAAATATTGCCATAATAATGTTGCATCACCAATTATATGCCTATATTAAGTAACAAGAGGTCCACTCACGAAAAAATACGAGATTCATCCACTACACAGTCAAGATTGCTATAGGATAACAAATTAATCGGATCACAAGATGTTATAGCTACCTTTCAATTTTCAGATATTCTGTACCGACTAACCAGTGGCAGTGTCGGGTATACAGTATGTCACGACGAGCTTACACTATGTCCATATCGAGAATCAGTCGGGAGAAATCCATGAAAATATGCATGCTCATATTTTAGAATACGCTCTCTTTATTTAAAATATTTTGAGCAATGCAGTGTGGCCGCTTCTATCAAAAAATGGCAACAACTTTGTTATTTCAAATAGAATACCCTGTATTTTATTGCATTTTTAGATTCTCCCTGAAGAGCTGATTACATCGATACATCACACTTGGGGTCTATCGAAAATGATTACAGAGATATAGGATGTTCAAAATCGAGATGTTTTCAATTTTGATTTTGTTTGTGTCGATAGACCCCAAGTGGGGTATATCTTTTTTTTTTTTTTTATCGATTGGAGCGCACGAAAGGGAATCCCTATAATGTTCAAAGAACATCGTGCGTTCCTAGGGAGGATAGGGACAGGAGGTAGGTATTGGAATTTTTTTTGAATTTTTGGAGATTATATGTTGTTGGGAATACTTCCACAGGCAATGAATTCCAGAGCCTAGCCGTTCTATGGATGAAGGAGTCTTGATAAAGTGCTGTTCGACATCTTTCGAGGTTGACGACGAAAGGATGTGCTGACTGGGCTTGTCTAGTTCGTCTGATTGGTATTGCTAGTGAAGGGATGATTGCAGAGATTTCCGAAGAACATATCGATGCAATCAGATTCTCAGGGAGGATCTGAAAATGCAATGAATTACAGGGTGTTCTGTATGAAATATCAATGTTGCTACTTCTTTCTAGTAGAAGTGGCAACACTGGATTGTCGAAAATATCTCAAATAAAGATAGCGTTTTCTGAATAGAGCAGTTCAGTTACCGTTGAGAGAGAAAAAAAATGTCTTCCCCATCTGTCCTTGTCTTCAGTGTTCCAACATAAAATAATGAAAATATTATGTTGGCATCATTGGAAATGGGAAAAAATGAAGAAGAATATCATATTAACCTCGATATAAAAGAAGGTTAGAACGGTCTTCTTCTCCATTTCTTCTCATTTCCAGTGTTGGCAACACAAGATTTTCATTATTTCATGTTGGAACACTGAAGACAAGGACAGATGGGAAGACATTTTTTTTCTCTCTCAACGGTAGCTGAACTGCTCTATTATAACCATGCACATTTTTATGAATTTCTCTATATAAAGATAGTGTAAGTTCGTCGTGACATACCCTGTATACTGCAATGGTAGTTTATACAAGGTGGTCATTTGATAACGAAACAGCGGCTCTGTAAGTCGACAGAACCTGATTATGAAAAAAATTTTGAAACACAGGGGGACATCGTTCTGAAATATTTTCAGCGCTGCAGCGTTGCCGCTTCTATCAAAAAGTAGCGGCAAACTTTGATTTCTCAAATGGAATACCCTGTTTTTCATCGCATTTTTAGAAAATCCCTGAAGAGCTGTCTTAAACAATCACACTTGAGGTCTGGCGGGAATGATTACAGATATATACTATATAGGGTGTTCAAAATCGGGATTTCTCAACCTTGGAATTTTTTTTGTGTCGAAACTATTCATTATAGGTCAAAACTGCTAAACTGTCCCCATCTCAACTTTTGATTCACTATCAACTGAAACTTAATCGAAACGAATACAGGGTGGTTGAAGATTCAGAATTCTGATCACCCTGTCTCTGTTCCAATTGAAATCAGTAGTATGCGATCCTTTGCGCTCGTGATAGTCGTGTAAGACACTTCTTCAATACAATTATGTATTTGAAAATTAAGACTGGCCAGTAAAGTATCTGATAATTGCTTATAAGTTGATCAGGATTTGAAACACGTTTATGATTTGTTACAGATTTCAAGATGGGTCTGGGAGGAAAGCAGGAACAAGAATACACCTTCACACTGCCTGAACCTGAGAAGAAGAAAGCCTTAGAAGAACTTAGGGAAGATGACAACAGTAGAGAACAGTCTTTGGACCAAATGAGAGAATGGATAGCAAAACACCCGAATATCAAAAGATGTAGAACAGGTAACTTATTAATAATAATTATGCTCTATTGACGAACTCGAAAAACTGACTACACCATCTGTAAACGAATAGGTACATACTCATTCTCTGAATTATTTTTTATCAAAAGATATGCTCTCTGCATGATCGAGAGAATATGGTTTTCAACTAACATTTCTTTATCGTCAGAATTCATTTGAAAAAGAAATCATTCTGCAAAAGAGCAATATGAGATGAGATCTAGAGCAATACAGAATAGATTTCAAAATAAGATCTAGATCTCATTACTAACCGATTTAGAAATAATAGAACTGTTTCGCTTCATCAGTTCCCATCAACCGCTCCCGGTCTGATGACAATAATTGGAACAATTCAACGCTTCGGGTATTAAGATCCGATTCTATAAATCTTCTGAGGTATACGAATTAACAATTCTGAAAATCCCAGAAAGAAAAAATTGAATTAGGTGGAATTTTGTTGTTTTCCAGATGCCCCATTTCTTTTACGTTTCCTGAGAACGAAAAAATTCAGCGTTCCCCAATCCTGTGAGATGCTGGAACGCTATCTGACCATTAGACAACTGTACCCCCAGTGGTTCTCCAAACTGGACCCTGAAGACAAGGACTTGGCAGATATAATCGATTCCGGATACTTGGTGCCTCTTTTAGAAAGAGATAATGGCAGAAAGGTAATTGATGAAGTGACTATATGAGAAACACGATACACAGATACCATTATTGCCATCGATTTCGGCGTTCCACAAGGATCAATTTTAGTACCACCATGGTTCCTACTTCATATCATGATCTGTTGGGAGCAACCGATTGCCCTATCCACAGCTTTGTAGACGATATGGTACTATCTCCATACTGCGTCCTCTTCTAGAATTCTCATTTTCTCCCAGGAAACTTAGAACTTACGACGAAGGTTGGTCGACGTTTTCAATGACGATCTTTCTGAAATAACAGCGTGGGAACCAACAACCTAGTTGAATTAAACGCCACCAAAACTCAAGCCTGTAGGCGGAACTCAGTATGCCTGATATAACAATGTCTGGTACTACTATTCTCGCCAAGACCACTATATCTTCACAAAAACTCGGATTTTTATTTCGTGCGAAAATCTACCTCATCATCTCAACATCAGCTTCTCATGATCCACAAAGCACAGATACGGCCAGTTTTAGAATACTGTTCCCACATATTATGAGGTTCAGCTCCCAAACATACGCTGATGCTCATAGATTCCATCCAGAGGAGAGTCATTCGCCTGGTGGGTGCGATGCCACACTCACTAATCATTTGATCTCATTAGAACACCGTAGGAAAGTCAGCGACCTTTCACTTTCCAGGGGAAATGTTTCTGAGAACATGCAAATGGAACGGAAATTCACATTCCAATTACGTTCTCATATTTTCCAGAACATCCTCAGAACATTCTATGAATATATAGGCCATCCTCATCGGAATGATCTAGGAATATTCTCAGTATCAGGGTGTTTTAAAGCGCCTAGAAAATATTTCAGGGTTTGATAATATAGGAGGAGAATATTATACGAAGGGACACCTGAAATAAAAAAAATAAAAACATCAAAATTCTGAGTTATAACTCGGAATTTTTCAACTCAGAATTTCATATCCAAAATTCCCGAGATATAATAGCTATAGGGTAGGAAGAAAGTAATTTTTAAAGAAGTTTCATCAAAATCAGCGAAAAGAATTCTGAATAATTATTGAAAAAATCGATATTTTCTGAAAAATTTTACTCCCTGTATCTCAAAACGAAGAGAGCGTTATAGAGGACATATGTTTATAATAAACAAACATTTTTTTCTTCCTCAGAGTATTCATAGTTATTTATTATACAAGGGAAAAAAGTAGTAGATTTTAGCTCCAGGTTGTGTTGTCTCCCGACGCGTAGCGGAGGGAGACAAAAAACCGTGAGCTAAAATCTAATATTTTTCCCGTGTATAATACACTATTTTTTTCTGTGACAGAAGGAAGGACGAATCAATATTGAGAAGATATTACATTATTTCGAAATCTGAAAATTATCGACGTGAAATTTCAAGTTTTTAACAGTAGGGACACCTGGGTTTTATAGGCATCTTCATCATTCTTTTGAAGTAATCAAATATCTGATGTCACTTCTGTCAGTTCAATTCTGTGATTTGATTTTAAAAAATTGCGAATTCAGTAGTTGTTTAGTAATATACGAAACCGCGAAGTCGAATAGAAGATAAAAGGACTAGCAGTTCTTTCTCGGAGACGGTATTATTGACAAATTTTTCGGAACTATAGCACAACAAAAGCCATTAACAGAGTATATATATGTGATATATATCCGGGAAAAAAGTACTCACTTTTTTCCCACGGGAAAAAAGTAATTTATGAAAAGTGACATTTTATAACCTGCCAACAGAGATGAAATGCCAAACTTTTTTCCCGTCACAGAAAAAAATAAGATATTCTATGAACGTACCTATAATATAATATTTGATCATTCCTGAATAACATTCATAGAAAATTCAATGGAATATTCTAGGAAAGTTCCTAGAATATTTGGATGGATTCTGTTTATAATAAACAAACATTTTTCTCTTTCTCAGAGTTAGTATCTAAATAATATATTCTATGTACGTTCCTGGAGGTCACGCCTATATAGAATATTTGATCATTCCTGAATAACATGCATAGAATATAATAATGGAATATTCTAGGAACGTTCCTAGGATATTTGGATGAATATTATCGTGAAATATTCTATGAACATTCTTCCTCATCATAATCTATGAAAATTCTTACTCATCATATTCTATGAACGTTACATATATCCTATGTTCTGAACGTTGTGAGAACATTCATAGAATTGCCTGTGCTGTCAGAAAAAGAGTGGGAGTTTTCAGGTTATCTTCAGCTGCGTTTCCAACTTTGATGCTCACCGATACACCTCTGCTCACATGATCAGGGTCCACAGTTTAGTCACAGAAGCCCTGATGGACGACGAAATCAATCAGATCAATGGCTACACTTACATAAATGATGAAGGCGGATTTACGATGTCCCACATTTCGCTGTGGTCTTTGACTGACGTCAGGAATATCCTCAGGTGTATCCAGGTATGTAAAATTAGAATTCCAAAAAGTATGCCAATATTTCTCCTTATTCCTTGTGCTTGCCTCCCATAGGGTCCCTTGATGGAAATTGACGTTGAAGTCATCTTAACAATGACTTCAAGGGACCCTAGCCTCCAGTGTCGGATTTAGGGGGGGGCTATGGGACTATCAGCCCCCGGCGGTGAATTTCAAGAGGTGGTAGAGAAAAAGAGAAAAGAGGAAAAGCAAGCAGCAATATAGTCTTTGACTGGTTGAGATACTGTTTTAATGAAAATCATAACATGCACTAATCTAGCGTCAGCTGTGTCTTGGCGTTACCATCGATAATCTCGATGGTAACGGTCTTGGACGCTACAATACAAAAGCGGCGGCGGTACATACTTTTATTTGATGATGAGAAGAAAAACCGCATTCTACTCGTCTAACTCAATAACAAAAAAACAAAATCAGAGTGGTTGTCCTTGGTAATGGTACTAATAATAAATAAATATTGAAACTTAGATTTAAAAAAATGAGTAAAAAAGGTGGTGCATTCTGGAAACGGCAGAAGATTAATAAACAGAATTAGTTAGACGAAGTTGTCAAGAAATGCCCTAAAATACATTCATTTTTTCTAAATTCAAATAAGACAGTATCAGAACCGATAAAACCGTCTCCAGGAACGATCTCAAGACAGGAATGGTAAGTTTCATATACTTTTAAATTCAATACGCGAAAAAGAAGAGTTAAAATCTCAAAAATAGATGATCAGAATATGAACACGACTAAGCGTTGTTTTAGGGATAATCACAACAAATTCATTGAATATTGGCAATTACTGAGAATTTTTTTACTATCCCTGATGATTCGTAATGCCAGTGGTGAAAGGTCATTCTGAACAGAGTGAAAAACTACCTTAGGAATTCCATGGTAGAGGATATATTGAATATCTTAACAATTTTAAATATTAACAGTGAGATGTTATTAAATCTGAATTTTGATGATGCCATTGACGATTGACGACTGCATCAAAAAAATCAAGAAAATTATTGTGTATTCATCTGAAAAACATATGTGTTGTTTGTTGTTATGTTTAACGTGTGAAGAAAATATTATTTGATTCGTTGTACATAATGATTTCATGTTATTGTTATATACTGTAAAAAAAAACAGTGAAAGGATTATTTGAATTTTGAAACTGACAATTGAAAATTAAATATTTGGCGGCGGCATCGTAAAAGTTAGCCCCCGGCGTAAGGGAGTATAAATCCGGCACTACTAGCCTCCCCATTTTTGTTTCATGTTTCTGCTTCTTTTCTTTTAATTCTTCTAGTCCATCTGTTCATTTAACCTTCTATTTCTTCTATTTTTTTATTTGTAGAATACAACGCCAATGAGACATAAGGCCAATCATTTCTTGAATATCGCTCCAGGTGCTCTGAAACTTATAGAATTCGCAGTTTCACTCCTCAATGAGAAGCTGAAGAGTAGAATTTTTGTAAGTATCCTTCTTATTTCTTGATTTTTCAGGAGTTCTCTTATAGATAGTTTATGAATTGTTCTTTCCATGGCTGAATATGACTCTCACTCAGTTTCAGGGTGTCAAAATTAACGAAAAATCTTTTTCATCATAACTTTGAGAAATTCTCACGAAAATTACAAAATCATTATGAATTACCTATACTAACCTTTCTATTATTTGACTCACTAGTTATTCAAATACATAATAGCGACGTGTATTGATGAGGAATAATTCAAAATTATCAAGATCCTCGTTGAAGAATGACTTCATACATATACATAATTTGAAAAGTCCCAGAGATAGTCGTGGATTTTTCGGAAAAAAGTATATCGAAAGGTTGAATTTTTGAAAAATGTAATTGAATCTTTGTAAAAAAATGGAAATCCAACTTTGCATCTATCAATATACCTTGTTAATTCGAAGTTGATACAATATATATTCTTTATTAAAATCAGTGAGAGGTTTGAAGAAATAGAACAATAGAACAATAGAACAATAGTTTTCCGAAATCATCGATTTTGTACCATGAAATGTAGAGGGGAAAATACTTGATTTTATTGCAGTAGATATATCGTTCACTAGTATTTACTTTTTATTTGTTTTCATGGAAAATTGTGTGACTGTCTGAATGTTCTATTTTTCTTAGATGTACAAAACCGTGGAAGAACTCCACCAGAACGTTGACAAAAAGGCCCTGCCCAAAGAATACGGCGGTGAGGTATCCTATCAAGAAATGCTGGACCAATTCAAAGCTTTCCTCAAGGAGAAAAGGGAGGCTATCCTGGCTCTGGATGACATGTACATAGAAATAGACGAGAAGAACTGTCCCTTGGTGTCAGAGATGAATGAAGAACTTGGTATGGGTATCGAGGGATCCTTCAAAAAACTTACTGTTGATTAGGACCTTAATTTCAACTCGAAATTTATTGCAGAATTACGATTTTTTCCACCTGCGATAAATATTTGTTGGATTTCTAGCGGAATGTGATTTGCCTGAATATATTTATGTGATAAACGTTAGATATATGATAATCATGACGAAAATGAGTTATTGGAGTCGATTTTTCCTCACGTACTTCATTTTGTTTTCGCCATTTTATTCTTTACTAGGTTTTTGTTGAAACTTGAAAACTGATATTTGTTACTTCACTGTGAGACCTTTTTCCTCGTTTTCTTTAGATACACGCATTTCACATCTCTTTTACTCTTGAATCCATGTTTGGTATGGAAGCAAGAAAATATTTAGATTGGCCCTTACATACCAATATATCTGTAATATAAATATACTATACTTATATTAGTGAAGCTGGCGGAGATTTGGGAACATATATATCAGTTTCTAGTCAAGAAAGTGAGGATCTTTTTCCACAATGAATGAACCATTTGTATATTTTGGAAAACTCCAAAAGCTTCGTAGTTTTAATTAGGTATATATTCTGTTATTGTCCTTGGTGGAGCAAGTTACCTTGTATAGTTGGGTTTCAGTATTACTGATTCCAAACTATCTATGTTATATACCTACCTATTTATATAGGTAGGTACTTATATAAGTGTCCTTTACTTTATTATGTCTAAGATGAATCTCTAATATAACCGAATTTTGTTGTAGTGCAATTAATTGTAAGTATTGTTGTTGATGTTGTTTCTTGCACTGTTTTCGTTAGTTTTATTCTGATGTTCCACTATGTTGAGTAAGACATTAAAGCACTTTTTGTTAATAAATTGCAATTATCATTTTGTTTTCCTACTTTCTTCCTCTAAAGAATAAAAAGTGTTGGTGGCTCTGTAATCCAAAATAATTCGTTGAAAAAACTATTCAGAAACCGTAAGCTACTCACTACTCAGCTAATCAGAATGATATCTATAACATTTTCTTTTTAATTCCCAACACACGCTCCTTTCACTAATATATTCCTTTCAAACAGCAATTTTAAAGTGAAATTTCTGTCGATGACAGCAAATAGTGTTTCAATTAGTAGGCGACGAACGCTCTGGTGATTCTCATTTGTCCGCCTGTAAGATTATCGCCGGATTGGGGGCTGGTGTGGAATTAAATTAACCCGAAAGGCCGAGAGGGTGTGAAGTTGTGAACATCAGGACCTATGACACATTCGTAATGTTGAAATCATTTATAACTGATCTCTAGGTAGGGATATCTTGTAATGTTCAGAGAACATCGTGAGAACCAAGGGAAATAAGGTAGGAATTGGCGTTCTTCTTATATTTCTGGAGGTTATATGCCTCGGGGAACACCTCCCTTGGCAATGTGTTCCAGAGCCTCGCTGTTCGTTGAGTGAACGAGTCTTTGGAAAGAGATGTTCTGCAGGTCTCCAAAGTGACCACGAAAGGGTGCGAAGCCTCAACTCGACAGGTTAACCTCGCGGGTACTGCCAAGGGAGGAACAATTGTTGATATTTCAGAAGAGCATCGTCCATGAAAATATCTATAAAATAAAGCCAGATCACCAACTTTTCTACGGTGTTCCAGAGAAGTGAGTGAGTTTGTGAGCGAGGCATCACCCACGAGACGAATTGCCCTTTTTTGGACAGAATCCAACAGTTTCAGGGTATGTTTAGGTGCTGCACTCCAAATATGGGAACAGTATTCCAGGACAGGTTGGATCTGTGCCTTATAGAGCATAAGCAGCTGACTGGAAGTGAAATAGCTCCTGGCCCGAAACAGAAAACCAAGTTTTTGGGATGCACTTTTAGCAATTGATTTCACGTGATTTTCCCAAGAATGATTATTGCTGATAGTAATACCAAGCATCGAAATGGATGTCTTCAAAGGTATAGTTACTCCTGACAAGCTTATGTTGGGCACAGTGAGAACGGCTTTTCTAGAGAAAAGGCATGCTACTGTTTTGTTTGCATTTGAATCTACCAAGTCATTGGAGCCTCATTCGAGAATTGTTGCCAAGTCCATATTCATGTTGTCAACATTTTTCCCTCGTTCATTTCTGATTTGCCTGGCTGGTATTGGAGCCCTAGAAGAGAAGGCGGTATGGAGGGTACTATCGTCCATGAAGCTGTGTACTGGACATGATGTAGCTTCCAACAAATCGTTGATGGAGTAGAAATAGTGTTGGTGCTAGAATTGATCATTGCGGAACACCAGCATTTATGATAAGACAGTCAGATGAAACTCCGTCGACCACTACAAGGGGAGACCTATTTGAGAGAAAATTAGCTAGCAGAGAACATAGCTGGGGAGGCAAGCCATAAGACGGAAGCTTGGTGAGGACTCGATCGAATGCCTTGGAGATATCAAATGCCACCGCTAAAGTTTCACCATATTTTTCAGAACAGGTCATCAATTGATCTCTGATGACGGAAGCCATATTGCCTATCGTTGATAATACCTGAATGTTCCAGGTATTTCATGAGCTCGATGTTGATAGCTTTCTCCATGATCTTTGAAATAATAGATAGCAGGACGATCGGTCTGTAGTGGCTAGGTAGGGTCTTTTTGCCTCTTTTAGGAACTGGTTGTGCTCTTGCAATTTTCCAGTTGGACGGGAATATCCCCAATTTGTAAGAGTAGTTGAACAACTTGCAGAGAACAGGTGTTAGTTCGGGAGCACATTTTTTGAGAACAATCGGTGGGATTCCTTCGGAGCCACAAGTATAAATTACTAAGAAGAAATAACATGTTTTTACATTTGGAAGATGGTTTCTCATATTATTACCCAATGTTCCTATCAATAAACATTAAAGTTCCAGAAATGCTTCGTTTCCGAGATAAGTACATGGTGTTCAAGTTACTTGAAATTATCTTTTTTTGATTATATCAAGAAAACGTTACGGCAGATTTCTACGACATTTTCTTCTTTTTTTAATATTTCAATGATGAGGTACCCTTCAGGACCAATCACAGACAATCCAGTAATTTCATTGGCTTGCCTGTGAGGCAAGTCATTTGTTTTTTTGCGCAAAAATAATAATTTCCAAAATTTTCATAGATCAAGGTACAAAAAATGTAAGGATTTTGGCTCCAGAGGTTTTCCGTATCTCACTTCGTACTTGACTTCTTGATAAAAATAGAATTAAATCGAGCATTACATTGAATTCACAGAATTTTCGAAAACAACTGGTTGGTTGAAAATCACTTCGGATTCGGAATCAAGACGCCCAATTCACTTACTCTTCATATTTTTCCTAGGAAATGTTCTGTTCTAAAAAATTAAAGTTTGTCGCACTTTTTACGGAAGCACCCACGTATTTTACGTACTTCACTTCATCTTTGGAGTTTCCCTTCCTCCTGCAAATTTCAGAACCCTACCTCAATAATTACGTAAGATACGGGGGTGCTTCCGTAAAAAGTGCGATGAAATTTGATTTTTCAGAACCGAAAATTTTCCAGGAAAAATATGAATGGTTAGTGAATTGGGCGTCTTGATTCCGAATCCAAAGTGATTTTCAACCTATTTTGCCTCCTAATATCATTTTCCGGAATTTGGGGTGGTTCCATGGCTGTTGACGAGGAGTGTGTATCACTGAAGATGACCCCACTTGGTCATAGAGTGCATTTTCGGCATATCTCTTGCTCCAGCAAATTCCAGGATCCTTACCCAACGATTAGGTAAGATACTTTATGAATGTAAAAATTCAGAATGAGGAAAAAAGTTTCCACTTTATTACGTTTCGAAATTTGATATTACATAATACAAGGTGTTTCATAATTGAATGCTGATCCTAAAGGGCGATAATCCATGGATGATTTCAAGAAAAATTCTTCATGTGAACATAGGTCCGTAACAGATTCGTTTCTGAGATACAGGATGTTGAAATTTAACAAAAAAATCAATTATTCCCCAATATCTCTGGAACCGCTCTGGCTTTTTTCTTTTTCTTCAATTTTGGTACATGCCGAGTATGAATAGAAATACATTTTTTCCATAATGAAGGATTTCTTAATTTCCATCAGTAGCGTCCCTGTTAACATACCCTGTCATATTTTTCATCAAAATAATGATACGCTACTGTCTTTTCTCCAAATGAATATTATTTTTGTAATTATCCTCTATCTCCTCATAAAAATGATCTCTTGTCTTTTTTTCGTCCGGCGAACGGTTTTTAAGTTAGAAAATAAAATGCATTCATTTGCTTGTCCCTATTCGATTTTTACTCTTAGTCATAATTTCACAATTGTGGTAACCAAAAGATCTGAGCAATATTTTTATAATTTTATGGTAACTATTTTTAAGTATTTGTAATGAAGAAAAAAGCCAGAGCGGTTTCAGAGATATTGAAACTGATTTTTTTGTTAAATTTCAACATCCTGTATCTCAGAAACGAAGCTGTTACGGACCTATGTTCACATGAAGAATTTTTCATAAAATCATCCAAGGATTATCACCCTTTAGGATCAGCATTCAATTATGAAACACCCTGTATATTGGCATGTAGTATAGGTAAATATTTATAACGCCACTGCCTCTAAGCAACTCTTAGATTCTCTTCCCTTGCTGATGCCTATAAAGTTAATCTATTGAAACATTATAGTAGTAGGAAACCCAATATCCCACTTATTCTTTCCCTCGCACAAAAAAACTCATTTCAAAGTTTCAACGCAAAGATAACTTGGTCCTTGTAAGCGGACCCTCATCGAGAAAAAACAATACAATAAACAAGGAACCGTCTCGAGTCCCGAAGAAACCCGACAAGCAAAATAAAAGAAGGATATCACATTAACGGCCGGAAGAGGAACGTCAAAATGCAATTATTTCCAAGTTTCCTCCATGCCCTTTTGTACCAGTTTCTTTATGCCAGCAATCTTTGAGAGTCGAGTGTACCTTTTCAGTAGCAATACCTCGATACGATACGGCGATTCCAATTCAAAAATAATAAAATAAAGGCTCCACTATTGTCGCAGCGTGTACACGGGAGCCTCCCACTGCTTTTTTCTTTTGTTGGGGCTCGTCCAAAAGCGTTTTCGATCCAGCAAGCTGTGATTAAAGGTCCACGGCATAATGGTTTTTATTGCCGAGTTATTGTCCAAATTGTGATATTGCTTTGTTTTCTGCCTATTGTGCTTCTATTTTCTACAGATTACTCCATTACACTCTTTTAAAACAATGTTCGCAGTTTTTTTTTCGAGGGGTGAATTCAAAGGGGGCATGTGCCACGCCACAATGGAAAGACTTAGGTCAAGTTGTTTGAGTGTCGATGATTCTTGTTCAAATTACAACAATGAGAAGTAATACTTGATTCGGGCTATTGCTTGCTCAGAATATATCATTTAGATGACTGAACTAGTGAACTACCTACTTTCTGGATACACATTTGATTTATCTTCACAATTGTTGGAAGATGATCATTGTTATAAATATATGAGCTATATACAAAGTGATCAAGTTTCTGAAAATTCGTAGTATGTATAATAATGCGATGGGCATTAAACGTGGTACCTACATATTTTTTCTACAAACGTCAAATAATGACAAGGTTCGCGCATTGTATGAAAACTATATAAAATTTTTATATTTTAACTTTATGGTCCTCGCAATCGAGCAAACATCCAAGAAATCACTTATCTCTAAATGTTTAGCAATATTTTTTCTTTTCTCTTGGACTGCACGAATGGAAATTCCTATAATGTTCAATACTATTTTTTATATTAAGCAAAGCATATCACTACTGTTGAACTATATTTTTTGTCTTCTGTAGAAAACATTTTGTTTGCAACTCGTGCGCAAAATGCTACTTTG